ATCATATTTTGAAAACCTATACTCCACAAAATTGAAAAATTCAAGAGAAATGGACAAATTTTTGGATGCATATCACTTACCAAAATTAAATCAAGAACAGATAAGCAAGTTATATAGACCTATAACCCCTAATTAAATAGAAGCAGTCATCAAAAGCCTCCCAACCAAAAAAAAAAAAAAAAACCAAAAACCAAAAAACAAAAAAACAAAACAAAAAACCCATAGCCAGGTGGTTGCAGAATTCTACCAGAAATTCAAAGAAGAGCTAATACCAATACTCCTCAAATTGTTCCACACAATAGAAGCAGAAGGTTCATTACCAAAGTCTTTTTACATGGCCACAATTACCTTGTTACCCAAGCCACACAAAGACACAACTAAGTAAGAGAAGTACAGACCAATATCTCTCATGAACATTGATGCAAAAATACTCAATAAAGTACTGGCAAATAGAATCCAAGAATACATCAGAGAAATCATCCACCATGACCAAGTAAGCTTCATTCCTGGGATGTAGGGATGGTTCAACATACAAAAATCTATCAATGTGATCTACCATATAAACATGTTGAAAAAAAAAATCCACATGATCATCTCACAAGATGCTGAAAAAGCATTTGACAAAATTCAACACCCTTTCATGATAAAGGTCTTAGAGAGATCAGGGAAAAAACGAACATACCTAAACATAATAAAAGCAATATACAGTAAACCAAGAGCCAACATCAAACTGAATGGAGAGATGCTTAAGGCGATTCCTCTAAAATCAGGAACAAGACAAGGCTGCCCACTCTTTCCATATATCTTTAATATTGTACTAGAAGTTCTAGCTAAAGTAATAAGACAACAAAAAGATATCAAGAGGTTACAAATTGGAAAGGAAGAAGTCAAACTGTCTCTATTTGCAGATGATATGATAGTTTACATAAGCGACCCAAAAAACTCTACCAAGGAACTCCTACAGCTGATAAACACCTTCAGCAAATTAGCAGGATACAAGACAAACTAAAAAAATCAGTAGCCCTACTACATACAGACAATAAAAGATCTGAGAAAGAAATCAGAGAAACATCACCCTTTCCAATAGCCACAAACAACATAAAGTATCTTGGGGTAACACCAAACAAGTGAAAGACATATATAGTAAGAACTATGTGTCTTTAAAGAAAGAAGTTAAAGAAGATACCAAAAAAATGGAAAGATCTCCTATGCTCTTGGATAGATAGGATCAACATAGTAAAAATGGCAATCTTGCCAAAAGCAATCTATAGATTCAATGCAATCCCCATCAAAATTCCAGCACATTTCTTCACTGTCCTTGAAAGGACAATACTCAACTTTATATGGAAAAACAAAGACCAAGGATAGCCAAAACAACCATGTACAATAAAGGAACTTTAGGAGGCATCACTATCCCTGACTTCAAGCTCTACTATAGAGCTATAGTCCTGAAAACAGCTTGGGACTGGCACAAAAATAGACAGGTAGACCAATGGAACCAAATAAAAAAATCCTGATACTAACCCACATACCTATGACCACTTGATTTTTGACAAAATAACTAAAAGTATACAATGGAAGGAGGAAGGTATCTTCAACAAATGGTGCTGGCACTACTGGATGATGGTGTGTAGAAGACTGCAGATGCATGTCTATCACCATGCACAAAACTCAAGTCCAAATTGAGCAAAGATCTCAACATAAATCCAGCCACACTGAACTTCTTAGAAGAGAAAGTAGGAGGTACCTTTGAACAAATAGGTACAGGAGACTGCTGCCTGAATATAACACCAGTAGCACAGACACTGAGATCAAAAATTAATAAATGGGACCTCCTCAAATGGAGAAGCTTCTTTAAGGTCAAGGACACAGTTGACAAGACCAAAAGGCATCCCACAGGCTGGGAAAAGATCTTCACTAACCCAACATCTGACAGAGGGCTGATCTCCAAAATATACAAAGAACTCAAGAAACTAGTCACCAAAACACCAAATAACCCTATTAAAAAGTAGGGTACAGAACTGAATAAAGAATTCTAAATAGAAGAATCTAAAATGGCTGAAAGATACTTAAGAATGTGCTCAATATCCTTAGCCATCATGGAAATGTAAATCAAAACAACTCTGAGATACCATCTTACTCCTTCTAGAATGACTAAAATTAGAAACACCAATGACAACTTATGCTGGAGAGGATGTGGAGAAAAGGGAACACTCCTCCACTGCTGGCTGGATTCAAACTTGTACAGCCATTTTGGAGATCAGTATGGAGGTTTTTCGGGAAAATGGGAATCAGTCTACCACAGGACCCAGCTATCACACTCTTAGGCATATACCCAAATGATTCACATCCATGCAACAAAGACATCTGTTCAACTACTTTCATAGCAGCATTATTTGTAATAGCAAGAACCTGGAAGCGACACAGATGCCCCTCAACTGAAGAATGGATAAAGAAGATGTGGCACTTTTACACAATAGACTACTACTCAGCAGGAAAAGAATGGAATCTTGAAATTCCCAGGGAAATGGATGGTACTTGAAGAAACCATCCTGAGTGAGGTAACCCAGTCACAAAAAAGAGGAACAGGTATGTACTCACTCACTCACACATGGATTTTAGACATAGAGCAAAGGATCACCAGCCTATAATTCACCCCACCAGGTAAACTAGGATACAAGGATAAACCTAAGAGATTCATAGAAGGTCCGTCACAGAAGGCTAAAGGTACAAGATCTTCTGAGCATATAGGGAGCTGTGGGGGAGGCAGTACATGGAGAGGGAGTTAGGAAAAAGAGGAGGGGAGGAGAGGAGAACATGTGGGATCAGGAAGATTGAGTCAGGGGATGAATAGATGAGAGGGGAAAAAAAAAGAGATACCATAATAGAGGGAGCCATTACAGATTTGAAGAGAAAACTGACTCTAAAGACATGTCCAGAGACCTACAAGAATGACCCCAACTAACAATCTTAGCAATAGTGGAGAGGCTACCTTAAATGCCCTTCCCTGATAATGAGATTGATAACTACTTTATATGACATCCTAGATCCTTCATTTAGTAACTGGTGGAAACAGAAGCATACACCCACAGCTAAGCACTGAGCTAAACTCCTGGAATCAAGTTGCAGAGAGGGAAGAGTGATGAGAAAAGCGGTCAAGACCAGACAGCTGACTTGAATAAGGGGAAGCTCATGGACCCCAGACTTAATAGCTGGGAAACCAGCATAGGACTGACCCAGACCCTCTGAATGCGGGTCTCAGTTAGAAAGTCTGGGCAGTCTATGTTACCTCTGACAGTGGAATCATGACGTATCCCTGGTGCATGAAAGGACTTTGGGAGCACATTCCCCATGGAGTGATATCCCTTAGCCTAGAGGCAGGAGGGAAGGCCTAGGCCCTACCCCAAATGACTTGACAGATTTTGATGATCCCTCTTAGATGGCCTCACTTTCCTTGGGGAGTGGGTGGGGAATGGGACAGGTGGAGGAGGTTGGGGGGGAATGGAAGGATGGGAGGGAGGGGGAACTGGGATCGATATGTAAAATAAGAAAAAAAAAAAAAAAAAAAAAAGAGGCAAAGAACCTGGAAAACCCTGGCAAGTGAATGTAGCTCAAAACACTATTAAAAAAATTTTTTTTCTGGTAGTGCATACCTTTAATCCCATCACTCGGGAGGCAGAGGCAGGTGAATCTCTGAGTTCTAGGCCAGCCTGGTCTACAGAACTAGTTCCAGGACAGGTTCCAAAGCAATACAGAGAAACCCTGCTTCGAAAAACAAAAACAAAAACAAACAAACAAAAAGTTTTCTTTCTGCTCTTGAACTTTGCATGTTCTTGGAAAGATTCTTGATTTGACTTTAGGGAATTACTTTTTTATTTTAATATATTTTATTTCTTTTTTATCTTTTGTCCCTCTCTAGATTTTTAAAATATTTTTTATTTATTTTTTCTTATTTTACATATCGGTCCCAGTTCCATCACCCTTCCTCTCTTCCTTCTTCCCTCCCTCTCTCCCACCTTCCCATGCCCCCCAACCACCCTCCCATCTCATCCCCCGCCCCCCAACACACACACACACACACATGTAGGGTAATGTTTTACAGGACACATCATCTAAAGCTGTCAAGTTATTTGGAGTAGGGACTAGGCCCTCCCTCCTGCCTCTAGGTTAAGGGAGTATCCCTCCATGGGGAATGTGCTCCCAAAGTCCTTTTGTGCACCAGGGATACATCCTGGTTCTACTGTCAGTGATCCCTTAGACTGCCCAGGTCTTCTAACTGAGACCCATGTTCAGGGGATCTGAACTGGCTACAAGACTGACCCCAACTAACAATTTGAGCAACAGTGGAAAGGTTACCATAAATGCTCTTCCATGATAATGAGATTGATAACTAACTTATCCACCATCATAGAGCCCTCATCTAGTAGCTGATGGAAATAGAAACAGATACCCACAGCTAAACACTAAGCCAAATTGGAAGGCAAATGCAGAGAGGGAGGACAAGACCAGGCTACAGAAACCCACAGAGACAGCTCATCTGAACAAGGAGGAGCTAATGGACCCCCAGGGAATTACTATTTAACTGACCTTTTAATGTTAGCTGTGTGCTTACATGAATATGTGTATGTCCTGGGAAAGATGGTTTGCCCCAGATCCTTATCCTTCTTTTATGCACAACCAGATGCTAAAACACAATGCTATTGCATTCATGGTATCCTATCTATACTACCATCCTGTTTGGATATTTCTATTCTTAGAATATTCCAGAAAAAGTTCTTGTCTCCATCCTGGTAATTGCTGTTCTTTAATGTTTCTAGGAGAGAAAACAAGATATTTCACCAACACCTTTAAATTTGTAGATGCTAGATACACAAGTGACCCATCTAAGTCTATAATGAAGGGCATACATTTTCTCCAACAGGGAAATCTTTATTACATAAATATATTTACATAAAGTTTTATATATATATATATATATATATACACACACACACACACACAAAGACACATGTCCCTCTCCAAACACAAATACAGTTGAACAAAGTCATCACAATTACTGGTTGTAACTGGATCTTAAGGCACCTCTTTTGCTTTCACATAAGCAGTTTCTGTGTTATCTGGGCCAGCAAAGGACAGGAAGACTTGCTCCAGGGTGATCTGGCTGATGGCATAGTCCTCCAAATCATATTGCTCTTTCGCTTTCTCCAGAATGCCAAACACCTTCAACAGCAACAGAAAACATACAGTCACCACTGACAAGCTCCCTCCAGACCTTGGCCCAGAGAAGTCACTCCTTCCTCTCCCCAGTGTTCCCTGCCTGGAAACATTAGAGGACAAAAGGCTCAGAAAGGTGAGAGGGGAAAGCTCGAGAAATAGGTAATTGAGAAACCAAGAGTAGGCAGTTCTCTGTTCCAGTTCTCTCGACGGACACAGACTAATCATAGCATTTAGGGGTAGAAATAAAAGGCAACTAAATTCTAAAGATATTTGAAAAGTAACATAAATGTGCAACTGCCCCCATATTGCAGGCATGATTCCATTGCCTGGATCCCCAGTACCCCATCATTAGTGCATCTATCATTAGTTTATGTTTTGGACCATTACCTTTCCCCAGCTGTTGTTCTTGCTGGGAATGTAGTAATTAAGGGTCCCTTGATTCTCTTGCTTCAACTTGCTACCTAAGACAGGAAAATAAGACAGGTGAATCTTTTTAAAATTTCATTTAAAACTGCCAAAATAATGTTACATCTACATAATAATATATACAGTGGAGAGACTAATGGGTCTATACATAAGTGGATAGGATCGAGTATTCAAAAACATAAGCCTCATGGGGACATTCTCATCCAAGCCATCAGAGACAGTATGGCTAGTGTTCTCAGAGGATTTATTACTGAGGAAATCTTTATTATGTGGAGTGCATGACAGTCATTAGCGTACATTTTCCAACTCACATGTCTAATGATAGATACTTCTCCTCCTAAAATTAACGTTATGAGACTTTACTGCTAAACTAGTGCTGAGAATGTGGCCTGGGGCAATGTACTCCTGGCCATGCATCTTCCTACAGTGACTTTGGAGGAGATCAGGGAAGACACTGCCTCAATATTCTTGTGATTATCCAATTTCTCTGCCATATGAAAAGGAATACCTATAGAACATGCAGGCCACCAAAGTCTGTTAGTTTGTAAGAGTTCACTAGTATAGTCAGAAGGAAAATAGTAGTATCTTTTATGAATTTTGAACACATACTTGTTTATGCCTGAATTGTGCATTTGTAGATTAAATTGACTTTAATTTAAAAATTGAAAGTAACTCATGTGTAATTATAATGATGTGAGATTTTTAATATTAGACCTAAAGGATGCATTGTTGCACAAATCTTTTTATTATATACTGTTTCAAACATAGAACTTAATTGTTTGAAACCACCATGCAGCAAACCTCTCATTTAGGTCAAATAATAACAAACCGGATGTCCCACATGACACTTTCCAGCCTCTGCCCTAATAAAAGGTCTCTAGTGCCTTTATTGTAATTGAATAAAAATTGCCTCTCACAATTATTTTCCTTTGTTCATGGTGATAGACATGGGGTCTACATGCAGTCTTCTACACACCATCATCCAGTTGTGCCAGCACCATTTGTTGAAGATTCTTTACTCCTTCCATTGTATACTTTTAGCTGTTTTGACAAAAATCAGGTGTCCGAAGGTGTGTGGGCTAATATCAGGATTTTCGATTTGATTCCATCGGTCTATCTGTCTATATTTTTGCCAGTACCAAGCTGTTTTACAGACTATAGCTCTGTAGTAGAGCTTGAAGTCGGAGATGGTGATGCCCCCTAAAGTTCCTTTATTGTACAGGGTTGTTTTGGCCATCGTGGGTCTTTTGTTTTTCCATATAAAGTTGAGTATTGTCCTTTCAGGGACAGTGAAGAAATGTGCTGGAATTTTGATGGGGATTGCATTGAATCAGTAGATTGCTTTTGGCAAGATTGCCATTTTTACTATGTTAATCCTACCTATCCAAGAGCATGGGAGATGTTTTCATTTTCTGGTATCTTCTTTAATTTCTTTCTTTAAAGACATGAAGTTCTTGCTATATAGGTCTTTCCCCTGTTTGGTAAGGGTTACCCCAGGATACTTTATGTTGTTTGTGGCTATTGGAAAGGGTGATGTTTCTCTGATTTCTTTCTGAGCCCCTTGATAGTCTGTGTATAGTAGGGCTACTGTTTTTTTTTTTTTTTTTTTTTTTTTTTAGTTTATCTTGTGTCCTGCTAATTTGTTGAAGGTGTTATCAGTTGTAGGAGTTCCCTGGTAGAGTTTTTTTGGGTCCCTTATGTAAACTACCTTATCATCTGCAAATAGTGACAGTTGGTCTTCTTCCTTTCCAATTTGTATCCCCTTGATATCCTTTTGTTGTCTTATTGCTTTAGCTAGAACTTCAAGTACAGTATTGAAGAGATAAGGAGAGTGGGCAGCCTGGTCTTATTCTTGATTTTAGAGGAATCATCTTAAGCTATTCTCCAATCAGTTTCATGTTGGCTCTGGCTTTACTGTATATTGCTTTTATTATGTTCAGGTATGTTCCTGTTATCCCTGATCTGTCCAATATCTTTATCATTAAAGGGTGTTAGATTTTGTCAAATGCTTTTTCAGCATCTTGTGAGATGATCATGTGGATTTTATTTTTCAACTTGTTTATATGGTAGATCACATTGATAGATTTTTGTATGTTGAACCATCCCTACATCCCAGGAATGAAGCTTACTTGGTCATGGTGGATGATTTCTCTGATGTGTTCTTGGATTCTATTTGCCAGTATTTTATTGTGTATTTTTGTATCAATGTTCATGAGAGATATTGGTCTGTAGTTCTCTTTGTTAGTTATCTCTTTGTGTGGCTTGGGTAACAAGGTAATTGTGGCCATGTAAAAAGACTTTGGTAATGAACCTTCTCCTTCTATTGTGTGGAACAATTTGAGGAGTATTGGTATTAGATCTTCTTTGAATTTCTGGTAGAATTCTGCACTGCAGCCACCTGGCCATGGGCTTTTTTTTTGGTTGGGAGGCTATTTCATTAGGGGTTATAGATCTATTTAAGTTGTTTATTTGTTCTTGATTTAATTTTGGTAAGTGACATGCATCCAGAAAGTTGTCCACTTCTTATAAATTTTTGAATTTTATAGAGTGCAGGTTTGACCTGGAAATTGTCTGGAATTTCTTAGTGTCCTTTGTTATGACCCTCTTTTCATTTCTGATTTTGTTAATTTGAATGGTCTCTCTCTGCTTTTTGATTAGTTTGGATAAAGGTTTGTCTATCTTGTTGATTTTCTCAAAAAACCAACTCTTTGTTACATTGATTCTGTGTATTGTTTTCCTAGTTTACATTTTATTGATTTCAGCCCTCAAATTGATTATTTCCTGGTGTCTACTCCATCCAGGTGAGCTTGCTTCTTTTTGTTCTAAGGCTTCCAGTTGAGCTGTTAATTCTCTAATGTGACTATTGTCCATTTTCTTCATATGGCCACTTAGTGCAATGAACTTTCCTTGTAGTACTGCTTTCAAGGTGTCCCATAAGTTTGGGTATTTTGTGTCTTCATTCTCATTGAACTCTAGGATATCTTTAATTTCTTTATTTCTTCCTTGCCCCAGGAATGGTGCAATTGTGCATTGTTCAGTTTCCATGAGTTTATAGGGTTTCTGTATTTTGGGAATTCCAATTTTAAAGAATGAGGATCTGATGAGATACATGGGGCTCTTCCAATTTTCTTGAATCTGTTGGGTTTGTGGATACATAGTGTGAAAATCTCACTTTGTCATTGAATATCTTATTTTCTCTGTCTATAGTGTTTGAGAATTTTGCTGGGTATAGTAGCCTGGGCTGGCATCCGTGGACTCTTAGAACTTGTAGAGCATCTATCCAGGACCTTCTGGCCTTGAGAGTTTCCATGGAGAAGACTGGTGTAATTTTGATAGGTCTTCTTTTATATGTTATCTGACCCTTTTCCTTTGCTGCTCTTAATATTCTCTATTTATTCTGTATTTAAGACAGAGCTAGCCAATATTTAATGCTAGTAACAGGTCAAGGGCATTATATCTAATACAGTTTCACTGTGTTATTTGGGACTGGTGCAGCTGTGGGACCAGGCTGGCAGGAAACTGCTTGTAACAAAATGGCACAGCAATGTAGCAACTAAGAACTTTAACTTAAAACTTAACAAAAGCTTAAGAAGGGGTTTTAGAATTAAAAGAACAGAAACAAGCAAGGCTTCTTGTTAGCAGCTCTTTTCTCAGTTAGACTGTTTTGCTAGAGACAGATACATGCCAGGCTCCTTTACAGGAGGTTTCTTGAGTCAGCATAGTGGCAAAAAACCAGATGGCTTTAAAAAGTGCTGCTAACAATTCAATGGTGTGTATGAGCAGCTGGTTTAAAAAAAAAAAGTAAAAATAGAAAGAGAGTAGCTGAGCATTGTTGGAACATGCTTTTAATTCCAACACTCAGGAGGGAGAGGCAAGTGTATCTCTGTGATTTCAAAGTGAACCTGGTGTACAGAATGAATTCCAGGGCAGCCAAAGTTACACAGAGAAACTCTGTTTCAAAATATAAAAAAATAAAAGTAAAAGAAATAGAGGAATAAAAAAAGCCATGTAAAAATGAAAAGCACACAAAGAATCTGGAAACTATATGCCATGGTGTTGTCTTTAAATTGCTCAGTTGCCAAGGAAAAAATAATTGCTATAATACACTTGATTATCAATGTTGCTAAATTAATCCAATTTATGTATTTCAAAAATGCTTTGACTTCAAAATTTAAGTTCAAAGACATGTTACTGGGGAAAGGGATTTCTATTTTTGTTTCCACAGAAAATAAAAAGCTGTGGATTCCTTCCAGACAAACATGGTTTGATCAAGCAAGACCCCCTAAAACAGTTTCCCAGGTAATCCAAAATTCAAAACAGCTGAGACAAAGCAGCCTTGCAGACTACTACAACCAGGATTTCTACATCTTCTTAGGATTCCCAAGGCAGCATCCCCGACCAGCAGGATGCAGTTTGGAAAGAACAACACCCAAATTCCCAAATACTATTTATAATTTTTTTTCATTTAAATGGGGTTGGTTATAAATGGTTAATGACCACAACCAATCTCATTAAAGGTAAAAAGGGGTTTATGGCATAGATATGAATACTTTGCTTTGTATGGATTTTCATTTATTGATACAATTTAATATCAGTTTTGTGATATGTATATTTCGCCTCTTGTTTAGGTATTGTGTTTATATAGCTCATTTAAAAATGTAATGTATAATTTAGTACAGATTATAGATAGTACCTATGATAGTGAAAACTTATAGTTAGGTGGGTTAGGTTTTCTAGATATATAGAGATGTATTTGAGATGGATAGGCATCCTTGAAACCATTCAAAGACCTACAGAATATGGCATTTAAAATGGTTTAGGATTTTTCTTAACAGTGAGGCACAAATGGTCCTGGCAATATTACCTGCGTCAAAAAGAAAGATGGACATCAAAGAATCTCGTTATGGAGTTTACTTCCAATATGGCAAGACTAGCCATTTGGGCAAGAAACTGCTCTTGTCTGGACTGATTGACTTTATGCTATATAAACTGGACATACAGGACCCACAGGAAAGTGACTGCTGATACAAGATGGACATTGTTACAGGGTTCCTGCTTTATGGAAGAGTCTGACAGACATTCTGCAGGACATAGAGAAAAGTGACTGACAAACTGCCAATACAGGTGGACAGTTTAAAGTTTCCTGTTTTGCTGAGGACTCTGCCAGACACACTATGGCCTATAGGCTGAAGATGGAACATTACAGAAGAACTTCAGGTAACTGACCAGGCAGTGAGTTGTCCCTGTCATTTCTAGAGCTTATATTATCCTTCTGTGGTCTTTGATGGAGTTGAAGACAGATAGTTATGGGTATAGTTTTCCTTAGTTAGGATTAAAGATAAGTTACATACTAGACTTTAGACTCACAAAGATAGGATATATGATAAAATATTTTCTTTAAACCTTGCTAAATGTTAATGGACTGAACATTATTAACTGTGGTTCTTATTTGATAACTGTTTTGTTATGTATTTTATTATGTTGAAGTTAAAACCCTTCTTTTTATTTTAGACAGAAAAGAGAATATAATGGAAGATGTCATTTGGTAAATATGTTTCTTGTATTGGTTAATGAATAAAGTAATGTTGGCCAATAGGAAAGCAAGATAGATTGGACTAGGAGACAAAGAGAATTTGGGAGGAAATAGTAGGGAGGAGATTCAAGATGTAGGATGGGGAGAGCAGAATGCCAGCCCCTCTCTCCAGTAAGATAAGACCATGAGGAAATACTTAGATTAATAGAAATGGGTTAATTTTTAAGACAGAGGTAGCTAATAAGAAATGCTAGTTACAGACCAACAGCTTTATATTTAATATAGCATCTCTGTGTGTTATTTGGGGCTGGAGTGGCTGTAGGACCAGGCCAGCAGGAAAACCTGCTAGGTAACATTTGCCAAATCAACATATAAGCAGTTATTTAATTTTTTGGACATATGCACCTGCATTTTCATACCATATCAATATTACCATGACCAATGCTTAGGTGATGATTTCCCCACACATCTATTCTCCACATCTACAATACTATTCTTTTACTTGGTGATCCCAATTTCTCCTGTGTTATTTCCTATTTCTTTAGACTATAAAATTCCAAAATCCTCAGCTTAACTCAATAGGAATTTCTGTTATGTTTTATGTTTCCCAGTAAGGTGGAAATGAAGATTAAAAACCCGCACATGTTAAAATCCTTGCTAGGAGTCTGTGAGAGTGAGGGGAGGAACTGAAAGCAAGAACAGCGTGTTGCTCTCTGTGCACTGTCCAATGTGGCCAACACAGATTCTTGCTGAATTTAACATACTGAAACAGAATTCTTTTTCTTAATTTTTCTTAGCAAATGAATATTTCATTAATCATAACATTTATAAAATAAATTTCTTGTTATCATTGAGTTATCCGATTTTTAAGAGCAACCAACATCAGAGACAGAATTCTTAGAGGAAACAAACCATACTTATTTGCATTTCAAAAAATCAGTGCTATAATTTATAATACAAGACAAAAAACTTAATATTTTTCATAGATTAGGTTATGGCCTGAATATTTTTCTCTTTCAAAGGGCATAAATTGAAATCCCAAACCTCAGGAGACTTTGGAGTTATGGCCTTTACAGAGGTAATTGTGTTTAAATGAGGTTGTAAGTGTGACATAGCTAACCCACTGGGACTTGTGTCCTTTGGAAAATAAAAAAAATGTGAAACTAGACATCGGGCATGAGGGAAATGCAAAGACATAGAAAACAACCTATGAGAATAAAGTGGGAAAGATGCTGTCTGCAGTTTAAGCCAGAGAGAACTCAGAAGAAACAGGCCTGCTGGAAGCTTGATTTTGCACTTCTAAGCTCCATGACTATGAGAAATTAAATACTATTTAAGCTATCAATTCTGTGTTATTTTATTATGTGAGTCAGTCTTAGCAGACTTATATGGATTATATTTTTAAAAATTGGAATATATTGCTTTAAAAAAAATAAAACCCAAACCTTCAAACTTTAGATTCTGTGACTTCAGACAGTAAATCATATATCAGTTTATATGGAATATTATGTGACTCACTCACATGAGAGACTGACAAACACCACTTTTCTTCAACACTTTGCATAAACAGACAGAAATAGTTACAGACATAAACATCCTCCTCGCAAAGAACCCATTATTATGTGTCAGACATACCAAAAGCTAATGAGAAACTACTATTAGCAACACATAGCAAATTGACGGTGAAACAACAGGCATGACTTAAATGGCAAAGTTAACCTGACCCAACTTACCTGGGAAAACCTTGGTAATAAATTTTTTAAAATCCGTTATTACATCACCACCAGTGTCAGTTTTGAACTTGATATTCATGGTGTAAACATTGCCAAATTTGTTTTTGAGATGCTGAGGGCTACCCAGGCACATAAATTTTCCCTGCACCATGATGGCTAGCCTGGTACAGAGAGCTTCACACTCCTCCATACTAGAAAAACAAGATGCCAGAAGGACATAAGACAAAATTATCTCTGTTGGAGGATATTAAAAAACCCAGTATTTTGTGACCGTCTTTGAAGAAATAATTTTCATTTGCCTATTATCAGGGCCAAAGGGAATACACTATTCCTGGCCCCAGATATTTCCCTCTCAACAGTCATAGAACTTTTCCTATACCCCCTGTGAGCCATACCTGTGAGAGGTTATTACGATGACCTTGCCACTCTTTCGTGTCTTTGTCACTGTGTTCCAGAGCATTCGCCGGGCTAATGGATCCATGCCACTGGATGGCTCGTCTAGGAAGACAACTGATGACTTTCCCATTATGGCAATAGCAGTGCTCAGTTTACGTTTGTTTCCTCCACTTCAGAGTCAGGAAGGAAGAGACAAAGGGGAAGCTTTACATTACAGTAACTTAGTACTGATCACACATCTAATTAACATTTGAATTTTGTTTACAGGAAAAAAATGGTAAGATTTTGAAAGGGCTGAATACGTGGAAACAGTTGCTAAAAAACGTTAAAAAGTGTTAGTTACATGTGACTGTATTTGGACATGAGACAAAACCCAATTGTACTCAGCAATTACTTTCATCTTTAATACAGAATGATGGCTTTATAAAAAATCCGATTTATTTTTAGCTATACTATCAGTAAATTCAGATTTTTATTCCTGAAGTTTCTTGAATTTCTTGAATTTTATTCTTGAATTTCCTAACATATAAACCACATGGCAGCCAGCCAGAACAATACAGAGAACCTCATCTTTGTCCTTTATGAGGAGACAAAGAACTACAGCAAGACAGGAAGAGAGACACTCACTTTTCTAGTTCACTGGCTAGAATTAAAATTGGACCAGGGTTGTGAGTTTATCTCTGCAAACAAAAGGTGTGCTGCTCCTAGGCTGTGCTTCATTGCAGAACACTTGAGTACTTCAGGCTTTGCCTGCCTGCTATGGAGTTTGGTTAGGTTAGACTGTTGTCAATTCATTCTAAACACATCAGATCCCAGGCATGAAAGATGTCAGAACACTACTGCAAAGGGAGCACCAGCATGTGAGCTCACCTCAAAGTGTAAATAAACTTCTCAGCTTGTGGTTGCAGGTACAGCATTTCCAACAAGTTGTCCACATAGGGTCTAATATTGTTCTCTGGAATCCCCCACAGCCTGGCATACATGGTCAGTATCTCCCGAGTGGTCATATACTCCAGCAAGGCATCAAATTGTGGACAATAGCCAATTTTTGACCTTATCTAAAATAAGAGAATATTGACAGAGATGAGACAACTATCTCACTGGGCATCACACAGTGAATGTGGATAATATAAAAATTTCAAAGTTTTCAGGCCTGGAACAAATTGATGCACTTCTAGCAAAGAGTTTTGTATTTTCCAATGGTCACAGAATTACATGACTAGGGTGACTGCATGTATTAGAACTCTAAGGCATAAAGAACTTCATGCACCTTCATGCATGTGCCCAGGATAACTTTTATGAGTGGACATTAGAACTAGAACAGTACAAGTTTATTTGCCTGGAGGATGCTGGTCTACCATCGCTCAACCTATAGTCTTTGTAAGCTTAATCAGAAGTATGAAGTCTATCCTCAACAAGTAAATGAATGTTTTTGGTTAATAAATGTTTTTCATTAATAAATCTTCATTTGTTCTGTCCTGAGGAACACCGGGCTATAAAGAGGGAAGCCTGCTATTGAGGTGAGAGGGTGATTAACAATATCTAGATTTAGTGGTACCCTGACTTCTTAAGTGTGATGATAAATGAGTGAGTAGAGTGTTGTGGGATATTTTGATCAAACTCTGACACTCTTGATACTGAAAATAATGTTTACCATTTGTCAGAGGGCATAGCTAGTTACTAGCTGACCAGAATTAGCCTTAGAGGTTTTGGAAGATCAGGACATATAGAGAGACACAAAAAGTAGTAGAGAGGAGCTTAGAAAGAAGGGGCTCCTTTGGATCGAGGAAAGAGAAAGAGAGGAGATCTCTGTTCACATATCAGCCACTTCTCTGACCAGGTTTTTTCCCCTGATATCTGACTCCAGGGTTTTATTTAATAATAGAACAATATAAATAATCCCTTCAGTGGAGTCATTAATTGTTCTCTTGTGTGTAATATGGCTTTTAGGAGGGGTCAAGATGGAGAGTCTAGAGAAAACGGAACTGTCAGCTGCCTCTTCCCGGTAAGAGGAGACCACGTGGAAATACATAGATCAACAGAAATGGGTTAATAATTAAGACAGAGCTAGCCGATAAGAAACAAGTAACTGGCCAACAGCATTATATCTAATACATACTCTCTGTGTATTAATTGGGGCTGGCGCGGTGGCGGGACCAGACCAGTGGCAGGCAGAAAAACCCTACTCCTTACATATGGCACCCACTTGGCTAATAAGAACTTCCACTTAAAATTTAACAAAAGTTAAAAAAGGGTTTTAGAAACAAAAGAACACAGATAAGCAAGGTTTCTTGGTAGCAGCATTTTTCTCAGTTGGACTCTGACTTGTGAGAGACAAGCAGATATTTGCGCGGCTCCTTTAAGGGAGGATTCCTGACTCAGCATAAGTGGCAAAAACCTCATGGCTTTAAAGAAGCACTGTAACAATTTATTGGTGTGTATGACAGATGGCAATGACAGTGACTACATCTCCAAGCCAGCAGCATGCTTGCGGAATGGCAGCGCAGACCAAGGCAGTGAGCACAGCTTTCAGTGCTGGCGGTAAAAGTACCCGCCACCATCTTTGATAAACCGTAGCTGACACATTTTAGCAATGTTGTTGTTTACCAGATAAAAGACTCATGGCTACAAAAAGATAAAGATTTACAGTAAAGACAGATTCACATTAAGAAAACCTCTAAAGGTTTACAATGTGTTTTAATATATACATTGACTTGGGAGAGAAAAAGAATAAAATGGTTTTAAAAATGCAGGGAGGCACTGGGTGTGATGGCACACACCTTTAATCCCAGCATTGGAGAGACAGAGGCAAGCAGATATCTTGTGATTTCAAAGTAAACCTAGTATGCAGAGTAAATTCCAGGACAGATAAGAGTTACACAGACAAACCCTGTCTCCAAAAAATAAATAAATAAATAAATAAATAAATAAAAATAAAAAAATAAAAGTAAAAGAAACACAGTAATAAAAAAGCCAGGATGGAGAGAATCTGGATACTGTACAGTGTTATATTGTCTTTGTATCTTTTGACTGCTGAGGAAATAACAACTGTTAAAACAAATGCTGCTGGGTCAATCCAATTTATATATTTTAAAAATGCTTTGACTTCAAAATTTAAGTTCAAAGGCAAGTTACTAGAGAAAAGGATTTCTAATTTTGTTTCAACAGAAAATAAAAAGCTGTGGATTCCTTCCAGACTAATGTGGTTTGATCAAGCCAGACCCCCTGAAACAACGTCCCAGGTGGTCCAACATTCAAAACAGTTGGGACAAGCCAGCCTTGCAGACTACAGCCAGGATTTCTGCGTCTTCTTAGGATCCCCAATGACCAGCAGGAAGTAGTTTGGAAAGAACGAAACCAAAATTCCCAAATATTGTTTATAAATGTTTGTTTTCATTTAAATGGACTTGGTTATAAATGGTTAATGATCATAGCCAATTCTTTTTAAAGGTAAAAAGGAAATTATGGTATAGATATGAATACTTTGTTTTGGAACATATTTTCATTTATTGTTACAATTTAAGGTCAATTTTGTGATATGTATATTTCTCCTCTTGTTTAGGTATTGTGTTTATATAGCTCATTTATAAATGTAATGTATAAGGTAGTACAGATTATAAATAATTACCTTTGATAGTCAAAGCTTAGAGTTAAGTTAGGTTTTTCAAGATACACAGACATTTGAGATAGATAGGAATTCTTCAAACCATTCAAAGACCTACAGAATATGGCATTTAAAATGGTTTAGGGTTTTTCTTGACAATGAGGCACAATTACTCCTGGCAACACCACCTGTGTCAGAAAGGAAGATGGACATTGAAGAAACGCATTATGAAGTTTACTTCCAATACGGCAAGACTAGCCATTTGGGCAAGAAACTGCTCTTGTCTGGACTGATTGACTTTATGCTGTGTAAACTGGACATGCAGGACCCACAGAAAAGTGACTGCTGATTCAAAATGAACATTGCTACAGAGTTCCTGCTTCATGGAAGAATCTTCCAGACAGTCTGCAGGACATTGAGAAAAGTGACTGACAAACAGCCAATACAAGAAGACAGTTTAAAGTTTCCTGCTTTGCTGAAGAGTCTGCCAGACACAGTATGGCCTATTGCCTGAAGATGGAAGATTACAGAAAAATTTCGGGTAACTGACAAGGCAAGATGTCTCTGTCATTTCTAGAGTTTATATACTATCCTTCTGTGGTCTTTGAAGGAGTTGAAGACAGATAGTTATGGTTATAGTTTTCCTTAGTTAAGCTTAAAGATAAGTTACATAGACTTTAGACACACAAAGATAGGATAGATGATGGAATATTTTCTTTAAACCTTGCTAAATGTTAATGGACTAAATATTGTTAACTGGGATTCTTACTTGATAACTGTTGTGTTATATATTTTGCTATGTTAAGGTTAAGACCCTTCTTTTTATTTAGACAGAAAAGAGGAGATGATGGGAGATGTCGTTCTGTAAATATGTTTCTCATACTGGTTAATGAATAAAGCACTGTTGGCCAATAGGAAAGGAAGATAGGAGGGACTAGGAGACAAGGAGGAAAGAGGAAGTAGGAAGGAGGAGTCAACATGGAGAGTCTGGAGAGAGCAAAACGCTGGCTCTCAGTAAGATGAGACCACATGGAAATACATAGATTAATAGGAATGGGTTAATACTTAAGACAGAGCTAGCCGATAAGAAACTAGTACCTGGCCAATAGCATTATATCAAATACAGAGTCTCTGTGCATTAATTGGGGCTGGCGCGGCGGCAGAATCAGACCTGGTAGCGGGCAGAAAAACCTTACTCCTTACACTTAATTGTTCTCTTGTGTGTAATATGGCTTTTTGAGCATTTTCTAAAATACAAATAAGTGTAGTTGGAATCCTTGCTCTTATCTTAGGCACATTACTCATGAACTAATAATACACACTATAGAAAATAAATTACCCAAAGACAAAACATTTACCCACTTTGCAATTAAAAGTCAATGGTAAAGTAATAAGCAGTTCAAATACTTATTTATTTTATTGGAAGACTGATAGTTTTAAAATATTTCTATTTTGGAACTATCAAACTTCTCGAGAACAATGCTAATCCATGGGTGAATGCAATTTGTGGAATATTTTAAGCATTGTGAGCTACAGTGAAAAGGCTACTTTCAAACACATAACAGTAATAAATAACCTAAATGGCTAAAAAGTCAACTCAAATGCTGTGGAAGGTATACATATTAATTTGTTTAAACCCAAGACTTAAGTTTATGGATTAAATCTTTGAGGAAAAGCATTAAATAATGCTATCTATGTATGACATGTTTTAATATTTATTTTAAAGCATTGCAATATTGTAACTATAATGAAACAAAATTAAAATTCAAAATAAGTGTATGTTTAGAAAATCATGTTTTTAGGAAAAGATAAATAAAGCCCAGATGTGCTGTGGTTTAACAAGGGCTAAAAGCTGGTTGTAGTAGTGCATGCCAGGAGGACATACTGAGGAGACAGAGGCAGGAGAATCAGGAAGGAAGATAGAAGATTAAATAAGGTAATCAATCAATGGAGCCATGAATCTGTGTAAAGAACACAGTGCCTGTTTTCAGATCCAGGTTTATGACTAAATAAATAATGCAGTGCCGGGTGTGGTGGCACACCCTTGGGACACAGAGGCAGGGAAAATCTCTGTGAGTTCAGGGACAGCATAATTTACATATTGAGCTGCAGGGCAACCAGGACTACACAGTGAAGACCTGTCTCAAAAAACCAAACAATAGAAATCGTTTAAAATATGAAAGAGCTGAAAAGGTATCTAAACTAATTAGCAGATCAAGATTTTTAAGAGTTCACGAATACTGAGAAATAATTGTAGTGTCAACACTGTGTTCTCTCTGAAGGTATTTAAAGAGCTGGAGAAATAGAAATTTTATAATTAATATACATAAGAAAAAGCTAAGGTATTTGGAAAATAAAGGCATGATATTGGAGACTCTGCCTGTGTTAATCAAAGATTCCAAAGTGTAGAAGAGTCTGCACTGTATATGCATATGTTTTGACATTATTTGAAGGTGTTGATGAGGACTAGGTTAGGTTGAGTCACACCCTGACTCATCCTGGAAAAATGAATAAAAGGAAATGGACCCATTGCAACCTCTGGGCACTGGGCCAACCCCACACATGCCCTTCACATTTGCTTTCACATTGTCTGACAAATTTCCCTTTTGTTCAAGGTCTTAAATTACTCCTAACATTATGCTTTAAAGACAATGTAACAGGAATTAAAAAAATATTCGAGCACACAAATTAATAAGCAATTACAAATGGCATAAAACAAAGTGGTGAACAATCAGAAAAAATAAATCTGATACTGAAATCAGCATATCCAGATGGCAAAACAGCTGTTGATCACTTGAAGAAAATAAGAGACTGCCATAAATGTTTCCCACCATTTTATTTTGAAAAAAAATCCAAACATAGAAGAGAATTTAAAATAACAGTACTATGAACACTCTTAAAGCCTGCAATAAGAGGAGCTAAATAACTGTTTCAGCAGCAGGAAACACTGGCTTACACAAGAACCAGACAGAACAGCTAAAAGTGAAAAGTGCCACAATTAAGATGACTATAGAGAATGAATTTAACACAGATTAACTACAGCTGATGAAGCATTATGAATTAGGAGACTCCCTGGCAGTTGTAGCTGTTTATATATCTGATTCAATGGGTATTGTATTTAGTACAATAATGTACTTTAAGTACTCTGCAAGTTTCTTGGTTCATATTAATTTTTCAATAAATGTCAAGTGCAAATGCATAATGATGGAGGGGAGTCAGGAAATAACCTCAGCTGAGTTGTTTTGTAGTGAGTTATTTTGTAATTTGAGAGCTAAGTCATATATCTAAGATAGGTGTATATGATTTCAATTATCCTATTAAAGGTGCATTCTTCAAAAAACAAAAAATTCAATAAATCCTAAAATCAGGTGTCTATTCTCTCCAATTATGCGCAATAGAAAGCTTAAAGTTGTAGCTTTATCAATTAACCTGCTTTAAGTAAGTGCTTCTCGATTTTTCTTCTTCCTTTTAGGTGGGACTAATGGCTAGAGCTTTTTGGAGTTGAGCATTGCCTTTGTTCCGGTCTTTCGGGCTTTGCTTAAATAACTCCTCCTATGTGCAGGCCTTTTAAGGACAGACAGAACACTCTGTTTATTGGTTCTTGTTTTCTTCCTCCTACAGGCTGTCTAAGGGATATTTAAGATTTGTTCTGCTGCACTTCCAGCAATTCATCATCAAAGGTTCAGTTCTTCTACCCCAATATTAGCTCCCCCATAATTTCTACTCTGAAGCTGTTTTGTCTGGGTCTGGTCTATGTGCTTACATGCATATGAATATGGGAATTCACATGCGGTCAGAGGACAACTTCTACCTTATTTGAGGCTGGGTCTCTTGATATTCACCACTGTGTACACTCAGCTAGCTACCATTCTCCTTTCTTTGTCTTCTTGCCATAGGAATGCTGGTATTGCTTATGAGTGTTCTACTGAATCTAGCTTTTCTTGAACACTAGGTATCCAGAGTCACTGTCAGGCTTGATTGGCAAGCACCCAAATCATAGCCATCACTTTGATCCAGCCCTAGAGTTTTGTGTCAGATTAAGTGGTGATTCACTGTTTTCACTTTCTCAGTGCCTTAATTTGGGTTGTCAGTTGGTTTCTAGTTGAGATTTTTTTTTTTTTTTTTTTTTTTGAGACAGGGTCTCACTGTGTAGACCAGGCTGGCCTAGAACTCCAGAGATTAACATGTCTCTGCCTCCTGAATGATGGCATTAGAAGCATGTGTCACCATGCATATCTGATTCAGAGTTATAATTGCTAGGGTTGGACTGGTACTCTCAAGTTTCTTCTTAAACAATAGGCTGGAGATTCCAAGTCTAATGGATGTCTACATGTACACCAAGTACATTATGTGGTGTGCTAGAAGAGCTGCTGAGAGTGGTTACATTTCACTTGAAGGACACTTACAACTTAGCTCTCAAGGTGACACTGCCTTTCTTACCCCCACATGTCCCCTTACATTTTACTTTTCTTTCCAAAAATGTCTTGTAGAATGCACAGAATCATCTCAACACCTGTCATAATTTCCATCTGGCATCTCCTACTATTTACCTCCCTCCTGCACCCCTGAGTCATCATGCTTCTGTCCTGCAGACTACATGCTACCATACCTTTAGGATATTTTTGGTGATGCTGTAGCCTTCAATGAACACATCCCCAGATGTAGCAATCTGTTCTCCGGTCAGAATTTCAAAGGTAGTAGTTTTTCCAGCTCCATTTAGTCCAAGCAATCCAAAACACTCCTCTTTTTGAATGGAGACAGAGATATTTCTCACAGCCAGAGTGGGTGGTATATTAAAATATATCTAAAAAAACACAAAATACATGGAAACTATGTATTTGGATGGGTCAAACACAGTTTCAAACCTTTACAGACCACAGTACTTCAGAGAGTTTCCTAAGAACTCAACTTGGGAAACAACCATAGATTCCCCAAAGGACCTCAGTGAGTCCTTGATGCTCATCTTAGGGAATGGAACCATATGCTGGCCATTAAAAGATATTACCTTTACAAGCTCTTTAATGAGCACACTAGAATTCAGTGACTGCTGAGGATTCTGCAGGATAGTCTCCCTTTCATTTTGTACATCTTCGTCTTCAGATTTCCCGGATAACTCCTTGGATACTCTAGCCTGTATTGTAAAGATGAGAATGAATTGAAGATACTGTCTGAGTATCTGGTCTAGACTGAATGAATTCATGAAGGTTAAACTGGAGGGTTATTTCAGAGTACCAAAACAAAAGTTGAGAGACTTCCTCTGTATGACCACAACTCTCTTGTAAAAACCGATTTCCCATTTCCAAAGCTTGGAAACTGGGCTTCCTGTCATAAGCAAGAGTGCTTTCAAAGTAGACATCACAAAATCTACAGCCACAGCAAATACCATTGATTATGGTTAAAAAGATGTTTGCTAATAATAAAGTACAGGTGAATGTCAGAGAAAGATTGTTTTCACTGCTCTCTCCCTTCCCCCCTCCCTCCGTCCCTCCTTTCTTTCCTCCCAACCTCTCCTCTATCTCTCTCTCCCTCTTGTGGCTGCAGATGGATCAAGATTTGCACTCTCAGCTGTCCCTTTGCTCTGCCATTAGGGAATCTTAACCCTCTGAAAATATAAGCCAAATTAATGCTTCCTTTTATTAAAAAACAACAACAACAATAAATCTTTCCCTAGAGAAAGGAGAAATAGAGTCTGATGTGAGAACTCATTCAGCCAAAAGTCCTTGAGGTACCAGCTCTTCGGGGTGGGGTCTCAAGTGCTACCTGTGGATTAGGAGCAAGCTCTCTTGCTCTCTTGGGTGCTGATCCTGGATCAGCTTCCAGCACTCTGGGCAGAGGATCTTGGTAGTTCTCTATCTTATTTTTGTTATTTGTGAGTGATTCCCTAATAAATACTGGACTTCCCTTTATCTGGGCGTTTGTGGACTTTATTACAATAATGCATTATATTTTGATGCCCAAGAACACTAATGCCCCAATAGGGGCAAAATTGCTCCACAAAGACAACTCAGAAAATACTTCTGAGTTAAATCAGCCCATGTACTTTAGGGATGTGTTGACCTCAAAATAGAAACCAGGATATGTGCCATGTTAGGGAAAGGGTTTCACTTTTATATCCATAGGAGAAGAAAAGTTATGGATGCCATCAAAAGAAATACCTATTTTCAAGAGGTCAAAAGATCTTGGACATATAGATGTATAAAGAAGAAAGGATAATTATCTAGGAAGAATCACTAAGCAAAGAAAAATCTGACTTATGGTGTCAATCTCTCCTGCAAGGTTAAAAAAAAAAAAATCTCACTACCTAAACACCTATATCTCTTCACTTCTCAATATAGTGGTAGTCCTGACTCAAAAATCAAATCCAAACATGTTTTTAAAACAAAAATTCAGAGTTTCTGTCTTATACCAGAAGAGCAACTTGATGTGAGACAAGAAAAATAATTTTAGGGACTAATGTTGTCAAAACTGTTTCTCCCCCAAAATTCTACTTCTCCCCATACTTAATTTTGTCTCTCTTTGTACCTTTCCTTGGATATATGTCTATCAAAATTTAAACTTTCTGTTTTGATATTAATAATGTTTAAGTTTTCCACAGTGAACAATACATTTTCCTAACAGCAATCTCTGGATTTTACAGAAAGAAGATGGGGCCCCACAAGGATTCCACCTGGTTCATTATCATGCCTTGGAGCAGATAACACAACTCAAATATCAGTGTTGGACCTAAATTGCTAAGACAATTCCAAATTGGCTAGGTAAGATGGTCCACCTTCTTACAACACTCTGGCCAAAGCTTCAGATAAGAACTTCAGATATGATAGGACAGACTTTGAATATCCCCCATGGAAGGCCTCACCCTCCTGGGGAGCAGAAAGGGAATGGGATGGGGGGACAGGGGAAGAGGAGAGGGTGAAGTAACTGGAATTGACACGTAAAACAAGCTTGTTGAAAATTTAAATTTAAAAAAATTATAAAAAAATAAAAACTTCAGATAAGCCTCATCTCTTATCCAGCTACAAATGTTACATCTAGTCCCCTTGAGACTTAATCATTGCTGAAGTTTCTTACAGAATCCCATAGAGAAGCCTTCACCCCCATGACAGCTGGAAGTAATTTTAAGAAAAAAATGCTCCCTCTCCCCACAGTTGGGTTAGTTGGTGTTTTGGTTTTTCTCAAGGTTATGGAAAACTGTCACCTGTTAAGGGTTGGTTATAAGTTGTTAGGGTTGGGGTGGACTATGAAGTTTAGACTCAGGAATCTCTTTTGGAAAATAATAGGGGGGAATGGATGGAATGGGATAATAGGTAGATTAGTGTATCTAGTGTACTATTTCAGCAACTATTAGTTATAGACAATTTATATTGATTTCAGATTCTTGTATATTGATACATATGTAAAATTATTTTTGTATTCCTAAGGTAATTTCTATATTGATACAAACTTGAAATTATATTTGTTTTTTGTGTATGTTCCTTTGTTTTTTTTTTACCATTATTGTATGTTTCTACATACTCAATTTGTATATTGATGCAATTTTAGAATGTTTCCATATATTGCACTACAGATTTCTACCTCTGTTCAGGATATTTACACATATATTTTTATAATTCGAGGTCATTGTCCTCATTGCTACACATCTGTTTAAAGATTGTTTTATTTTATATGTGAAGCATTAATCTTCAAGCTATATAGGTATTAGGAATAGGTTATAGTCACCCATGTGTTTCATAACTAGTTCTGTTAATCAGGTTCTCTAGTTGCACAGAGATATACCCTGCATCGTTATGCTTTTTAAATTCTTGAAAGACCTACAGAATATGGAATTTAAATGTTTTAATAATTTTGAACTCCCTTGACATGAGACATAATTGCTCCTGGCAGCACCAAGCTATTCCTGAGAGTGTGAGAGAGTATGATGGGCACCGGAGACACTCCATTTGGAGTTTGTTTTCTTCTTTTTTTCTCATTTTCTAATTTCATTAATGTGATGACTTGATTTTGGATTATCACACTGTCATTATGTTTCTGGAATATACCTTGCCAGGTCATGAGTTCATGCTAATACTTTTGTCAAATATTTTGCCTCCACGTCATGACTTATGTTTATGATTGTGAGCCTAGCCTTTAACACCTGAACTATCCATCCAGTCCTCATGACTTATCTTAAACCTTCCTGTTTTAAAAATTCTTTTTAGGCAACATGTATGTTGCTATGGCCGCATAAGAGAATCGAGTAGAAATATCAGAAGGTAAGAATGGAAATCAGTGAAATGGGGTAACATGTAAAAAAAGAAATAAAGAAAAGATAAAATTATCTTAAAAAAATAACCCCAAAATTTGGTGCACTAGAGATATTAACAAAACTAGTGAGGCTCTAGCAAGGTTAATTAAGTAAAATAAAATAATAAAGAAGAGTAGATGGGGGAGAAACCACAAATTTCTAACAAACATCAAATATAAAAAAAAAAAATGTAAGTAAACAGGTCTTTCTGTGATCACCCTTAATGTCTCAGGGTGGTCCAGTGTCCTTCTCCCGGCACTTGAGGATTTCCCCGACTTGTTCTGTCATCATTGACAGGCTACCACACTCAGCTCTTGACCTGTAGAGTCCATCTGAAGCTCTTTGAATAGTTACTGCTTCATTGCCTGAGCTGCCTTCCCCAACTCAATGCCTTGAATTTTCTCCCTCAAGTATCATACAAGTTTCCAGAACTTAGTTTGGTTCCTACTAGATAAGGTTTCAGCATTTTATACTTCCTTTTATCAAAAACCCTATTCCCATAACTGATATTTGTCTGATCTCTGATCTGGTTCCATCCTGGGGCCCTTTCTTTGGAATATCTGTAGACTCCTTCTTTTACCTCTCCTCTAAGACCTGGGATCTGCTTGTTCCTCCTAGACATTTATGGAAATTGAGTCCAGCATTCAGTGTTACACTGAGCCACAGTAGGTACTTGAGGGACATATTTGAAATGCATTACAACCCTTGAATTGAGCAACATGTTTTACTGCCAAAGAGCAATACTTCTGGTGTAGGCTAGCTAATTGCTGATTTGGCCTCATTCCCTAGTCCTGAGGCTATGCCACAACATTAATGTAATTCTTCCTTCATTCTATTGATGAGCTTCTCAGCTAAATAGGAAACTTTCATCAACTCTGGACACCAGGCTGCCTCTAGTGTTATTCTCAAAGCTGAGTCTGTGTTTTGGTGTCTGCCCAACCTGTAGAATGCAGCCTGGAAACTCCTGCTTTCTATGCCTCACTTAATCTAAATGTTCATTTCTAAAAGTGGCAGGAACATGTAACACACGTACATTTTCAAAGCATACTGTAAATTTTACCACATCGAAAACACAGGGGGTATAGACCAGTAATTTATAGTTTAACAAGACCTATGCATGAGTCTGGGGTATGCTGCAGCATTAAAATACCTATCACACAGACTGGAATATATGTTTTACAGATTGACAACCTTGGAACTTTTATGATAGCCAAAGCCAAATTGGGACAAAATGGGCACGCTGGGGGAGGGAGGGGAATGTGTACCTAACATACAAGTTATTCAAAGGAAAAAATTCAATAAATAAACAGTGCATTACAATTAAAATAAAATCACAAAATTTACATTTTATGTAGGCCTCTGATTCATGAAAATGTCAGTCAGCATAGATGATTTCCTTAATCTACTGTTATGATTTTAGTATGAAATGTTTTCCACCAGTTTGGTCCCCAGAGTGTGGCATTATTGGGAACCAAGAGGTAGAACTGAGCTGATGGAAGTAAGTCCTTGGGAGTATCTTGTCCTTGGCCTCTTTTTTGCTTCACTCTGTGTTTTTTCATCATGGGGTTAAACATCTCCTCAGCCATTCACTCCTGCTGCCATGATGTTTTGCCCAAGCACATAGTGCCAAGCAACCATGAATGTAGCCTCTGAAGTCATGAGCAAACAAATTTCCCCTCAAGGTGTTCTAGCAGGTGTTTTTGGTCATAATAATGATAAAGCCAATAAATCCAGTAACAGAGTTAATCATGTGTACATATGTGCTTTTCATTTTAAGAGTTACCTCTGTAGAACTAATAGAACCTACTCCAAATGCCATGGCAGATTTTGATGATCCCTCCTGGAAGGCATCACCCTCTCTGTGGAGTAGGTGGAAATGGGAAGGGAGGAAGGGAGAGGGAAATGGGATCAATATGTAAAATAAGAAAAAATAATAAATATTTAAAAAAGAGTTATCTCTAACCCATAACTGGACATTGTGCAGAGGGAGAGATTTTGAAACACTCAACCCTAAATAGGATGTCTCCATCAAACCTCTCCCCTAAAGTCTCACGGAAGAGGATGGTTTGAATAAGAATGGCTCCTGTGGTAGTTTGAATATAATTGGCCTCCGTAAGCTCATATGGAGCAGCACTATTAGTAGGTGTGGCCTTGATGGAGGAAATATATCACTGTGGAAGTAGGCTTTGAGGTCTCGTATATGCTCAAGATACTCCCCGGTGTCTCACACCACTTCATGTTGCCTGCATGATGTAGGACTCTCAGCTACTTTTTCAGCACCATGTCTGCCTACATGTTGCCATGCTTCCCATCATGATGATAATGGACTAAACTGTAAACAAGCCATCCCAATTAAGTGTTTTCCTTTATAAGAATTGTTCATCATGGTGTGTCTTCACAGTAATAAAACACTAAGACATGGAGCTATGCAGAAGAAGAGGCAGAAAGATTGTAAGATTCAAAGGGAATGGATAACACCAAGGAAACAAGGCCTTCTAGACACAACAGGATGAGCACACATATGAACTCACAGGAATCTGTGGCAGTATGCACAGAGCCTGAACAGCTTCAAGTGCAGACAGCATTCAAGCACCACCGAGATGGAGAAGTGGACATAAACTCCCATCCATAACCAAGAAGCTTATCTCCAATTGACATCCACTTGGAAAGGAAAAATTAGTTTTCCCCAATAGCATTTCATTGGGTATATTAACCACACTTGAGGGCAGGCCCCATGCCCAGTAGTAGATGACCAACACAAAATGGACTCAAAGGTATTTTTGTAGATGCTTTCTGTCTCTTAGTGCTCTGTTCAGGTGCATTTTGTTTTACTGGCCTTTTGCTTATGTAATATAGCTTCAGATTTTGTGGTTTTATGTGTTGTGTGACTGTGTTTCTTATTCTTTTTTTAAATTATGGTTTGTTTATTTGAGTGTTTTCTAAAGAGAGAGAGAAAGAAAGAAAAGGCATGGAGTTGGGCTGGTGGGGGAATCTGGGAGGAGTTGAGGGGATAGATTGAAATTTTTTGTTCATACCATAAAATACACATTTTAAAAATGACTAAGATCTGTATTCTGCTACTTACCTTACTAAATATCCTATAGATTCCAAAGAAAACATAGCGATATATGAATGTTTTAAAATTCCACGCAGTAATCTCCAGAAGGAAAATGAGGAAGAGGTATGTCGCTCCCGTGGCAGCCATGGCAGCCACATGCCTTCCAATCGCACTTTGGTTCATACTGTATATAGGAAAATCATTTACTGGTGAGAAGAACAACAGAAGTATGTTAACACACTGAGATGTCACCAAGGTGCTTGACAGGAGATTCCTGCCTTCTCTTCCCTTCACAAGTAGATCAACTGTCAGCTAGGAGCAGAAATGGTTTGCTGTAATCCACAAAACAAGAAAATAAGAATGAGACATCTCTGTACACTGCAGGCCTGAATAAATATCCATACTGATAGAAATGCACTTCTATGGAATGTATGACATTCTTCTTTCCAAGAGATAGCATACCAGCACACAGAAGAAACACCCCCAGGGAAAAGAATGTGGAGAGCAGAATCCAGGTTCCTTATCATTTTAGGGAGCCTTTGGAGACATCTGACTCTTTTCTCAATTATTGGGAATGCTAGCAGGAAAACTGAGTGTTTGACCACACATAGAGTCAAATAAAAAGAGAGTGAGCAGGCAACACTGTCCACAGACCATGCTACTAAAGGAGAAATACACACACCAGCAGCAGAGCATTGCCAGCCAGCACACTTGAGCTTAGCTGCTCTCTTGGCTCCCAGAAGAGGTGCACAGAGCTTACCTGGATGGATTTCAAAGAGAGCTAGCTTGCAGGTATATCTTCATTCCATTTCCTACCATGTGGTATAAGCACTATCCCAGAAGAAATCTGCTACAGTATAAGAAAAAGCATCCCTTGGTCCACCCAAATTGATCCTCAAAATTAACATTTTGTGCTAATTATATTCTATACCACGTGATCTTTCTAGATAAGGGACTAAGCCAGTGGCTATACTTAAATTCAGAGCACAGCCAGTAACCAAGAGACACAAAGAACTTGAAGGGAAGGCTTTACCAGCTGAGTGACATTACTGGCAGGCCCCTAATGGGAGATGCCATTCTGTAAATATGTTTCTCTTACTGGTTAACAGGAAAGCAAGATAGGTGGGACTAGGAGAAAAGGAGGATTCTATGAGATGTAGGAGGATTCAAGATGTAGGAACTTGAGAAGAAGGTCTGGACCCTTCTTCGGCAAGATAAGACCACATGGAAACACTTAGATTAATAGAAATTGGTTAAATTAGGTTTTCTAAATGTATTTGAGGTGGATAAATATTCTTCAAACCTTTCAAAGACCTACAGAATATGGCATTTAAAATGGTTTAGGGTTTTTCTTGATAGTGAGACACTATTGCTCCTGGCAACACCACCTATGTCAGAAAGGAAGATGGACATCCAAGAAACTCGTTATGGAGTTTGCTCTCAATATGGCAAGACTAGTCATTTGGGCAAGAAACTGCTGTTGTCTGGACTGTTTGACTTTATGCTGTATAAACTGGACATACAGGACCCAAAGGAAAGTGACTGCTGATACAAGATGGACATTGCTACAGGGTTTTTTCTTCATGGAAGAGTCTGTCAGACATTCTGCAGGACACAGAGAAAAGTGACTGACAAACCGCCAATACAGGTGGGCAGTTTAAAGTTTCCTGCTTTGCTGAGGAATCTGTCAGACACACTATGGCCTATAGGCTGAAGATGGAACATTACAGAAGAACTTCGGGTGACTGACCAAGTAGCAAGATGTCTCTGTAATTTCTACAGTTTATATACTATCCTTCTGTGGTCTTTGATGGAGTTGAAGACAGATAGTTATGGTTATAGCTTTCCTTAGTTAGGATTAAAGATAAGATACATACTAGACTTTAGAATCACAAAGATAGGATAGATGATAAAATATTTTCTTTAATTATTGATAATGTTAATAGATTAAATATTGTAATTATAGTTCTTGCTTTTATATTTTATTATGTTGAAGTTAAAACTCTTCTTTTTATTTTAGACAAAAAAGAGGAGATGATGGGAGATATCATTCGGTAAATATGTTTCTATTTTTGGTTAATGAATAAAACTCTGTTGGCCAACAGAAAAGCAAGATAGGCAGGACTAGGAGACAGGGAGGATTCTGGGAGATATAGGTTTCAAGGTGTAGGGACTTGAGAAGAAGGTCTGAACCCTTTCTCCGGTAAGATAAGACCACGTGAAAACACTTAGATTAATAGAAATGAGTTAATATTTAAGACAGAGCTAGCCAATAAAAAACACTAGTAACAGGCCAACAGCTTTATGTCGAGCACAGAATCTCTGTGTGTTATTTGGGGCTGATGTGGCTGTGGGACCAGGCTGCTGGGAAAACTGCTCATAACAGGCCCCACTAGAATAGTGAAAGCATGTCACTCTGAGAGAGAACTTACTGGTTCTTTAAAAGGTACCTCAACAAATATACAAACACCAAAGAATTTACCAATATCTACACAAGGATCACAAGTCCCCAACCTGGCACTTTCAATAATGGACTCTCAGATGGACTGAGATGAGAGTTCAGCAGGTAAGAACACTTTTTGCAAAGGACCCAGGTTCAGTTCCCACATGGGCACTCTTGGTCATCTGTAACTCAATAGATTTCAACAGCAAGCTTGATCAAACTAAAGAAAGAATAGAATTAGTGGACTCAAAGATAGAACATTCGAAGCCTGCCAGTCAAAGGAACAAATTAAAAAGCTAATAAAAAAAGAGGAATGACTCTCTGAAGGATTTTTTTTTTCCTGGCTCATCATCAGGAGATCAAACCTACTTGCAATAAAATTTAAAGAAAGTGAGAAATGAGAGAGGAGCTCAGAGCCTTAGCTAAAGAACTTGTGTAGAAATTCTCATGTTCCAGAAAAGCAATCAACTACCTAACCTCTGGAAGCACAGGATCAATAATCAAACCCAAACCAGAAGTTCACCAAAATGCCTGATGATAAATTTTAAAATCTCAAAGACAAGAAAAACTGTATGTAACATAGTATGTACTCACTCATAAGTGGATATCAGCTGTAAAGGATAACTAGACTAGAATCCACAGTCCCAGAGAAGCTAGGTCATTAGGGAAGGCCCAAAAAGGGACTCATGGATTTCCCCAAGAAGGGGAAATCGCAGAGATCACCTGGGGTGGAGGGATGGGAACCGGAAGGATTGGATTGAAAAAGGTGGCAGTATGGAGGAGAGGAGTAATGAAAGAGATATTTGATGGGGGGCATTTTGGGGTCAGGAAGAAACCTGGTGCCAGGGAAACTCCCAGGAATCCACAAGGATGACTCTTAGCAATAGTGGAGAGGGTGCCTGAACTGGCCTTCTCCCATAATTAGATTGGTGACTACCCTAATTGTCATCAGAGAGTATTCACTCAGTAACTGATGGAAGTGGGTGCAGAGATCCACAGCCAAGCACCAGGAGTCCTGTTGAAGAGAGGGAGAAGGGACTGTACAAGCCATGGGGAGTCAAGGTCATGATGGGTTAACTCACACAGACAGCTAAGCTGAGCTAGTGGGAGCTCACAGACTCAGCAAGGGAGCCTGCATTGGACAGACTTAGGTCCTCTGCATGTGTATGACAGTTATATAGCTTGGTCTGTTTGTGGGGCTCCTGGCAGTGGGATCAGTGCCTGTCTCTGGTGTATGAGCTAGCTTTGGGGAACCTATTCCTCAAGTTGGGCTGCCTTGCCAAGCCTTGATGCATGGAGAGAAACTTGGTCAAGCCTGAACTTAATGAGCAATGCTTTGTTGACTTCCACGAGAGGCCTAACCCTTTCTGAATAAAGACAGAGGAGGAATGGATATGGTGGGAGAGAGATAAGAGGTCAGGGGAGGGAATGTGAGGAGAGGAAAGAGGGGAATCTGGCTGGTATGTAAAATAAATGAAAAAAATTTAATTAAAAAAGTATAAGCAGCAATAAATAAAAATAACACCAGGCTGGAGAGTTGGTTCAGTGGTAAAGAGCCATGGCTGCTCTTCAGGAAGAAAAATACTTAGTTTTCAGTACCTACATGTAGTAGTTCACAAACGCTTGTTACTCTAGCTCCATGAGATACAATGCCATGTTCTGGCCACCAAAGGCACCTACACTCATGTGTACATACATGGATACATAATTGAAAATAAAATATTAAAAAATAACCCCATTAAAAATGGGGTATAGAACTGGAGAGAATTCTCAATAGAGGAAATCAAAAAGGCTGAAAGATACTTAAGAAAGTGCTCAACATCCTTAGTTATCAAGGAAATGCAAATCAAAACAACTTTGAGATCCATCTTACTCCTGCCAGAATGGCTAAAATTAGAAACACCAATGACAACTTATGTTGGAGAGGATGTGGAGAAAAGGAAACACTCCTCCACTGCTGGTGGGAGTGCAAATTCATACAGCCATTTTGGAGATGAGTATGGCGGTTCCTCAGGAAAATGGGAATTAGTTTCCCACAGGACCCGGCAATACCCCTCTTAGGCATATACCCAAAGGATTCACATCCATGCAACAAAGACATCTGTTCAACTATGTTCATAGCAGCACTATTTGTAATAGCAAGAACCTGGAAGCAACCTAGATGCCCCTCAATTGAAGAATGGTCAATGAAGATGTGGCACATCTACACAATGGAATACTACTCTGCAGAAAAAAATAATGGTATCTTGAAATTCGCAGGCAAGTGGATGGCACTTGAAGAAACCATCCTGAATGAGGTAACCCAGTCACAAAAAGAGGAACACAGTATGTACTCACTCATATATGGATTTTAGACCTAGATCAAAGGATCACCAGCCTATAATTCACATCACCAGAGGAACTAGGATACAAGGTGTATTCTAAGAGATTCATATAAAGTCCCTCACAGAACTGGGAAGGGACAAATTCCCCAGAGCTCAGGTGAAGTGGGGGGGGGGTGGCAGTGAATGGAGAGAGAAGTAGGAGAAAATGAGGGGGAGGAAAGGAAAACATGTGCGACCAGCAAGATTGAGCCTGGTTAGGAATAGAAGATAGGAAATAGAGAGACAGAGACAGAGAGAGAGAACATAAAAGAGGGAGCCAATATTGGTTTGAAGATAAAATTGAACACAAAGAAAGGTCTAGAGAACTACAAGACTGCTCCCAACTAACAATTTGAGCTTCCGTGGAAAGGCTGTCATAAATGCCCTTCCTGGAGAGTGAGATCAACAACTAACTTCTCCATGGAGCCCTCAACTAATGCCTGCTGAAAACAGGATCAAACACCCATACATAAACACTGAGTCGAACTAGAACCCAGATGCAGATGGAGAGGACAAGACCATGCGGCAGAAACACATAGAGACAGCTTACCTGAACAAGGAGGAGCTAACGGCCACTAGACTGATAGCTGGGAAGCCAGCATGGGACTGACTCAGGCTTCCCTGAATATGGGTCTCAGCCAGAAGGACAGAGCAGTCTAAGGGACCTCAGTGGAGCCAGGATGTATCCCTGGTGCACAAAAGGACTTTGCGAACATATCCCCCATGGAGGGATAACTGCCTTAATCTAGAGACAGGAGAGAAGTCCTAGTCCCTACTTCACATGACCTGTCAGAGCACACGGAATTGTTAAGAAGAAATGTGTGTGGCAAGTACAGCCTAAGGACAAAGTCTCCTGAGTTTGGGTGGCAGCTGAAGACTATTTTAAAAAGCTACAACCAAAAAATCCCACACTCTCTGAAAGGCTTGGGGAAGAAAAACAAAAGAAAACCTAGCTGTCCCAGCAGGGACTCAGGCAGTAGTCCTGCTGCAGCTCAGGCCATTGGCCTCAAATTGACTTTTTTGTGACTCCACACCTTAATATTGGGTGCTAATTTGTAACATGAAAAATAAAAACCCAGAGATAGATATAGGGTTCAAGCTAATGGTCAGATAAACAAAGCAGCAGGCCACTAGCTCATACCTCTATCTCAGATGGAAAGGGGTGATCCTGCCTCCACAAGCTCTCCACCAAGCCCCAGTCTGCTGCCTCTCCTTATTGTGACTGCAGACCAAATCTTCACATGAGACCCTTTGATTCTTCCTTTTTCACCTCCCTTGTGCTGGGATTAAAGGCACATGATCTCAAGTGCTAAGATCACATCTGTGTGAGCTGTTTCTCTTTAGGACTGGATCAATTTTGTGTAGCTCAGTGTGGTCTTGAACTAACAGATCCATCTGCCTGACTTCTGAGTTCTGGGATTAAAGGTATATGCTACAACCACCTAGTTCTAAGGCTAGCTAGGATGTATGGCTTCTGAGATTAAAGACATGTACCATCACTGCCGGACTTTTCTTTCACTTCCCCTCTGGCTCCATCCTTGGAACTTTCTTGGCATGACTGGAATTTGGGGTACAACTGCTTCTTTTTCTCCTGTCCCACAAACTCATATTTACTGTAACATTTGAGTCTGACTGTAATTTCCCAGGTGTATTTGCCTTCCATCTTCCCATTTCCTTAGCATTGTGAAAGTGCTTTTTAGTGTATAACAGGCACACAACCTCCTCATTAGCTGTCTCTGGAGTTGGAATGTTTATCCTTACATCTTCACTGAACGTGTATTCTTTCTCTTACCACTGAAATAACTCCTTCCACCCTTTAATTACTCATTCACAAACATTTGTGTGTCTCTCATATGCCCAGCCCCATGTTAAACATTGATTTGGGAATCTTCCCTTCAAATACTAGTGTGTAGAGGAAGCAACCTGACACAAATTAAATTCCCTGAAGAATGTAACTACCTCCTTTCATTGGAGAATCTTCTTACCAGATGAAATGTGTACATATTTTGAATCTTAGCTAAGGCTGTGTTTGTGATATAGCACAGAATATCCTCTCAACTAGAGGGTGTCAATGCATAACTTGAGTTGTTGCAGAAATGCACAGTGATACAGAAAGTTATTCACATGTCACATGTAAAGTGATTGTTCTTGACTGTCATGAATCTCGGAAATCCTCAGATACTCACTGTTCTTGCAGTCTTTATACGTGAGACCATATTTTGAAGAACACGCTTTCCTCATCTCTTGGATATCATAGAATTTGTTGATGCTCATCCCAAGGTTATAAACAGGTAACATCAGCAGTGAGTTAAGTATGAGGTTCTTAGTACTGGCCCTAATATCTGTGATTTAAAAGATAACATTAGCATGCTTTACATAAAGTGAACTCTTTGGAGACTATCTCAAACTGACCAAATTGAAATGAGAAAATTACAAGGCATAGTACTATTCTCAAAGAATTTCTTGCCATTATCAAGTCTACCCTTGATGTCCCAGAACACAATTTATTTCGATGATTACAGCTTGGGAAAATCCTTTAAGAAAAGTTGATATGCATATAATCTGTCATCTGAGAGAACTGGAGCAACGTGCATTACTTCTTGCACTTCCTTTCCTGTGTGACCCATGAAGAAATAAAGTTACATCAGGCATGGCGGTATGTATTTTAATCCTTGAACTCAGGAGCCAAGACAGAAGGAGCAAAAGTTTGAAAGCAGCTTGAGCTACACAGTGAGAGTTATAGGCCAAACTGCACTACAACACTCAAATGGATAAGAAGTGATTAATCAGTTGAAGGAAGGTATCTTTAAAGGGACAAATTTAAAACTGAGGTTCTCTAAAGAGTAACAGAGCAAAACAGCTAGAAAGTGTGTGTGTGTGTGTGTGTGTGTGTGTGTGTGTGTGTGTGTGTGTGCAAGGACATAGGAAACACACTGAAGGGTTAACATTCTGAATTCACACTTTTGAACTTAAAGGACAAGTTCAGATTCCTGGAAATAAAAATAAGGTAATTGTTGGAAAATGCATATTAATTATACAAATGAATAGGTTTCACTATGGCATTTTATTCTGATGTGCTATTTTAACTATATATCATCTATATACCTCACTTTATATATTTATAAGAACAAAGGTGGCCAGTAGTTGGAAAGAATGAATGAAAGAGAATGAGAGAAGTTGCTATGTAATTCAGTTTTTTCAGTGGTTGATATCATGACAAGCCTACTATAAAGAAGGTCATAATAGCTGTAGTACATATAGTCTTGAAATCAGAAATAATTTGGGACATCGACTTCTCATTTTGGGAAATGTCAAAGTTTACAGGATAATGTTGAAGGGTAGTTACTTAAACTTGACATCTGTCACAGAACACATAAATATGTATTAAAGAGTAAAGTGCCTCCTTAGGAGATAAGGTGCTAGAAGCTGACATAATGAGGTATAGAGCAAGATGAAAACGGACAAAATGCAATATGAAGGCATAGGTATTACATTATTTATCCTCCCCAGTAAGCATGCCACTTTCTGGAGCCAAGTATTGACCAATCAGAGAAGAATGCCAACAAAATACCAATCATAGTAGTATAGCCTTCTTGCCAGATCTTCTATACAAGATTCCCCACACTGCACCTGCCAAGTTGAGGGATCAACTAGAGGTCTTCCCATACATAATTCATATGAAGAATTTGTGCCACTCTTTGACATTCCATTGTAGAAAATTTTATTTTCTAATATCTAGTACTGCTGAACATCTTCTCATGTAGTTGGCATTTATATATCTTTCATAGAAATGTTTAAAGACCTTTATACATTTTATTGGGGAATATCTGTCTTTTTCGTTGTTGATGGGTAAAGGATCAATGTATTTTCTATAGACTATATTATGATTGATCATTGTCAAATATGTACATTGGAGATATTTGCTCTAATATGGTTTGCTGTCCTTTTTGCCATATGTCATTTGATGCACAAAGCGTTTCATTTTGGTGATGGTCAATTCACCTACTTTTTATTTCATAGCCCACACTTTTGCTGTTACACCTAAGAATTCTCTGCCAAGTTCAGAGAGATCTAGTTCTGATTTCTTCCCTAGCTTTATGTTACATCTCTGAAATATAGATTACTGAGCTTACTTTTGTCAATGGTGTAACACAAGGTTCAATTTCGCTCTTCAGGATGTAGACACTCACTCTTCTTGGCACAGTTTATTAAAGACTCTCTTATTCCATTGGATGATCTTGGAGTCTTGTTGCAAATCAAGAGACTCTGTATGTGAGGGTTTTTTTTATGTCTGGGCTTACTGATGCATTCATTATATTATCCATACACAACATATATATTTGTTATTGCATCAGTACCATACCACTTGAAGCGCTGTACATTCACAATAAATTTTGGTGACAGACCCTGTGTGAGCTCCTCCTTTTATCCATTGAAATTCCACAGGAGTCTGAAACATGCTCATTTCTGTGGAAATCAATGCTGTCAGAGACTTTCTAGGGATCATGTCGAGTATATCTGTTAGTCTAGGTAGAATATCAGCATTGTTGATACATGGGAATTGTAAACTGGGTACAGGTAAACTGGGTAAAGGTAAACCTTTACGTTTGCTCTATTTTCAGTGATGTTGTGCAACCTTTAGTAAACACTTCTTTTGCCTCCTTAGAGTTTTCTGAAATGTTTTCTTTAGGTCCCATGATAAATTAAATTTCTTTAAGTCCATTTTAGATTGCTCATTGCAGATGTAGAGAAATAAGCTGAGGCTTGTGTGTTAATCTTTTAGCCTGGAATTTCACTGAAATTTCCTTAGCTACAGTCACTTTCCTATGGATTCCTTGTGATTGTTCTCTATATATACAGTCATATTAATTACCACATTTCATACATGTACATAAATGTACTTTGGTCATGCACACACTTCCCTTTCCCCATTCCCATTGATCCCCCACTCTTCCAAAATGTTTCCTAATCTGCTTCCACAGCTTTAAAAGGACTATTAGTGCATTCTGTATGTGTTGTAAATTACATGTCCATGAATGCTTTTGAATGCTCTGATTTCCATGTTTGGGGGTTTGTTGTTGTTCCTGCCCTTGAATAATCTGTTTTCTATCTTAACTGTAATGTCATCTTTAAAACACTGAAGAGTCATTTCATCATCTACAATCCTACTGAGCCATACAGTTTCTCACAACAGAGGGATTGTGAGTAAAGTGAAGCAGAAAGACAATTCTTTGAGCAATCCCTGGTTGGGGCAGAATGGACCAACACACAAATGTGTGAAGAAATTCTGCTCCATTTCACCTAAAGCCAAAGATTGGGTTCCACACTGGTAGCATGAACTCCTTCACAACTTTAAGACTACTACCAAGCTGGCAAAGGGGCAAGATATGTAAACATTCCATTAATCTTTCCTACTGTATTATATTACTTCTACATTGATCCAGTAGCCATTTATTTCCAATAAATATTTGACACTTTCTAGAGTTCAGTCAGAGTCAGTCCTGGTGGGATTTTTCTTTTTTGTATTTTCTTGATGATTTTGTGAGAATATGGTTGTTTGGTACTCAATATGCAGCTATATTTTTAATAAATGAACTTGCTAGCTAACTATTCCCAGTAGTTTTTATTTCCCCCATTTTACACTAGAGTTTTCAAAGTAGAAAAAGGTAAATACATGAACTCTTCCATGAAGTCATTTAGATATTCCCATGACTCTTTGAAAATCCTGTACAATGTATTGTATCATATTCACATGCTCCCAGATCTTTCTTTTCTTAACAAAACAACTTTTCTTTCTCCTCTCTCTCTCTCTCTCTCTCTCTCTCTCTGTCTCTCTCTCTCTCTCTCTCTCACACACACACACACACACACACATTTTTAACTAGTCAAGCAATTTGTGCTGCCTATATACTTTTAGATGTATGGACTTCATTAGAAGAGAGTAAACTAGGGGCCATACCCTTTAAAAAAAAAAAGCTGACTCTTCCTCTCCTGATCCCTATCAACTGCCAATTATGGAATTTTTTCTTTTTTATTAATTGATATTTTACGTTCCAATCCCAGTTTCTCCTCCCTCTTTTCTTCTAACTTCCCCCTAATCCCATCTGCTCCATGGAGAGGGTAAGGCCTTACTACTATGTCTGTCCCATCATCTAGTTGAGGCAAGACCAGGTGACCTTTCCACTCCAACATCCCTGTGTCTAGGATAGGCATGGTACCTCTCCATATAGAATGGGCTCCACTTTTAACATTAGTGTTAGGTCTTGGACCCACTGGCAGTGGCCTCATATAGTGTCCTCGTCACACCACTGTCACCTATATTAATGGAGTCTGGTTTGGTCTTATATAAATTCCCCACAATATATGGAATTTTATCTGGTTTAAGTTTGCCCAGCTCTTCTATATATTGTCTCAACTGCTGTGAAATCTTCCATGATGTGTCCAGACAGAAAACAGTTTTCTTGTAGTAATCCATGGCCTCTTGCTCTTATAATCTTTCTGTCCTCTCTTCTGGCATGGTCCCAGAGTCTTGGGAGAAGGGAATGTGGTACAAATATCCTGCTTAGGATTGATCATTATGAAGTCATTCTCTGCACATTGATTGGTTCTTTTATTTCCATGTGAAACTTCTGAAAGTCTCTAAAGATTCATGAGAGGTGTCCCTGCATCTTCTCAGAAATACTGCTGAATAAACTCATTTTAAGTAAATATGTAAGAGGCTCTGTGCATCTAGATACTGATTTTATGGTGACTGAAGAGTATTTTGTATTCTTACTGCTTTGCCAATTATGGAAATAGTTCTTTTTTCTAAAGCTACTGCTTAGCAAACTTGTAAAAAATGAAATGATAAGCAGCAGCTATGAACCCCTTATCACAGAATAGACTCCATCTCAAATCAGACTCTTGACTCACTTCTTCAACACCTGATTCCAAAATGTCAGGAAGATTTAAGGGGGATTTAATATGTAGTTATGTTTACTCTAGGGTGGTTATTTAAATCAATACAAATTATACATTAGTGGGAATTTGTTATAGAAGAAATAGGAAATAATACAGAGATAACTGATAAAAATGTGATTAATTTGGGAATAAGACTGAAGAATAACTTCTACAAATTAGAGAACAATTTCTTTCCTCTGGCTTTAGTGGCACCCCTTGAAAAGTTACATCATAAATATTAAAATAGTCTCAGATAACCAAAGACTTGATGTTAAGGGGGTTTGTTAGAAGCCTCTTTCTCCTGGTTTCTGCAATACACATTGCAAAATTAACTGAAAACATTAATATTTATACTGTGCTTTGGTGAATAAGTAGCAACATTCTTCAGTCTCAAGTATTCCTGTTTGTGATCATCACCACTCTAGTCAATTGTCCTTGAATATTGTTATCAAGGAAGGAAACTCGAGAGAACAAGGTCTTAAAAAAAGTCATTGGTTTATGCTATTAGTGGCTTAATGTGTCCTTCATTTCACTCAATATAGTGTTATAATATTAAAGGCCAGAAACCAAAACAAGAGAACTTTGTAGTACTGCTTTTCCTCAACGTCATTTTTCTTTATTTCTAAGAAGCCCCTGAAAGGAAGAAACTTTGTGAATCCCTTACCTGGTATGATATGTACCACTGACTCCACAATTACACTCATAAACCCTAAACAGTTGTTGAAGACAAAAATCTTGATATAGGCACTGGTGCTATTGTTATACCAGAAGCTTAGCAGGTAGATGAAGGGGATGATAGACCATCCAAACAGCATGAGGATGAACATCGTATCCAGGAAATGGTATTTCTCCAACAATGTATGTACATCAGTGATTAGGAACACCAGCTGAGATGGACACCAAAACACAAAACAAATGATGTGTATTAGCTATTTTCTATGTTGCTGAGTTTCTTGTTGCTGCAAGCTTGCAGGGACTTTAGGTAGAGGCTCCTCATTTTGTTGTTTCACAAGGAGTCAAGAAGCTGCTGGAAGTAAGGGCTGAGCTGAAAATGTTAAAAATTTGCCCCTATTTTCTTATCCACAGCCAAGTATTGGGCCTAATTCCAGGAGTCCAGCTGAAGAGAGGGAGAAAGGATTATACAAACCAAAGGGGTCAAGATCATGAACCCATGCAGACAGCTTACCTGAGCTAGTGGGAGCCACAGACTTTAGACCAACAGCTAGGGAGCCTGCATGGGACTGACCTAGGCCCTCTGCATGTGTATGACAGTTGTGTAGCTTGGTCTGTTTATGGGGCCATTAGTAGTGAGATTAGGACCTGTCCCTGGTACATAAGCTGGCTTTCGGGAAACCTATTCTTCATGCTGGGATGCCTCCCCAAGCCTTTATGCAGGGGGAGGAGCTTGGCCCTTCCTCAACATGATATGCCATGCTTTGTTGACACACATGGGAGGCCTGCCCCTTTCTGAATGGAGATCTAGGAGAAGTGGATAAAAGGGTAGACAGGAAGTGGGGGGGGGTTGAGAAGAGGAGGGAGGGGGAAACTATGGTTGGTATGTAAAATAAATGAAAAAAAATTAATAAAAGGAAACTTGCCCCTAATAATCTACATATGCTAATCAGACCCCACCTCCTAAAGGTTATGTAGCCCCCAGATAGTGTATCAACAAGTGAACAAATTCTCTTTCATTTCCTTTTTCTTCTTCTTTTTTATTAAAGGAAAAGGAACATGGAAATGGGAAGGGGAGAGAGAGGGGGGAAAGAGAGAGAGAGAGAGAGAGGAAGAGAGAGAGAGAGAGGCACAAAGAGGGAGGGACAGATAGAAAAAGGGAGAGGAAGAGAGAGCCAAATTCTCAAACTATTAGTCTTTGTAGGGTAGTTCAGATTCTAACCATAACACTCAACACCTAGTCTGAAAATCTGAAAACTTAGTGAAGGGAAGAAAAGTCCCTTTGATAGAATTGACTCTTCACCAACCAAATAGTTTTGGTGATGAGTGGCTTCATCACCACTGAGTGTGGCCACAGCACTTGCCTTCCTACTTTGCCTTGATTTGAATGTTTCAATTCCATTTTCCTTCTATGGAATCAAGTTGTATTTTTTCTTTAATTCCCCATTCCAAGTAAACTCAACTTCTGATATCTCTGTTTTTACAAATTAATTCATTTCATAGAAAAACTTTCTGTATTTCTTTCTCTCTTTGTATTTCTTTCTCTCTTTCTATTGGCTTCCATTTGTTAGGATGTAACAATAAAGGATCACAACTTCATATTGTAACACTAAGGGATTACACCATAGTATGATACACTAAAACATTTAATACATTCAACACTATGAATAATGCCAGTCTTATGTTGCTTATGTTAATTATGTTAGCATAATTTTCCTTGTCATTGTAAGGTTCTATAAATCAGTGTTAAGCTTGCTTCACAAATGAATTTAGAATGATTTTTATCAGTCTCTTGGAGATGTTGGTTTATAATTGATAGTATTTGTTCCCTGAGCATTAAATAGATTTTGTAAATAAAATAATTCATCTTGGAGTTTTCCTTTTACAAAACGTGTTGTTACAGATCCCACATGTGCTATTTGTTTTTTAATTCCTTATTGTCAGCTTTGGGGGGGAGGGGACTTCTCAAGTTTCAGAGTGAGTAAGACTTTTCATATTTCCTACTTTAAGGTTTGGGATTTGATAGTTTTTAAACATCTTAATTTCTATGAATGGGATTATTTAATTAACTTTTAAATTACTTTCTAGTCAACTAAAGTATGAAAGAAATAATCTGAGATTTTAATCCTTAAAAATGTTTATGAAGTAGACATTATGAGGAGTTAGTGGAAAAATAGAGAATCTAAGGGAAGTTCTTCAAGGTACCTGCTGAGGAAGGAAGAAATTGGCAGCTTTTTCCAAGACTGAAGATCACAGTGTCTGTAATAAAATTCTATCATCACAATTTCTGATTGGATGAGAGAGGTTATCTTATGTGTCATCAGCTACCAGAGGAATTGCTTAAGACTTGGAAGGACATTAAAATCATGGTGATTCTGCTGTAATTTCATTTTATTGTATGATCCAATAAACAATTAGAAGGACTACTAAAAGATCAAATCGTCAAAGTCTGGGAGAAGAGTGTAAAAATAGAAACATATCTACCTCAAAATGCTCCAGATATAAGGTTTCCCATAATAAAGTTAAAATATATGCATTTGATATAGCTATTTGGTTAATAAGCATGCTTAATTTAAAAAGTGAAAAATAGAATGTGGTTACTAAAGTGAATGATATTTTGTCATATATTTCAAAAATAAATAGAAGAATGGACTAACACAAACAACTGATAGAGGGATGAGGGCTGTGCTGACCACATCTATCTGATCATTGCATGCTGTATTCACTTTCCAGAATAACATTCTTCCCCAGAGCAGGCACAGCTATATTGTGTAAATGTACAAAGATAATAATAGAAACCGAGAGCATCTGCTGATAGGCAAAGAATTTCACCAGATAGTTTACATTTCAAAAAACAACCAGAAATTTTATACAAAGAACATGTATGCAAAACTGAGCAAGTAAGGAGACACAGCATAAAACAAGGTTCATAAAATAGAGGAGTTACCCATGGAAACCGTGCAAGGAAATATTCAATGACAGAGGCAATACAGTAGTGTGAGTTATGTGTGTGGGTAGCCAAGAGAGAAGAACATTATGTGTGTTCATGGAGATAAGAAGATAAGGCATCAAATCCAAGTGGATCCTGATAAACATTCAGTGACAATCTCTTAAGGAAAATGGACACAAGAAATTAAAATGCTTTATCACAGTATAGCAAAACACTGAAGGAGCTTGACTGGCATATTAAGGTTCTAAGGTTTGGGGACTATCAGAGATATAGAACAGCAGTAACTCATATTATATTCACATGCATATTCATATGCATATTCATCTTCAGAATGGATATTAAAATAAGATTTAACACATACTGAGTAGGGAACAGGATAAAAATGAGAGGAACATAAAACATGACAATATGATGATATAAACCCAATTATATGAATACTTATTTACTCTAGTTGTAAGGCTAAGTTTGTCAGCCTTAGAAACAAATTAATGCCAAGATTATAGTACTTATGAGTGATATTTTAAATATGATAACTGAAGTCTGATCAATCACACATGTTCAGCTCCCAGTCCACAGGCTGGCCCTAGCCCTACATTCTTTGCACTAGTCTATTCTGATTCAGCTCACCTGTTCATTTCCACTTCTAACTTCCAGGCCTTGCTCAGATTGCACATCCCATACTCAGACACTCAGTCAGTATGCCCCTACCATATCCTCTCTAATATTCCTATCTAGCCCAGGGTGCACATTTAGATACTCAGTCTTGTCAGTCCTGTCAGTCTCAACCCCAAGGCTTGGTCGGGCTTACAAATCCATTGCACCAATCTAGTCTGGTAACTCCACAGGCCCCAAGACTGCTTGCACCATTTCTCACATATGCCTAGTCCATCCAGTCAATGAGTTCCTGAAACCTCACCTACCTAGGCTATCCCTCAGGCTTTTCCTTGGCCATTCAGCCTGTATGTCAGACCAGCTTAAGGCATCTTAGAATCTCACATCAGACATACAAGTCCACATACTCAGTTCTCACTGCAAAAACACAAATAATATGAAAGGCCAAGACATTACATCTCCCCCAAATCCACCAATCCAATAGAAATATTCTTCAATGAGAATTATATAGATGAATCCCAGGATACAGAAGTTAAAAGACAATCATAAACTCCAAAGATTCCAGGAGTTTAAAGAAGACAAGACCAAACATCCTAATAATCTTAAATAAAATAGCAATAAATTTATAAGCAATACCTAAGGTAATGCAAATATATGACTAAATGAAATGATGAGTACATCAGGGCTTGATAACAAGAAGGACCATAAGAGGGACACATCTATGTGGTATTTATTTTATCAACTGTGGCCTTCAAAGAAAAAAGTTTAGACACACACACACACACACACACACACACACACACACACACAATTTCAATGGTTCATGACATAATTTAAAATTTTCTAGAGAAAACCCTCATGACATAATTTAAAAATTTCCAGAGAAAACCTTCAAAAATGGGGAGGCACTGGGAAGAGGAAAATATCTGTAGTGTTTGTTAGTATACAAGTAGTCTGTTTTAACACATCCATCCATACAGAAAACAGCTTCAAAGGTAGTTCATATTTGTGGCCAAATATGTCAGGAGTTAGCTGTTTCTTTTTTAAAAATATAAGAGAAAGATTTTATTTTTACTCTGAGAAATATTCCACAATAGATTCTTTGAATTGATTGATTAGTCAAGCCATTTTTATCCTGTCTGGAGAGATTTGTATTTTAGTAAATGTCAGACAAGTAGAAAATGCCTATGGTGTATGAGAGGCAGCTCTCAAGACAATACACGTAATACTTACCAGCATTAGGGCACAGGCAACAAAATGGATGGTGAGATCCCACAGCAGAGCAGAGAGCCAAAAATTAAAGGTATAGACTCCACTCACAAACTGGATGTGCTTTGCTTTACTAACTCTCTCAGTCACTGTCAAAAGGCAAAAGCCACTGGTGAAAATACTCATCCCAAAGAGCAAGTTAAAGACTATTTCGAATCCTGGTATGTGTCTACAAAAGAATAAATAAAGAACACACAATGGTATAATACAATACTAATTGCTAACAATAGCACTTTATTACAAACATAGTGGGACAGGAAGAAAAGGATCAATTTAAACTATCCCAGGTTAATAAAAACATATATACCTTTTATTAGATTTGTTCTCTAAGACAGGTCGAGGCTGGGGCTTGTTGGAAACAGTAATGGTGGCATCAGGACCAGAGAGAGACATAAAAATAATATTGTCTAAAACTGACAAGGATAATGATGATGAATGGTATGCCTCATTGTTGAACCAAAAGGTAAATGTCTTCTTTTCTCTAGAAACATTAATGGAAAATGCAATGATGCATGAATAAATGCATTCTTTATTTGTTATCAAGTAGTCCTGCACATCACCTGGAAGGAGGAAACAATAAGGGTCATGAGGCCAGATGCAATAAAGATCACTGACTATGTGGTATTGGGGGGGGGTGTTTATTTATTTTGTTTTTTCTTTTGTGTGGTGGGGTTGGTTTCTGTTGTTGTTGTTTGGTTGTTTTTTGTTTGTTTGTTTGTTTTTTGAGACAGGATTCCTCTGAGTAGCCCTGGCTGTCCTGGAACTCTCTCTGTAGACCAGGCTGGCCTTGAACTCACAGAGATCTGCCTCCCAAGTGCTGGGATTGAAGGTGTGTGCCACCACACCTGGTGCTTTGGGCACTTCACAGCAACCTCAATACATCTCGGCCACTCAACCCAAGAATCCATCACTCAGCCACACAAATTTTATGCTCTTTAGCTTAATTTCACTAAAAAATTAAAAATACAGGCTACTGATATTAACACTCTCAAATTGCTTTCTCACTCTCAAACCTTTCCATTTCTACATGAAAATGTTTGTAAGAACTGCTACTTATAGCTTTTACAAATTACCTCATAGAAAATCAAACTCTTCCTCAGAAAATACAAAAGCTAAATAAAAACATAAAATAGCTCTACATGAAAAAACAGAGAGTTACTTGGAATTGTGAATATTTGAGAAGAAAATAAAAATCAGAGAGTTAACTTCAACAAATGTACTACTCTCTCTGTCCCATCCTAGTAGAAAGATAAAGCATGCCAGATTAGTATGGTAAGAATTGCAGCAAAAAGTTAAAAAGCCTTACATTTTGTAAGAACTTTCAGAGATTCTATGAACCTAAGAAGATGCAAATTAAGAATTACAAATATGGCCAAACAGGCCCAAAATAAAAATCTAAGCTCTAAAAAGGAAAGTTCCTACAAGTAAGCTTCATATTTACATCAGACTTAAAAAATTATGACCAGAGGCTATTACCTATGGCCTCAAAACTAAAAACAATGAACTTAGAAATAAAAAGGAAGCATTTCAATAGATACAAATAAATTCAGAAAATCAGATGGATTTAGCTTAAAAAGTCATGTTCCACTTGACTGGAAAATTAGAAAAAAAAATTAAATGGCTCAATCTCCAGACACATAAAACCTGCCAAAGTTAAATCAAGGTGAAATAAACAATTTAAACAGATTTTATAACTAGCAATGAGATTGAAGTAGTAATTAAAACTCTTCTAAGGGGAAAAAAAATCAGGACCTGGTTAATTCACTGCAGAATTCTACCACACATTCAGAGAGCTATTACCAATACTACTCAGATCATTCTATTAGTTAGAAAAGGAAATAATGCTTGCAACTGTTTTTATGAATCCATTGTTACCTTGTCACAAAAAACAAAAAGAAATAAAATTATACACCTGATGAACATAGATGTAAAAATCCTCAACAAAATACTGCCAGACTGGATTCAAGATTGCATCAAAAAGATCATACATAACAGTGAGTGGAGAGGGAACTAGGAGAAAGAGAAGGAGAGGAGAGGAAAGCATGGGGGACTAGGAAGATTGAGTCAGAGGAGGAATAGACAAGAAAAGAGAGAGAGAGACCATAAAAGAGGGAGCCATTATAGGTTTGAAGAGAAAACTGAACCTAGAGAAATGTCCAGAGACCTACAAGACTGACCCCAACTAACAATTTGAGCAACAGTGGAAAGGCTACCATAAATACCCTTCCATGATAATGGAATCAACAATTCATCATAGAGCCCTCATCTAGTAGCTGACAGAAACAGAAGCAAACATCCACAACTAAACACTGAGCCGAACTGGAATCCAGATGTAGAGAGGGAAGACAAGACCAGGTTACAGAAACACATAGAGACAGCTGACCCGAACAAGGAGGAGCTAACATGCCCCCAGACTAATAGCAGGAAATCCAGCATGGGACTGACTCAGACTCCCTGAACATGGGTCTCAGCTAGAAGGCCTGGGCAGTCTAAGGGACCTTGGACAGTGGAACCAGGATATATCCCTGGTGCACAAAAGGACTTTGGGAGCATACCCCCATGGAGGGATACTCCCTTAGCCTAGAGACAGAAGAGAAGGCCTAGTCCCTACTCCAAATGACTTGACAGATTCAGATGACCCTGCCTGGAAGGTATCACCCTACATGTGGAGTGGTGGGGGGGAAGTGGGAGGGGAGGGTGGGGGCGGGCATGAGATGGTGGGAGCGAGGGAAAGAGGGAGGGAGGGAGAGGGAACTGGGATTGATACATAAAATTAAAAGAAAAAAGGGAAAATATTATATAATAAAACAGAACAAAAAAACAATTAAGTTAGCTTGGTTCATACATACATTATCACATTCATCATAGACAAACACAACTACAAAAGTCATGGTTGTATCAATAGATGCATAAAAGGCTTTTTACAAAATCCAATGTGGACTCTAAGGCAGAAATCAAATCACATGATCATTGTAATAGATGCAGAAATGACTTACTGACAAAATTCAACACCCCTTCACAATAAAAGTCCTGAAGAAACTAGGAATTGATGGAACATCTCTAAACATAATGAAGGCTACATACAACAGTATCTTAGTTAGGGTTTCTATTGCTGTGATAAAAACACCATTGCCAAAAGCAACTTGGGGAGAAAAGGATCTATTTCACCTTATAACTCTCAGGTCATACTCCATTATTAAGGGAAATCAAGGCAGTAATTCATGGCAGGGACCTGGAAAGCATGGAGGAACACTACTTATGGTTTATTCCTCATGATTTTCTGTTTATTTTCTTCTAAAACTCAAGACCATCTGCCCAGAGGTGAGTTGGGCCCTCCAACACCAATCATCAATCAAGAAAATGCTCCCCAGACTTGCCCGCAGGCTAATTTCATGGGGATATTTAATCAAGTGACATTCCCTCTTCCCAGATTACTCTAGTTTGTGTCAAGAAAAAAAATCTAACCAGGACAAACAAGACATATTGCCAACATTATATGGGCAAACTGCAAAGTAATTTTGCTAAAATCAGAACCAAAACCAGTGTAACACAAATTAATAAAAGACCCAGAGATTAAAGTTCAGAAAAGCAAAGTATTGGGCCACTATCTCTTACCTCAAGTTCAGGCTGAATGGACTGATCTTATCTCCACAAGCTCTCACCAAGCCTCAGACTGCAACCTCTCCTCAGCATGGTTGGGGAATGATTGCCTCATACTGACTACTGATGACTCTACTCCTGTCTTTTATAACTCCCTAGTGCTGGGATTAAAGGAGTGTGATCTGTTACTCTTTTAGACTGATTCAATCTTGTGTATCTGGGTGGCCTTGAACTCAAAGAGATACATCTATCTCTTAATCCTGAGTCCTAGAATAAAGGTGTGTATCACCTCTGCCTAATCTCTAAAGCTTGAGGCTGACTTTGCTTTTCTGAATCCTTAGTGAAGTTTTAACAAATCATAAACAATGTATCACCACAACCAGAATGTTAACACTCTTCATTCTTGTTAAATATAGTCCTTAAAGTCTTAGCTAGAATAGTAAGACAAACAAATAAAAGTAATACAGACAGGAAAATGAGTCAAAGTATCCTTATTTGCAGATCATATGATTCTATACATGACAATAATGACTTTGATAGAAAACTATAACAGCTGATAAGTACTTAGTAATAAAATACAAAGTTCACACCAAACAAAAAGAAGCAAAAACCAGTGACCTTTCTAAATACCAGTTACACACACACACACACACACACACACACACACACACACACACACACACACACACACACAAAAAGACTGGCTACAAAATATCATGACATTAAAAACACAGGCCACCATACAAGGGAAGTCCAAGAAGAAAGGCTAATGACATCATCGCATTTGCAGTTGGGCAGGAATGTGATGAACTCTGGTGGTGGGCTGCCTACCTCCTTTTTATGCAGACCAGGCCCAAGCCCAGGAAATGGTGCCACATACTTTTTCTATGGGTCTTTCTACCTCAATTAATTTAACACAACCCCTCCAATGCTTATGTAGAGGCTAAATAATCTCTGCCAGATGTGCCTTGTTCACATGAAAATAACCATCTTAACCAAAGCAATCTAAAGGTTCCTGAACTCCTTGCCAAAATTCCAATGTCATTCTTCACAAAAACACATAAAAATCCTTGGGAAGGACAAAAGACCTCAGATAGCCAATGGCATTGAAAAGGGTAAACCAGACCAGACCCTCACTCAGCCACCTGCTTTAGCAGCCATGACAGGCTAAAGAAAAGACATGTAGGTAGGCCTCTGACTCAGCATATGGCACACAAAGAAACTTCAGATCCCCTGGCCTCCCGGAGCCTAGGGCCAAAACTGAACACAAAGAAAGTCCCACAGCCTCCTAGATGCTTGGCTCCTGAGAACTGTTTGGCCACAAAAGAAATCCAGGGGAGACCATAACCTCCCCTGTAGTCTCCAGGATAAAATTCTGAAAACTAATGGCATCTATGTACAGCAGGCCACCTGCAAGTAACAAAAGCCATAGAAACCACAGAATGTTCCCTCTCAGCAATGAAAATAATTGATGCGTAGGTATTTCATTGCCAAAATACGACTTTGAGAAATTCCCCTGATTGTTCCCCAAAAGTCAACCAATCAGAAACCAACCCATACCTACTGATATAATCCTGTGATTTTTGCCTTAAAAAAAAAAAAAACCTGACAGTAGACAGGGAACCCGCTTCCTCTGGGGACTGCTGTGCCAGCCAGCTAGAGGAGGTCCCTGTCATGGATGGATGAACAATAAACCTTATGCACTTGTATCAGTGGGTCTGTCTCCCTGGTGGTCTCTATGGGAATCTTAGTGATTTGGACACAACAGAAATAATAAGCAAAAAAAAAAAAAGCTAGTCTGGAGTTGTCACCATAGCTGATTTCAAGGTGCATTACAAAGGTGTAGTAACAAAAATAAAGGCATGGTACTGGCACAAAATTGAACATGTAGATTAATTTAATCTAAGGTCTACAAATAAAACAATGTAGCTCCAGTCACCTGATTTTCACAAAAATTCTCCAAACATTAAAGAGAAAAGAAAGCCTCTGACAAATGGTGCTAGAGAAATGGAATATATCTACACAAAGGAGAAGGAAACTAAATCCTTATTTTCACTCTACATAAAAACTCAATCCAAATGGATGAAAAATCCTAACATAAGGCCTAAAATTCTGAAACTGCTGGAGGAAAGAATAGGAAAAATATGTCAAGATACAGATATAAGCAAGTGTTTTTTTTGTTTTTTGTTTTTTTTTTTTTTAAATAGGACTGCAGTTTCTTGGAAAATAGAGCCAATACTTGACAGGGTGGATATTAGAGAACTGGTAACCTTCTGAACTGCAAAGAGACACTATCTACAGAACAGGAGAAAATCATTGCTATCTATTCACCTGGCAAATAACTAAGTATACAAAGAACTAAAAGCAAAAACCAAATATCAAGAAAACAAACAACTCAGTGTTGGCAATACTCATTTATTAGCTCTAACAAAGTGTGTATGTGTCAGTGTGTGCTATCTCTGGATTTCTGCATATAAGATCATATCTGAACAAAAATAGTTTTATCTCTATAATCCCTAGCTGGGTGTCTTTTCGTTTCTTTTTCTTGTCTAAATTTTCTATGTATATGAATAGAAATAGGGAAATCTACTTGTTTTCTCTGTTAAGTTCCTAATCCGAGGAAAGTCTTTCAGTCTTTTCTCATGAATGATTTATCTTTAACTCCAAGAATGAAGTCCTACGTGATCGTGGAATATAATTTTGTTAAGGGGTCCACTAAATTATTTGCTACTAATTTGTTAGGAACTTTTGTACTAACACTCTTCAAGGATATCAGACCATTGTCTTATTTCCTCATAATATCTTTTCCTATATTGGGTATTGAAGGAGTTCTGGCCTCATAGAATTGGTTTGGAACTATTCTTTTCAATTTTTTTTCAGACTATTTTGAAGAGGTTGAGACTCAGCTGTTTTATTTTTAGTAGAGACTGATAAAGATAACCTGGTCTTGGATTGATTTTTAATGGGCAGGTTTTTTCATTATTATTATTACCAGCTTAATGTTCTCGTCAGTCACAGATCTACTGAGACTTAATATTTTTTTATGTTTGAATCTTGGTAGCACGTGAATTACTGAAATTTTGTTTATTTCATTTAGTGTATCTTATTTGGCTTGTTATAAAGGTTACCATAGACCCTCCTTGTAATGCCCCCTCTTTACATCTCATTGGGCTATTGAGCCTTCTGTTTTCCTTTTCAACATATTTAAAAATGTCTCGAGTTGGAGTTGGGTCTTTTCTAAGGAGCAGGCTTTGATTTGTTGACTTCTCCCTGTTGTTTCTCTTTGCTCAATTTCTCTTCCTTGCCTTTGATGGCATAGGCTTCTTTTATTCATCTAGTTGCTTAAAATGTAAGATTAGGTTTATTGATACCATACCTTTTCTCAATTAAATGATTTTTTTATCTTAGCATTTCCACTACATCTGATAAATTTTGATGTGCTATTATTTCACATTTGAATCTTTTTTTTCCCTTACAAATTATTTGTCTCAATAGTCCTGTAAGAGTATATGTTACTTCAACTATATGCATGGATTTTGTGACTTTCTTGCTGTTACTGATTTCCAATTTTATTCCATCAAGATATTAAGACATATTTCATGTGGTTTCAATTTTAAAATTTTGGGCATATATATATAATGCATATTGTGTACTTGACAAAGATATAAATTATATTGTACTAGACTGGACAGTTTTGTATAGGTGTATTAGGCTTGTATGAGCTACAGTCTAAAGTGCACTGTTCATTGTTGAAATGCTGCCTACTGATATGCTCATTATTGAAAGTAAAGTTTTAAAATCCCCTACTAGTATTGTGGAGTCATTTATTTTCTCCTTCAATCTGTCAATATTTAATTTACATATTAAGGAACTTGGATCTTTTGAAGAGAAATAGCTGCTCTCTCAGGTTTTATGGACTGTGTGTATACAGAGAAATAACCTAAAGAGTTAGAAGAGTGCAGGCTTAAAATCTTCTTTGAAGACTCCCTTCCCCAGTTTCTTGAAATGTGACTGCTTCTAAATGTCTTAATTTCCCTAAAAATCTCCTTTGCTCTTTCTTATGGTAGATGACCCTTCCTATCTCAGAGTACCTCAATCACTAATAATAATAACAATAATATCAATGGCCTTGAAGGTTGATTCTTGTCTATGACTGGCTGGCTTTGTGAAATTGATTACAAAACAATGGATGGAAAGAGATGAGATGGGAGAGCAGGGAAGGGAAGGGGAGGGGAGGGGAGGGGAGGAGAGGGGAGGAGAGGAACAAATAGCTAAACATTCCAGGTGAGACTGTCCTTTCAAATTAAATAAGCAGGTCTTCATCTACTGGCACTCTTTGTTTGCAATGCACTTACCTTGCACTTCATGAAGTTTTTGTTTTTTAGCCTTTAACATGATCTCAAGATTTTTGGTGAGAATCTGGGTCAAATCAGGATCTCCAGAAATTGAGAAAGGCACAATGGTCTCACCATACTGCTCCAAGTCCATCACCCTGGCAAGAATTTCAGGTGTTCGGAAGCTTATGCCTTCTGTCAGAAGATACATGAGACCCAGAAGTGCCAGCAACTGCAACAACAGCAGTTTCCAGTTGCGCCAAGAGAACATTGCCCTTTTGATTAGCATGGCTCTGAACTGCTGGGTATAAAGAGCCCACTACAAGAGAGAGAAGGCAGTGTTACAGTGATCACAGGTCATTAGCATACATGTCTTCAGTTGTGGGATGACAGATGTGCAGAAGGAAGAGTGCAGCTGGTAGACGAGGTACTCTATATTCTCTGAGGGCATTACAACTTGGCACCTAACTTGATTATTGTGAAAGTCCCCAGAGGGGAGTCATCAGTGTGTTCATAGTCCCTTTTTGCCGAACACCAGGCCCATTCTCTTACATTAAACACCATCTTTCAACACTACATTTTATATCAAGTTTCTATGGACAAATTTTAATCTCTGGTTTACAGGATTGCAGAGCACCAGAAAACAGAAGGATTTTGTTTAAGATTGCAATGTACCCAGTATATTTCCATTTAACCTCTAAATTCAAAGCAACCCCCATGGTTAATTTGAAAATATACATAAACATACAATTTTGTCTATTTTTCAAACTTTGGAGGCAATCTGTAGTTGAGTATGGGTTTGTTTTTCAGTTACTTTGCTTTAAATGCATACTTTTTAAAATAAAGCTGTTTAATAATCAAAAGAAAACATATTAAGCATATTGAAATTTTAAAATACAATTATTGTACTCTCCCCAACACATAAACATCCCATAATTCAGAGTCAGAAAATACCCCTAATCAGTCAATATGTTCTAAATAAAAGAATCACACTGGTGCTTTCTTTGCCAAGAAATAAGGCAAAATGTGGAGGGGGAAACTTTCTCTTCCATCATGGTCCTGACAGGAAGAAGGTGACTTCTGCTTTTAGGAGATTAGTTCTTACATATATTTCTAGATTGAGAAAACAAAGAGTGTTTTAACCCAGGGATCAGGTTCTCTAGACTGACCTGGAAGCTCTGACCTCACCCTCAAAAGCTGAGGATAAACAGGAGAGCACTAGAAATGCCCACGGTTTATCTCTGTGTGGGATGGGAGAAAGAAAAGCAGAGAGAGGAGATGGCACAGTGTGGCATCCCATGTCAGATATTGCACAGTGAACATTTCCTATATTCCACTCCCTGGAATAGCCTCATCCACATTAACTCAGCTTGACCAAAGAACCATCCAGTAAATGAGAACAGAGAATTACAATTTTAACTCAAAATTCTAGACACTCATTGTATCCAATACCCTATTTCACAAGTTCCCAAGTCCCATGTGAAACATGTAAGGAGTGTTTCTAAGAAACATATCCATGGTCTAAGATTCTCTGCTATACACACTTGCAAAATTTTTTAAGAAAGATACATCAGAAAAGCAATAAAACATACATTAGACAATGACACAACAGCCCCATGCTAACGGGGGTTCTGTGCCTCCGAAACACCTAGAGAGAAATATTGTCTGTGTGTAAGAGTGGTGTTTGTCATCATTTGTACCAGCACTCTTCTCCAACTCTGAGTGGACTAACAGTTATGAAAACTAAGGTAACCCCTATAAGGAATATCAACTGTGAAAGGAAATCTGGGCTGGCAAGATGGCTTAGTGGCTAAAGGTGCACACTGCAAAACCTGGGGACCTGAGTTCCATCCTCAGAACCCACACGGAGGAAGGAGCAAACTGACTCCACATGTACACATGTGCACCAACACATAATGTGTAAATATGTGTAATAAAACAATGAAAACAAACCTGTTTCTACCTTCACTATTTCACAACTGAGCTAGACAGTTAAGTGGATTTCTTTATAAATTTTTCCCTGTGTTGATGGGCTTGCTCTAAGAGCCCCACAAATCTTCTGAATTAAGCTAACAAAGTGAAATGTAATTTGTTATTCCTTCCAAACATACCAGAATTATTTTATATTCTTGGTGAAGGAGCTTACCCCAGTATTGAATGAAGAATCAAAGTGTTCTTTTGGATAATCTGGTCTATCGAAATTTCTGGGCACACTCACATTCTGGTTCTCTTCACTTGTGCTCTGACTCACTGTGGAAGCTGAATGGATAGTCTCAGTATTCACCTTCAAGTCTGGAGGATTGCTGACCCTACAAACACAGACCACACACACTTGTTAGTGTATGTGTGTATGTATGTATGTATGTATGTATACGTACATATATATGTGTGTGTATACATATGTGTGTGTGTGTGTATCAAGAAATAACTTTTAACTACAATAGTATTTCCCTAACTCCTGCCCTCTGTAAAGACATTTTTTAATGAGTGTTATACATAACGCTAACATTAATGATGGGAAACATGCTTTGGGTGTAAGTGTGGGGAAACATTGCATCTCAATGGTCAATTTCCCAGTATTCCTGAGGCCTGGAGGTTTAATCCCCAGCATCCCAAAATTTCTGGTACTTTAGATTGAATACAAGGCTTTGCGTATGCAAATAGCACTTGGCCACCAATCTACAGCCCCAGCTCAGAAGCACAGAATAAACTAAACATGAGCAAAGTTCCAAAACAATGTATTCCTTGTTTCTAGGGTAAGATAGTTATTAAATGTTCTACATTTTACAAAATTATATTGATAATTGCAGCTTTATTTTTATATTTCTAATTCTATAGAAGTCTAATAATATATTTGTTTTGCTAAAATTTTGAGACCAAATAAATGTATGGATTACTTTACAAAGCAAATGAATATGTCCTTTTAGTTTATCATTTCTATGTGATAAGTGAGCAGATGATGTCACCTGACATAGGGGCAGGGCACGGATACTCACTTGAAGAAAACCTCATCAATGGTAGTCATGGAGACACCAAAGCCAATGATTCCCAGCTCTCCTTGTCTTTCTTCTAGGACTGTGAAAAGTTCTGCAAACCTAAAAGATAACAGAGACAGTATTTGTACAAACATAAGCACACACACACACACACACACACACACACACACACACACACACATATGTCTGTTCTGGGCAGATTTCCCTCCGCTGTGTAAAGAGTGCAGTTAATGCTTCACTGGAATGCTCCTGCTGTTTGTGATTTCCATGTTCCTGACAAACCATGAATGCACAGCACCAGAAGGAAGCTGCACCAAGTTGCTATAGCAAACTGCTTCCTGGTTTCTGATTAAACAAATACACCTTAACTTTCTGTACATACTGACTTTCTGCTTTCCCTGCTAGTCAAGATTTAATTCACTTACACATGCTATGGTTTCTGTGAAACACTAAAGCAAACAGGACAAATATTTATAAATTAATAAGTAGAAGACACCCAAAGCAGAAAATGAAAACAAAATCCTAGAAGTTAAAACTGTATGGAAACTACTCATCCCCAAACCAGGGAAGTCTTGAGCAATCTTGAGCACATGGTGGCACAAGACTAGGTGCTCTGAAATGTCTTAGAACCTCATTCTTTAAAACCCACTTACTCCAGGAAATCCTCCATTCTTGAGCACTCCCACTCTCTCTAAGGACTAGTATGGCCACGAAACACAAAATCCATCATGGAAACCTTTGGCTGAAGTTACTTATTATTTTGAATTGAAGTTGAATGCAAACTCCTTTTTCTCAAGATCAGAGGCAAGGGCAAAGTTTATATATTATTCTAATGTGTTTTCCAAGATGGTAACAAGTGGACACATGTACATGCTAACAAATGCACAGTGTGCCATCAGGGTTATTCTAGAAATCCAGCAATTAGAACTGGTTCTTTCTGTGGAGAGATATGAGGAATTTTTAAACTCTTTAATTCAATTTACTCATTCATGTAATTAACAACCTCTGTTATGGTCTGTGTGAGTGTGTGTGTGTGTGTGTGTGTGTGTGTGTGTGTTATCAACATTTTTCCAGTTTTTACATAATAAGTGACTTCAAAATAAAATACAATGCTAAGTAATAAAGGATACACACACACACACACACACACACACACACACACATACTAAACAGCAAACTGAAAATTGGGAAAATTCTGAAAAAACACAAAAATTACAAGCATCATTTTTATTATTATTATTAATTTGTGAATTTTCTCACAGACATAGAAAAATTATTCAAAACTTCAAAATCTAATAGAGAGCTGCAATCACCAGGCAGACACTGAGCAATGTGACAGAGAAGGGAGCATTGCAGCAAACCCACACAGTTGACAGTTGATGCTAACAGTGCCCCACAAAAATACTGAGGATGTGCCAGGACAGTGGCTACTCACACACATATATCTACAAGACAGTATCTTCAGTTTAAAACACAGTCACAGAAAGGCCAATAGCACATGATTTCATGTATAAAGGGATTCTAAAACTCTGAACTCACAGAAGTAGAAAGCACAATGGAGGTAACAGAGCCTTGCAGGGGTGGAGGTGGGGATGTGGCTGTTGATCAAAATTGTAAACACCTAGTTAAATCCAATCAGTAAGCTTCATTGATCCCTAGCACAGAATGGTGGCAATAAATCTGATGTATTATATACTTTTTAATGTCTTTTCTGCAATGTATTTATTATTTGATCATTCTGTAACATAAGCATTTATCAAAGTATTGCATGTACTTTATACATTATATATGTGTATATATACATATATATATATTATACTAAAATCAAGAGAAAACATTAAAATCCCTCTTATAGAACAAAATAAATTCACTTGTCTCTATTCATCAAGAAAAAAAAATGTATCAATATAGTGACCTGTCTTATCATTAGTTAACCCCAGGGTTCAATGCTTAGACATGAAGATCTTATGGATGCTACTTTTGTGACATCCATCCTTCTGTAAAATTAGTGAAATATTAGAACACTCTTACTAGTGTATCTCAAGAGGCAAGTGGCAAGGATCTATTTGCCAAACCTGAGGAAGCCTGGAAAGGTCATGGTGGCTTCTGGTGACCCAATGGCCACTGTGTATCATTTGTGGGTCTTTACCTGTGTGTGTACTCCTTTGGCAGGATAAATGACAATTCGGCTGCAACATCCATCTCCATCTCAGCAGTTGGTATGTGATTCCTAATCAGCTGGGAGACTTTTTCAACATCACATTCAGGAGTCTTCACCATGACTAGGTGATATCCCACACCTGAAAATTTCCATTTAGAAGGTCAAATGAAGCCACTGAATATTATTTTGCTAAAGCATGCTTAATCTCCAATTCAGGTCCGTTAGTTGCACAAACAAGGCATTTCTTTTCTCTTTTTAACATATCAATCCCAATTCTCCCTCCCTCCCTTCTTCCCTCCCTCTTTCCCTCTCTCCCCCCTCACATGTACCCTGACCACCCTCTCCTCCCATCTCCCCCCCCACCCCACATGTAGGGTGATGCCATCCAGGAGGGGTTATCTAAATCTGTCAAATCATTTGAAGTAGGAACACTATCATTCTCTGAATAAAACAAGGTTTAAAAGATTTGAGCTGTGTCTTTGAGCATTGACTTCTGTAAATGGCAGGCAGCAGTTCGCTCGGATGTTCTGGTTACAAAACTAACTAGAGAATTCTCAATAGAGGAATCCAAAATGGCTGAAAGACACATAAGAAGATACTCAACACCCTTAACCATCATGGAAATGCAAATCAAAACAATGCTGAGATACCATCTTACACCAGCCAGAATGGCTAAAATTAAAAAAAAAAAAAAAAAAAAAAAAAAAAAACACCAATGACAGTTTATGCTGGAGAGGATGTGGAGAAAGGGGCACACTCCTTCACTGCTAGTGGGTGTGCAAATTTGTACAACCATTTTGAAAATCAGTATAGTGGTTCCTCAGGAAAATGAGAATCAGTCTACTTCAAGATCCAGCAGTTCCATTCTTGGTCATATACCCAAAGGACACACATTCATACAACAAGGACATATGTTCAACTATGTTCATAGCAGCGTTGTTTGTTATAGTCAGAACGTGGAAGCAATGTTCTGGTGGTTAAGATTCTCCTTAACCAAAGAATGGATGGAGAAAATGTGGCACATTTGCACAATGAAGTATTACTCAGTGGAAACAAACAAACAAACAAACAATGAAATCTTGAAAGTCACAGGCAAATGAATGGAACTGGAAGAAACACACAGCCTACAATCCACACAACCAGAGAAACTACGAAACAAGGAAGAGCCTAAGAGAGAAATAAATGGTCCCCAAAAGAAGGAGAAAGGAACAAGAACTGCTGAGCAGATTGGGAGCATGGGGTGGGGGTGGAAAGTGGAGAGAGGTAGGAAAAAGAGAAGGGGAGAGGAGGAGGCTGGTAGGAGAACAAGAGGGATCAGAAAGACTGAATCAGGGGAGGAATACAGGGGAGCAAGAAAAAAGATACCTTAATACAGGGAGCCAGTATAAGTTTAAAGAGAAATCGGGCACTAGGGAAATGTTCAGAGATCCACAAAGATGACTCCAATTCAGAATTTAGGCAGTAGTGAAGAGGCCAATCAAAGGCCCTTCCTATAACAAGATTGATGACTACCTTGATTGCCATTCTAGAGTCTTCATCCAATAACTGATAGAAGCAGCCGACACCTACAGCTAAGCACTGAGCCAGATTCCTGGAATCCAGTTGTTGAGAGGGAGAGGAGATGAGCAAAGCAGTCAAGACTGTTCTGGAGAAACCTACAGAAACAGCTGACCTGACCTAGTAAGAGCACATGGACCCCAGTCATAGAGCTACAAAACTGAAACAAGTCTCTGAATATGGATGCCAGTTAGGAGGCCTGAGCAGTCTCTGGGATTTCTAACGGTGGAACCAATATTTATCGCTAGTGCACAAATAGACTTTGGGAGGCCATTCTCCATGGAGGAATACTATTTCAGCCCAGATACACAGAGGAAGGCCTAGGACCTCCCCCAAATGATGTGACAGACTTTAATGATCCCCCATGGAAGACCTCATGGTGGGGGATTGGTGGGTTGGTGGGTTGCATAGGAGATGGGAGAGAGAGGGAATGGGGAGATTGATATGTAAAATAAGATTGTGTGTGTGTGTGTGTATATATATATATATATATATATATATATATATGAAGAAGAAAACTGAGCCCCAACATGCCAAGAAACTTAGTCATTGATGTCAAGAGCCATACTCTGTTTAGTCTGCCTACACAATGATAAACAAAAAAAAATCTGTTTAATTTTTCTTCAGATTTGACAGAGGATCATTCAGTTTTCCTTTTCCCTCACACTGGAAACTTTTAAAAATCCCCTTTTCATATAGAGAAACTAGACGACCACTGAATTACCACATTGTAAATTTATATCATCATAAAACAAAATGCAATGTGCTTCTGACACCCCCAGATTTGCCTAAAGAAAGTGAGACTCCAGCACTACTCTAACCAGGAAGATCCAGATTCTAACACACAAGTTTTACTCTTGGTGAATACAAGTCAATGCATATGGGATGCTAGCATACCATATGCTGATGGAATTCTCTCTAGGTTTATCTCAATATAATGACTAGGTTTTAAAAACTTTGTCCTGATTGCTTCATTCTAATATGATCCTAGTCTGTCAAAAGTTTTAAAATCAGTCTGTCAAAATTATCTTTGTGTGTGTGTGTGTGTGTGTGTGTGTGTGTGTGTGTGTGTGTGTGTGTGTGTGATTCTGGGCATAGACCCCAGGGCCTTGCCTTGTGGTTATAATATTTAGCTCCCTAAGATAGATTGCTGCTGCATCCTCTGCTAGAGCTTCTGAATTCTCTGATGTACTGATAGACATTGGATGAAAGCTGCCATTATTGTTTGCAATTCCCTTCCATTTTCAACATGGTTTTCAAACTTAATTTTCCATTAATAAAAAAAAGTCCTTTCTGATTCAGACTAACCTTTATGTTGTTGCACATGGGGAAACCATTTTTTGCCTTCATACTTTTATTATGTATTTATTCACTGTCTTTAAACCCTACTTTTCCTTTGCTCTTTTTTTTATATGTATATAGTGTGCGCATGAATATATGTGTGCTCTTTTGTGTGCAAGCACTTGTGTACGTGTTTGTATTTGTGTATGTTCATGTGTGTGGCTAGGGGACAGAGATTGACACTGGGTAACCTCCTTGGGTAATAGCCTCCATGCACATTGAAGCAGGGTCTCTTACTTGATCCCAAAACTCAAAGACCTGGTGTTCTAGCTAGCCATCTTGCTCTGGGGATTCTAAGTCTTGGTCTCCCTGGAGCTGGGATTACAGGCAGGCCAGCATCCCCACCCTGTATTTAGGCATTACATGGGACCCAAACTCAGTCATGACACTTTCATGATACTTCATTCACCAAGCATGTTCCCAGTCCTCGTTACCCATTTAAGCTTCTTTTTAAATAAAAACCCAATCAATAGACAATATATTCAGGCACTAACTGTGTGTGCCCAGTTGACATACTGTAGGGGATGTCAGTTTCTGTTTACTGAAAAAAAAAGTGCAAAGGCATTTAACAATATTACTTACCTACCTCTGACAGTCAGAAAGTTTACTACTAAAACCCTCTTTAGGGGAGGGAAAAGAAGAGATGATGGTCTATCTCCCTGGAAGGTGATGAGTTACCATCATGTACAGAAAAACACTGGCTTTGGTGTTAGATGCACCATTTCTCATTACTGAAATATGAGCCCCAGCTTTCTTACTCATAAGAAGGGAGAGTTCTGCAGGTAATATTAAATAATGTGTATGGACAGTGAGATCTAACAACTCACCCATGGAAGAAATGGTAAATGTGAGTTGAATAAATTCAAATACTGTAACGAAGTCATCATTACCTACACTCTTTGATCTGTGTCTTCTAAGTTTGTAGCTTCCATTTTCTTACAAACTCATATTTCTTACTAGTCTGAGACCGATTATTCTAAATCTATAACAAATGATTTGTATTAATTCACATTTTATATATTAGTCTTTGTTTTTGCAGCACGAAGGGTTAATATAGGTCTTATGTATACTAGGCAAGCTTTCTACTCTTTTTACTTTTTGTTGCATGTTTTGTTTTGTAGTGCTGAGGATCAAGTATAGGGTCTTATGCTTTGACAAGCTATATCTCTAACACTCTTTTTGTCTTTTAAATTGTACTTAATTATTTGTGGGGTGTGTGGAGTTGGGTGTCTGTGTAGAGGGTTGGGGTGTTTGTATGTTCACACTTGGAGATGTTGCAGATGTCTTCCTCAGTTGGGTCTCGATATTTTTATTTATTTATTTGTTTTTGAAAGAGGGCCTCTCATTGAACCTAGAGGTCCCCAGTTTGGCTAGAAAGGTACCACTGGGATCCTCTTGTCTCTACCCTCCCATCACTGCAGTTACAGGTGCAAACCACCATGCCCTGCTTTTTCTATCACTGGAGATCCTAACTCAGATCTTCATGCTTCTACTGAATCATCTCCACAAGCCCTCTATACTTTTGGAGACAATATTTCCCCTAAGTTGCCAAAGCATGATTGGAATTCATTCTGCAAACCAGGCAGTCCTTCAAATCACAATTCTCCTGCCTCTGCCTCTTAAATTGCTAGATTACAGGCCTGTATTACTAGACCTGGAAATAACTTAGTCTTAATAACCAAACAGACTGTATATTCACTAAAGTCAAGGTTATTTTATCTTACTTTTCATTTATGTCTTGCCCAATAAGTTCTGATTGATAAGCTGCTACATTTGAGGAATAGTTTGTAAAACTAAACTAGAAAGAATTTAACTCAACAGTAGGGATTTGATAGCAATGTTTAAATGAGAAAAGAATGCCAGTATCAGTGTGGTCATTGACTTCTTTCCCTATAAGCATCCACTGATCAATATATTAGATCTGTGTCCCTATGACAAATTATCAGTTATCATCAACTATGTGTAACAAATAAATATGATGATTATGTTCACTGATTTAATAAGGAGCATCTTTCAAGTCAGAATACACTTATTGGATCAGAATGAAAAAAAATGGATAGGTTATGTCTAACTACAACCAAAAATGAGGAACAAAACACTTTGTATCTTATGCAATAGAATATAGAAAGTTCTGTATAGAGAAGACAAAAAAGAATGAAAATGATGTTGAAATGTTTTCTGAGACAAGGTCTCACTATATAGAGCTTGCAACTTTTCATTCCTACTTCCTCAGCATACCAAGCAGTACAGTTATAGGCACATGTCACCATGCCTAGCTAAAAGAGTATTATTGCAGCACCAATATCCAAAGAATCAAATAGAGAGACCATATAATTTCTTCAGGAAAAATGGAGAGCCACAGCACTTCAGTGTCCCCGTGACCATGATGGCAATACGGTCACCCAGCACATCAGCTTCATCCATGTGGTGTGTGGTCAGCAGGATGGTACGGTTCTCTTTATATTGCTGCAGAAGGTCCCAGGTGGTCCTCCTTGAGACCGGATCCATGCCAGATGTTGGCTCATCAAGTATCACCACCTAGGGACAAGAATAAGTAATCATGGCTCTATTCACTTTATGCTTGCCTACTGAACATGGGAGACATAGTCAAGCCCATTCTAGGACAAAAACTGATAAATCATTAACTGTCACACCTATGACCACATGTGTCAGCTGCATTAATAATGAGAAGCCCCCTCTTTACAATTTTGGAGAATTGAATTTGTGCCAACTTTTGTGTTTGCATATGGAGGAGTAAAGACATATTTTATATTTTATTTCTTACTATGTGTGCATACATATGCAGATGCCAGAGACTGATGTCCTATGTCTTTCTCAATCTTATCTTTTGAGGCAGGATCTCAAATTGAACCCAGAATTCATCGATGAACTGGACTGGTTGGAGAGCAAGCTCTGGGGGTCTGCCTATCTCTATACCATCTTCAGGTTAAGTTTATAAACACCTACAACCATGTCTGGTACTTTTACCTGGGTGCTGGGGATCTGAATGCAGGTCTCAATATACCCTGCAGGTACTTTATCATGGAACCATCTTGCCATCTCCACAAGGATACATTTTAACTGTTATTTACCTTAGTATCCCCTATAAGAGCTATAATGATTGAGAGTTTGCGCTTCATTCCTCCGCTAAGATCCTTTGACAGTGCATCACTTTTATCTAGCAGGCCAAAAGAAGTGAGCATCCCATGAATTTCTCTAGATCTTTTTCTCGAAGATATTCCTTTTATCTAAAAGGAGGAACCAAAGTTTACGCAGTGTTTTAAACCATGTGCTTAGAAAATTCTTACATTAGGGATTTAACAAAGCTATCTACTTATGCTCGCCCTTTTTTGGTGCCTCCGGCACAAACTTTTGATGAAGGTAAAGCTTCAGGTCCTTGTTCACACTGCCTGGAGGATATGAAGAATGCAGAAAGCAAGTGCTCACCACATAGTAGAAATACAGGTGCTCTAACACTGTCAGCATTGGGAACAACAGGTCATCCTGGGGACACAAGCCCAAGCTTTTCCTAACTTGAATCATGTCAGATGAGATGTCATATCCACTAATAAAGACCTTTCCTCTGGTAGGAAGATACAAACCTAGAATTAAGCAAAGACATGGCTGGGCTTAGGTGCAGCAAGGACACAAAAGCATGCTTCTCACTAGAGCCTAGCATGCAGAGTCTATGGACCATACAAATCATCAATGCCTTCCACAGAGACACCTGGTATCAATGCTCATGATATAGTGATGATGGAAAAAGAAATGACTTTTCCTTTTTGTTTAATTGTATTTCTTCCTTGAAAATAGTTTAGTTTTGCAATTAAAATGTAATTATAGCATTTCCCCTTTCCCTTTCCTCCCACCAACCCATCCCATTTATTTCCCTTTACTCTCAATTTTTTAATTGTTGATAAGAAGTTATATATGTATTCTAAGATATGAAACTACGACCTTCTCAGTCCATATAATATTTCATGTAAATATACGATTGCAGATAATCTATAGCCAATTAGGAGGAACTTCCCTGGGGAAGACTATTTCTCCCCCTCTTGACACCCCTTAGTTGCCTGTAGTTCTTTGTGTGTTGGGACCCTGTGAGATTTCCCTTTCCATGTTAGGATGTCAAGTGGTATCTTCTTGTTTGGGTCTTCTTTAGGCAGCCATGTCATTGAGATTTCATGGATATAGCCTCCATGACATTTCTAGGAGACACAATCTCACATTAGACTTCCTAACCTTCTGGCTCTTAAAATATTTCCACACCCTCTTCCTCGATGTTACCGGAGCTTTAGGTGTAGGGCTGTGTTATACATGTAGTGGCTGAAGTAGGCACCACACACTTAATTGTTTTCTGGATTTTGGTCAGTTGTAATTTTCTGGAATGGTCTCTATTTATTGAAGTTTCTTTGATAAGGGCAGAGGTCTACAAGTATCTGTGGTTATAAGGTTAAAAATTTAGAACACAGTTAGGAATTGTGATGGTTTGGTAAAGCTGTGGTTGTAGACTCTCCTCCAAGATTCATGACCTCACTAGCCCTGGGTAGTTGACCAGGTTCCAGTACCAGGCACGATTTCCCTCTTGTTGAGCAGGCCGTGTGCCTAATTAGTGAGCTGTTGGTTGCTGCCAAGGCATATGTGCCACTACTGCACCCTTTGTGTTATCTTGCCATGTTGGTCATTGTTGTGCATAAGTGTCAGAGCTGGACAAGACTATTTGACTGTTTCCCCCTTTGGGAGGTTGCATGGCACCTTCTGTTACTATGAAAGCTGGTCCTCAAGGAGGATGCTTCCAGGGGAAATCCAGCCCAGATCCTCAGAATCCTGTGTCTGAAGAGTATGGTGTCATCAGGAATAGAGATTTACCATCAAATCCTAGGATGAAAACTAATGGCAACAGCATTAGACTATAATGTTTGGGAAGTCTCTTAGATTTGCCCAGCGAACAACTTGAAAAGGACCTTCTCATGTTTGGTATTGCAGTTTGTTATACAGTCTATGGCTCTTGTGGGGAGCACTGTCAGCCTAGGTGGGAAATTTTCACTTAAACTATATATGTATACAAACAGACTTATATGTATTATATATAATTTTAGGTAAACCAAAATAATGTCAGTGTTTAGCTGTGGGTGTCTGATTCTGTTTCCCTCAGCTACTAGATGAGGCTCTATGATTGTAGATAAGTTAGTCATCAATCTCATTATCAGGAAAGGACATTTAAGGTAGCCTTTCTAGTGTTGCTCAGATTATTAGTTGGGGTCATACTTGTAGGTCTCTGGACATTTCTCTATAGTCAGTTTTCTCTTCAAACCTATAATGGCTCCCTCTAATATAGTATCTGTGGGTTTATTTTTTTGTTTTTGTTTTTGTTTTGCTCTCGTCTATTCCTCCCCTGACTCAATCTCCCTAGCCCCCACATGTTCTCCTCTCCACCCCTTCTCTTTTTCCTAGCTCCCTCTCCACTCACTGCCCCGCCACTCCCAATATGCTCAGGAGATCTTGTAAAGAGTGACCTTGTAGGAATCTCTTAGGTTCCTCCTTGTATCCTAGTTTCTCTGGTGGTGTGAATTATAGGCCGGCAATCCTTTGCTCTATGTCTAAAATCCATATATGAGTGAACTGGAATCCAGATGCAGAGAGGGTGGAGTGATAAGAAAATGGGGACAAGACCAGGCTACAGAAACCCACAGAGACAGCTGACCTGAACAGGGGGGGAGCTACTGGACCCCCAGACTGATAGATGAGAAACCAGCATTGGACTGACTCGGACCCCCCCCCTGAACATGGGTCTCAGTTAGAAGGCCTGGGCAGTCTAAGGGACCTCTGACAGTTGAACCAGGATGTATCTCTGGTGCATGAAAGGACTTTGGGAGCACATTCCCCATGGAGGGATACTCCCCTAAACTAGAGGCAGAAGTGGGGGCCTAGTCCCTACTCTAAATGACTTGACAGATTTTGTTGATCCCTCCTGGAAGGCATCAACCTCCCTGTGGATTGGGGGGTGGGATGGGAGGGTGGTTGGGGGGGCATGGGAGGAAAGAAGAGAGGGAGGGAGGGAAGGAGGGAGGGAGGGGGAACTGGGATCGATATGTAAAATAAGAAAAAAACAAATGGATATGATAAAGAAAAAAAGAAATAATATGAGTCTTTGTGGGGTTGTTTTTAGACATCCTCATTGTTAATTTACACACTCTCTCTCTTTCTGTACTGATTTCCTTGTTACTTCCATTTTCATTTCTCCCTTCAAATCATTTGTACTCTGATATTCTCCTCTCTGTTGCCAGCCCCATAGTACCTTTTTGCTGGTACCTGCAATTACTACAGGTTATTTTCCCACACCTGAAGTTTTGGGGCTAGGAGCCACAGATGAGACAACATTCCACATTTGCCTCTCTGGGTCTGTTACCTCATTCATATAATTATTTCTAGTTCATTTACCTGCAAAGTTCATTTTAGTTTGTTTTGTTTATTTTTACAGTTGAGTACCATATTTTCATTATCCATGAGTTGAAGGACATTTAGGTTGTTTCCATTTCCTAGCTATTGTGATTAGACCAACAATAAATGTGACTGAGCAAGTATCTTTGAAGTGAGATATTGAGTCCTTTGAGCATATGCCAAGGAGTTAAATAATTGGGATAGATAGTACATTTGTGTCTAGCTTTTTGAGAATTCTCTGCACTCATTTCCATAGTGGCTGAAGCAATTTGCAATCCCACCCACAGTGAGTTCTTTATATATCCTAGATACCAATCTTCTTTCAGTTGTTTAGCCGGAAAAGATTCTCTCCCATTCTATGGGCTTCGTTTTTACCTGATTTTCTTCCTTTTACATACAGAATCATTTTAGTTTTATGATGTCCCACTAATCAAATGTTGCCTGTAATTCTGGGGCAAATGGAGTCCTATTTACAAAGTCCTTCCCTAGACCTACATCATATAGGGTACTGCCTGTTTTCTTCTACCTGTCTCAGGTTTCACATTATGGTTGTTGACCCATTTGGAGTTAGTGTTTTATGTTTGGTGATAGATATTGATCTAATTACAGTCTTCTACATGTGGATATCCAGTTTTCTAGGTACCATTCACTGAAGATGCTTTCTTTTGTCTAGCATATGTTTTGGCAACTTGTTTAACTATCTGATGGCTGTAACTACTTGTGCTCATGTTTGGATCTTCAACTTTGTTCACTTTCAAATTTTTTCACATATGTTCACAAAAGCATATGCCTGCTTTTGTGCCAGTACCATACTGTCTTTATTCCTATGAATCTGTAATATATTTTCAAGTGCAGAGTGTAAATCCCTCCAGCATTGTTCTTTTTGGTCAGGATTGTTTTTGTTATCCAGAATCTTTTGTGGTTCCATGTAAACTTTAGGGTAATTTTTCCATTTCTTTGAAGAATGAGATGGAGATTTTAATTGAGATTACACTGAATCTGAGAATGGTTTTGGTAGAATTGCTGTCTTCACAAATATTAATTCTATTGATCCATGAGTCTATGATGTCTTTCCATTTTCTAGTATCTTTATTTCTTTCTTCATAGGTTTAAGGTTTTCAAAGTAGAAGTCCTTCACCTGCTTGGTTAGGTTTATTCATAGATACTTTATCTTTTTAAAATGCATTGTAAATGGGAATTTGTCCATGATCTCTTACTCTTTGTTGGGACATAGTTGTATGTATTGATTCTGTATCCTTCCATGTTACTGACATTGTTGATTGCTTTTCAGAATTTTTCTGGTAGAATTTTGGAATATCTTATGTATAATATCATCTGTAAATAGAGACAGTTTGACTCCTGTTTTTATATTTTCATGTCTAATTTACTTCTCTTTCCTTTTATCTCCAGCAAGTGCTTTGAGCACAATATTGAAGAAGTTAGGATAATTCAAAGTCCTACCTTGGTCCTGATTTTAGTGGGATTTTTTTTTTTTTTTTATTTTTTCTCTACTTGGGATGAAGTTGGCTGTAGATTTCTTATCTACAGCTTTTATTGTATTGAGGTGTGTTCCCACTATTCCTACACTCCCCAGGACTTTTATCATGAAGATATATTAGATTTTGTTGAAAGATTATTCTGCATCTGTTGTGTGAAATGTTTGCTCCTTTTGCTTTTTTAGGGGGGCCCACCACCCAGCTCCCAAATAAATTACACATGGAGGTTTATTATGAACGTCCAACCTTAGCTTGGCTTGTTTCTAGCCAGCTTTTCTTATCTTAAATTATTCTATCTCCCTTTTGTCTTTGGGCTTTTTTCCTTTTTTTATTTCTGTATATCTTACTTTCACTCTTACTCTGTGGCCGGCTGGATGGCTAGCCCCTCTCGTCCCCCTCTCTTTGTTCTCTCCTTGCTCCCTCTTCCTCATTTCTTCTATTTATACTCTCTGCCTGCCCGCCCTGCCTATCCTTGCTTCCACCTTGATATTGGCTGTTCAGCTCTTTATTACATCATCAGGTATTTTAGATAGGCAAAGGATCACAGCTTCACAGAGTTAAAGAAAAGTCATACTTTACTATTCCCCACATGCATCTATTGAGATGATTATGTGGTTTTGGTCTTTAAGTCCATTTATGTGGTTTGTTATGTTTATTGACTTGCATATGTTGAACTACCCAAGGATAAAGTCAACTTGGTCATGCTGGACAATATTTTTGATGTATGTCTGGTTTTGGTTTGCAAGTATTTTAAATTCTATGTTAATCAGGGATATTGGCTTATGGCTTTCTCTTTTGTTGCTGTTATGTCTTTACCTGATTCAGGTATTACAGTAATACTTGTTTCATAGAGTCAGTTTTAGAGTGCTCCCTCTGTTTCTATTTTTTATTTTTAATATAAATTTTATTTAAATTAGAAACAATCTTATTTTACATATCAATTCCAGTTTCCTCTCCTTCCTATCCTTCCATGCCTCCCACTGAACCAACCCCATCCCATGGCCATCCACTCCCAAGGGAGGGTGAGGCCTCTTGTGTCCAGAAGTAACAAGTGTATTAGCTTCCAATGCCTGAGGTAACAAATTGTCACAGACTTGGTGGCTAAAAACAGACTTATTTTAGGATAGAAGCCTAAAATCAATGGCCTTGGTCCAAATTAAAGATCTGTAGGAAAGCATGACTCCAATAAAAGCTGAAGAGGAAAACTGGTCTGTTTTTGTTGTTATTTGTTTGTTTGTTTGTTTCTCTTTGGGGGCCTGCCACCCAGCTCCCAAATAAATACATGAAGACTTATTCTTACTTTAGGAATATCTGGTCTTAGCTTGGCTTGTTTCTTGCCTGCTTTTCTTAAATTATATCATCTACTGTTTGTCTCTGAGCTTTTTACCTATCTATTCTATATACCTTTCTCTACTTCATACTCCATGGCTGGCTGTATGGCTGTTTGGCTGTGTTGATGACTCCTGGCATCCTCCTCTCCTTCTCTCAATCCTTCTTTTCTATTTATTATCTCTGCCAGGCAGCCCTGCTTCTTTCTCTCTCCTGCCTAGCTATTGGCAATTCAGCTTTTTATTAGACAAATATGGTGTTTTAGACAGGCAACATAACACAGCTTTATCGAGTTAAACAACATAAACATAAAAGAATGCAACATAAAAAAAATGCAACATGTCTTTGCACCACTAAACAAATGTTCCACAGTATAAAAGAATGTGACATGTCTTAAACTAATATCCCACAACACTGGACCCTTTGTTTAATCATGCTGTAGTAGCAGGTGGCATTACCTGGCTTGTGTAGTGCCAGCCCCTCTTCTGCCTCCACTGTGGCATTGCCGGCTCTCTTTCGTGCATCCTCTTCTGATGTCTTGCCCTTACAAGGCACTAGTTAATCCATTGTGCTTAAGGTCATTGGAGAATCTATGCCTTATAAAGCAACAGTCACAGGTTCTAGGACAGGGACGTGCATTTGTGGACAAGTGCCAGGCACATGTAACACATGGAATGTGCCCCAAGACAAAGATACAGGTACATTCAGTGAATGGTAGGAGATACTACATTGCTGTCAACCATAGCAGTGATTCCTTTACAGTCATGTGATACTAGTTCAGAAAGAATTGCGTTAAGAGTTTTTAAAACTGAGGTTCAAGGGAAATGGAAATTCCACAACTTTTAATCTGGATCACTCAATGTCTCAGAAGACCTACCCACTGGCATGCCCTAGAGATCTCAGCCCTGTCCTGAGACCTCACCTGATACTGTCATGTTCTTTCGGCCATTCCTTTCCACACTCATTTTCTCTTCTCTGGCCACATGACAACCTCAATTCTCTTGCTCCCTGGTCCTATATGTCCTGATAATACACATCACTCTGTTTTTTTTTTTTTTCAATCTTTTCCAAGACTTAGATATCATTCCCACTTATCTACCTCCCTAAGCAGGAATTATTCAAGACTGCCACGGTAGAACCTTCCCTTTGAGATCTATTCTCAAGCCACATTATAAAACTCCTGTCTACTTATCAGCATCACCATCAAATATACAATCCCTGGAGGTAAGGATTTTGGGCCTACCCATTCTCTTTGGGTTTCTATCCCAATACCATGCAGTTAATAATCTATATTAAAAGAATAAACCAATTTATTAGATCATATGAAATGTACTGGTTGAAATGAATTAAAAGAAGAATTCTTAGGCTGATGGGATGGTCCAGTGAATGTAGGCACTTGTTGCCATACCTGACAGCCTAAGTCCAAACACCAGCCGCATGGGGAGGGTTGTCCTTTGATGTCTACATGTATGCTATGGCAAAATTTTCTGGGTAAGTTCCCCATCTTAAGAGGTAGTTGGGCTACACAGATGTGTGCGTGCGTATACATACATACATACACACACACACACATATATATATGTCAAAAATTGCAAATAAACAAAATTTAAACATTACAAAATATTTTAACAAAAAATGTCTAAATTACATAATGAAAAGAATATTTAATGTCTAAAATTAACTGAAATATTTTAAATGGGTTGAGAGATATGTAAAAAGTACCGTAAAAATGTAAGAATGGTAGACTATAGGTTATACATGTAGGGATATTTGATTTTAAAAGTTTTAATTTACTCCTGTGTTTGAAATATTCTCAACAAATTACTATATATTCATAGTATGCATTCACAGTGAGAGTAATGCACAACAAGAAAATTATAATGGTTTCCTATGATGTGAAGAGAATAATTGAATATAAAACAAAGTAGGGGGGAACCAATAAAAAACTGAACACAAACTTTCAAAAGTGGGGACTTGAATGATTATTCAGAATAACACACTCAAAAGAAAGGTAGGCTTAAAGTATCTGAGCCTAATTTAACGTATGAAATGATTTGTACTTTAAGAACTGAGGGAATTAACTAATTATATTACAATGATATTAGCTTCAGGGATGTTGGCAGAAACCTTACAATTGACACTTGGTCCACAGAGCTTGCCCCCAGTGTGACCCTGGATACACACCTGTTAGAATGGACAAGGTGGTCGTCTTTCCTGCCCCGTTATGTCCTAAAAGAACGGTTATCTGTCCCTCGTACAAGTTCAAAGACAAGTTTTTTACTGCCATCAGGGTATTATTTTTTAAGGTGAATTGCTATAAAAGGAAAAACAAGGACTAATTTGATTACTGCTACCTGTAAACAAGGACTCGGTAATTATTCAGAATTGGAGAAAAATGTCATTAATCTCAAGGCTGGAGGAAAAAAAAATCTAAGAGAGATTAAATTTTGGAAACTAAACAATGCTTACAAGCAGTGCACAGGGACTGTTTCAGGGCAGGCTACAGATGCCCCCTGAGCAATCTCATGTTGTTGCTCTGATGCAACCTCCAAAGCTAATAAAAACCCCAGCTAACCCCAGTTAGTCAGGTCCAGTCAGTTGGGCCCAGTCAGGCCCAGCAGTCAGGCCCAGTTAGCAGGCCCAGTCAGTCAGGCCCAGTCAGTCAGGCCCAGTCAGCAGGCCCAGCAGTCAGGCCCAGTCAGTCAGGCTCAGTCAGCAGGCCCAGCAGTCAGGCCCAGTTAGCAGGCCCAGTCAGTCAGACTCAGCCAGCAGGCCCAGTCAGTCAGGCCCAGTCAGTCAGTCCCAGTCAACCTCAGTCAGTCAGGCCCAGTTAGGCACAGTCAGTCACAGTCAACCAGGACCAGTCAGTCAGTCCCAGTTAGTCAGTCCCAGTAAGGCCCAGTCAGTCTTTCTCTCCTGTCTCAGAATGATCTGCTGAAAATTCTGTTCATTTCACCAGCTTCTAGACACTTCAGACTCTACTTGTAATACCTAAAAAGAATGCTGTCACCTATGATCTTATCTGCATGAGCTACAAAACAATCTACCTAATTTGGAGCTGACAAACCTCAGACATCTCCCTCTACTTCATACACAAAAATCTCTTAGTCACTAATCAGTGCTAATCAACTCATTTGTTTATTCAACAAGAAATTATTGAGTGCACTTGTGTAGCGTGCATTGTAGAATATGTTCTGATTGTAGCTATGTAGAAGCCATAAATGGCACCTTCTCCCATATCAGAAAAAATGTAACAGGAGAACAGGAAAACACATATGCATATATACATATGAATGATTTATCATTTTATTAAACATTAGCCAAAGTATGCCTCAATGAACAAATAGAGAGCCTAGAACAACATCCCTGCAAATATAGGAAGAAAGGCAGTATTATCAGCTGGGCAACACAGGAAGTACACATCATGTAAACTATATCTAACAATGGGCAGGAAGTTGCAAAAGGGATCACAAAGATTAGCTAGACACATTTCTCTACCTATGCCTAAAAGAAATAGTACTTTGGATATGATGGCAAATTGCATGTCAACCATTTGTTACTACAGTGAACGAACATATAATGCTCACTGAACTTAAATCTCTTTGGTTGCCTATATATAAATTTTTTCCTGAATTTGTGAACTGACATTTTCCTGTGTTAAGCGGTATCTAAGTATCTAAAACAAAATAAAAACCCAAATGTGGTTATAAGTTCAATTTGTAAATTCATTTTAATAACCATACTGGGAAGTTATTCACACATTGTGCAGTAAGCCCACTTAAAGTGTATAATTCAGGGGGTTTCGATTCATTTGCAGTTTTACAGTTAACTGCATGCCCCACAATTTCTGCTTTCATTCTCCATACTAACTTGAAAATGCAGACTGCCTTGACTGCTCTGTAACACGGCTAACTGCACATTTTCTGCTACAGGTTTGAAGCTGGTCCAGACCTTCAGCAATACCAGGCACTAATAGTGTCATTTAAGTTTTTCACCAAACACTGAGACGTGTACACTTGCTAAACACCTAGACATTAGCTCCTACCCTGAACCAAGTTCCTTAAACTCCTATCTAAAAAACTACAACCTGACCTCTTTGTTGTTGCTGAAGACACACTTAAGTACATTCATATTCTCCCTTTCTTTCTCTCTCCCTCCTTAGTCATCTCCTTCTTTCCCTACCTCCAATATTATTGATATTCCAAGGTGAAATTTCCCCATCATGTCTACAAGATACTATCTCACAGCAGGAATTCTGTTCCTCTGGCTCTCACAGTTTTCCCTCCCGCTTTTCCACAATGTTCCCTGGCATCGTGTATAAGTTATAAGGGTTCACTGCAGTTATATCGATGGGGTTGGCTACCCTGTGGCTCATAGGCTTTAAATTGGGCAGGACTACTCATGCAAGCTGGGTAGGACTAATTATTGCTTTTCTTTTTAGACAACAGTGTCTGATAGCATGAGAGCTAGTCCTGAGAGAGGAAGCTTTCAAGTCCATTACAACTTAATTTCTCCAAGTCCTGTGTCCAAAATATCTTCAGCAAAAGGATCTTACTTTGAAGTTCTGGGAAGCAAACAAGGGCAATAAGAATTGCATTATCTTTTGCTCTTTTTCCCACTCTGGTGAGAAAAACATTCTGATTTCAATTTATGGTGGAATGTGCATTATGATAGGCTTATGACATCTTTTTTTTAAAGCACTCCACATGTACTTTCTATCTGCATTTGTTGAGTACAGCATATTTATTGGGTCATATAAATAAATCATGGTCTTCAGTTGTTTATATACTTACTGACTAGTCTGATTTTATGTTCATACTCTTCCTATTTTTGTTCTTTCAAAAATTATTTTCTTTAATATACTAATCATTATTTTTAAATCTGTGCCTACTAGTGCTAACATCTGTATCATGTTCCAAATGAAGCTCTACTACTGTATACATATACTGTTTGTTAATGGTCACTATGTCATGCTTCTTCACATGTCTAACATGTTTTCAATTGTTCAATACATTTTGTTATGAGAAAAACATTACCACATAGTATCTTTTATCTTCCATCATAGAGTAACCCCTTCAAATGATCAAATGCACAGCAAAGAGACATCACTTCCACCTAATCTGGGACTCAACAGAGCAGAGATGGATTTTAGGTCTGCTCACTTCTCCTTCATTTCTACTCAGGCCTGGTCCTCTTGCTTTTTTATGGACTGTCTTGAAAGGCTACATTTCTTCAGTCTAGAAATATTTGGAGAGAGTTTCTTTTGTCCTAGGGTTTGGAATGATTTCTTTAGTCTGCTTTATTTTCAAGCTCCAAAATCAACTTTGTTTTTGGAATATCCTAAGTATAGAGATGCCATGCTTCCTTTTAGAACTATAGGTCTAGTTTCTCAGCATCCCACACACAGCCATATAGATCACTAAATGACTGGCCATCTGTCTAGATCCTTCAAGCTTCCAATCTGTTGTGTAGTCACCCATGATCCCCTCACTCCCCCACAAAAAAAGATTTTACATGCCTCTCATTACTCTAGTAGAGTTCACTTTTTGTGGCAGGGGTGTTCAGTCCATGGTTAGAATTAGCAAATGGCTTCAAGGAGGAAAAGATAGGAGGCTTATCATTCTTGGGTGTTGTAAATAATCTAGCCCTTCCTGGTTTTACAGCAGTATAATTAACAGAGGAATTTTATCTGGCTAGGCAGTGGTGGCACATGCCTTTAATCCCAGCACTCATGAGGCAGAGGCCAGCCTGGTCTTCAAAGAGAGTTCCAGGACAGTCTCCAAACCTACAGAGAAACACTATCTCAAAAAAAAAAAAAATCTGATGCATTCATTTCTGTAGCCCTAGTACCAATAATCTAAGAAAAATGTGAATTATCAGAAGTCACTTGTTGAATTTCCTGAGTAAATAATCAGTGCTACAGTATTTTTGGGTCCACTGAGCACTCATGATATTCTGTATGCAAGCTTGGGAAGAGATCTGGGAGGGTGGGGGAATGAACTATTGTAACAACAGAGCTAGCTAGCTGTATGTTGGGGCAATTCTGAATGAACCACTGTAACAATAGAGGAACATGCCAGGGCAATTCTACAGGAAAATAAAGCTAAAGAGAGGAGAGACAATAGAAAAAGGGCACAACATACTTCCTTTGATATAGCACTGCCATATTTTTTCATTCATATCATATTTTTTTATTTTTTCTTATTTTATATATCGATCCCAGTTCCTGCTCCCTTCCACACCCGCTAATCCCCTTCCCCCGACCCCCCACTCCACAGTGAGGGATCAACAAAATCTGTCAAGTCATTTGGAGTAGGGACTAGGCTGTCCCTCCTGCCTCTGGGTTAGGGGAGTATCCCTTCATGGGGAATGAGCTCCCAAAGTCCTTTCATGCACCAGGGATGCATCCTGGTTCCACTGTCAGAGGTCCCTTAGACTGCCCAGGCCTTCTAACTGAGACTCATGTTCAGGAGGTCTGAGTCAGTTCAATGCTGGTTTCCCAGCTATCTAGCACTGCCATATTAAGAAAATGGTTGATGTTAGTAAATACCCAAAGAAAACCAATGAAAAGGCTGTTTGATAACTGGGCTAATATAATCAAAGCAGAATGTAGGGGCAATTCATTGGCAGGAAAGGAGCCACATGACCAGTCAGTCCTCCATTGGCCCTTAAACCAGAAACTATGAAAGGGAGTCAATTGCCACAAATTATGAAATTAAACATTCAAAATAAATTGGAATAGTTCCTTGGGAGACAAGGGAATGTTAGGTATAAGTTTCCTGCAAAAAGTACACCCTTCCAGATCCAGAAATGCATAAAAGCCTAACAACACACATTTGCCAAATATTCTGGCAGAAAAACAGTGCATCAGCCTTGCAAAATCAAATCAGGGTATAATTTCCAAATATCTAATAAATGTTGCATCTTAACTTCACCATGGAGGACCATGGAGGATACCATTATTAGCTACATGAAAGTAGATCCAATTCTGAAGAAGGAGAGAAATAACACAGAGATCTTGTTTAGAGACAGACTTTCATTATGTAACCCAAGAGAGTTAATCTCACAATTTCTCTGCCTCACCGTCCCAAGAGCTGGGAAAACAAACCTGTACCACCATGGCCAGGCAACAATTGGACTTATGATTTTCTTGGATACACTTAAAATTTTATCTTACTATAGGAATCTTAATTAGCATAGCTGTGGAGTTGGGGCCATGACAAACATTTAATCTCCATAGTAGACTGACTCTCCACCCTGTCAAGACACAGAAAGCTGTTGAATAAGTACCTTGTACAAATTTTGAATCCGGATGCCAACTGCTAAGCCAACAGGTTCAGGCTCAACAAACTCACTTGGGGGCAAATCAGTGACTTGGCTCTCTTCCTTGCTTAAGACTGGCTCTCCAAACCAGTAGGTTTTCTAAAATAACAACACCAAGAGTCATCATCGTCATCATCATCATCATTGTCATCATATTACTGGAAAGTTAAATGCTTTCAAGATTTCAAAGCTTTCTGACTCATTTCACTCTAGTTTTGAACAGACTTACAATAAATGACCTTAAACTATAATGTGAAGCAATTTATCTGTCTATAATATGAATTTCTAAACTTGCAATCACAGAATACACATTCTGCTTAAAGTTCAGCTTTGCAAGAAGAAAGCCAATGAATTTGCCTCAGGCATAGTGAGAAGCACTGCCTCACTCCAAGTCAGATCTTTCTAGCAGGGTTGATCTATACATTATGGGTATCCTAGAACTTTTCCGTGAGTTTGTATGAACAAAATAATTTTCATAAATATTTTAAGCCACTTTGATTTTTTTTTAACTAAACGGTCCTTTGTGGTGATACATTGTTTATGATTTATTAAAGCTTCCCTGAGGATTCAAAAAGAAAAGTCAGCCACAAGCCATAGAAGCCAGGCAAACGCCTGTAATCACAGCAGCCAGAAGCTAGGAGGTGGTGGTACATACCTTTAATCCTAGGACTCAAGATTAAGAGGTAGACAGATCTCTCTGAGTTCAAGGCCACCCAGGGATACACAAGATTGAATCAGTCTAAAAGAATAACAGATCACATGCCTTTAATCCCAGCAGTAGAGGGATATAAAAGATAGAATCAGGGTCTTAAGTATTCAGTAGGAAGCATTCATTCTCCAGCTACAATGAGGAGAGGTTATAGTCTGAGGCCTGGTGAGAGCTTGTGAAGACAGGATCAGTCCATTCAGCATGAGGTAGAGAGTAAGAAGCTAGTGGCCAACTACTTTAAGCTTTAAGTTTGAACCCCAATATCAGCCTTTGGATCTTTTATTAATTCATGTTACAGTCCTTTTTACTAATGTTATACAAACAATGAAAAGCAAGTCCCTGGTGTCTTAGTTCAAAAGTAAATGGGTCAACATAATGTAATGTGTAGTCTCTGTCTTCTTTACCATTAAAGTATTTATAGAGGAAAGCCTGCTCCATTTACTTATTTGACAAAGTTATTAAGTTTTTAACGTTCAAAAATATAGCATTTTTTGATGATGAGATGAAAAATTCATTTGGTAAAATTCAAAATATCTTCATTATATAAAAAAATCTTAAAAAATAAAGTATGGTAAGAATTTACTCAACATATTAAAGACTATTATAAGCCTACAGCCAGCATCATCTCAAATGGGGGAAGGTTAAAAGTGTTTCCTCTGATACATGAGCAGGGGTGGGGAGGTCAAGATCATGATAGGGAAACCCACAGAGACAGCTGACCTGAGCTCATGGACTCTGGGCCAATAGCTGGGGAGCCTGAATGGGACCAGACTAGTCCCTCTGTGTGTTGTTGGCAGTTGTGTGGCTTGATCTGTTTGTGGGGCCTCTGGCAGTAGGACCAGAATCTATCCCTGGTGCATGAACTGGCTTTTGGAGCCTATTCCCTATGGTGGGAAGCCAAGCTTTGCCTTGAAGCAGAGGGAGGGGCTTGGTCTTGCCAGGCTTTATTGACTTCTCATGGGAGACCTTACCTTTTCTGAGGAGTTTTTGGGGGGTGGGGTGGGAGGAAGAGAGGGAGGAGCAGGAGGAGGACAGGGAAGGGGTATTGTGGTTGGTATATAAAATGAATTAAAAAATTAAAATAAAAAAGAAAGTGTTTTCCTCTAACAAGGGTGTTCATATTTTACCATATTTATTTAATGCAGTAGTGGAAGTCTTAGCCAGGCAATTAAGTAAGAGAAATAAATTAAAGTCACCAAAACAGTAAAGGAGGAAGTCAGATGATTTCAGTTTGCAGGAAATAACGGATAAATTCAGTGAACTTCACCAATTAACCTACATAAATGAATATATTTTTAATATACTAAAACCACACTTTGTTTGGAAACACATTTTGAAACAGAAATCAAAAAAACAATCCCACCAACAATAGCAATAGCTACAAAAATTCCTGGGGGTAATATTAATCAAATAAGGGATTTCTATAATAAAATTATGAAATTCTGGAGAAATTAATAGAATGCTAAAATATGGGGCTTGCTGGTCATCAGTCTCCTTCCAGGTTCAATGAGAGACCCTGTCTCAAAGGAGTAAGGTGGAGAATGATAGGGAAAGACACTGAGCACCCTCCACTGAACTAAATGCGCACATACAGGTATGTGTTCCAATGTATGTTTGTATACACACACACACACACACACACACACACACACAATCTGACCACAAAATCAGAATCTCTGGTCTTTCCTTATATTGTTATTCTGTGGTATCTAATTAGGATAACCCTGGAATAACAACATGCACAGATTAATGGAACACAATATAGAATCTGAATATATATGATGTTGGGTTTTGATCAGTTACCAGATATTAAAAACATATTGAATTTTAAAAGTCCCTTCAACAAATGTTGCTGAGAAAATTGGATACCTAAACACAGAAAGAGATCAGATGCCAATTTTTCAGCATATGAGAGAATCAAACACTTAAAACTAATAAAAGAAAAATGGGCCAATGCTTTAAGGTATCAGGATAAGCAATGATTTTTTATGCTAAGATCCCCACAGCACAACAACACAAGCAAAATCAGCCCAATAGAATCAAATCAAGCCAAAAATCATCTGCAAGCAGGAGTAATGATCAACACAGCAAAGCTTACTTGTGAAATGAGAGAAAATATTTGTAAAGCAGTTGTCCAAAAGAAGTGTTTTCAAACACATACAGACAGCTTACCTGAACAAGGAGGAGCTAATGGCCACTAGACTGATAGCTGGGAAGCCAGCATGGGACTGACTCAGGCCCCCCTGAATATGGGTCTCAGCCAGAAGGACTGAGCAGTTTAAGGGACCTCAGACAGTGGAGCCAGGATGTATCCCTGGTGCACAAAAGGACTTTGTGAACACATCCCCCACGGAGGGATAACTGCCTTAATCTAGAGACAGGAGAGCCCTAGTCCCTACTTCACATGACCTGTCAGATCTACATGACCTCAACTGGATGGCATTCCCCTACATATGAAATTGGGGTGGGGGGATGGGAGGGGAGAGTGTTTAGAGTGCATGTGAGAGGGCAGAGAGGGTAAAAGGGAGGGAAGGAGGGAGGGAGGAAGGGAGAGAAGGAAGGAGGGAGGAAGGGAGAGGGAACTGGGATCGACATGTAAAATAATAAATTAAAAAAAAAAAATGCTTTGACTCCAAAATTTAAGTTCAAGGACAAGTTACTGGGGAAAAGGATTTCTATTTTTGTTTCCACAGAAAATGAAAAGATGTGGATTCCTTCCAGACTAATGTGGTTTGATCAAGCCAAACCGCCTGAAACAGAGTACGAGGTGATCCTACATTCAAAACAGCTAGACAAAGCAGCCTTACAGACTACAGCCAGGATTTCTGAATCTTCTTCGAATCCCCCATGACAGCACCCCTTACCAGCAGGAAGTAGTTTGGAAAGAACAACGCCCAAATTCCCAAATATTGTCTATAAATGTTTGTTTTCATTTAAATGGACTTTGTTATATAAAATAAATTAAAAAAAGTGTTTTCAGAATATGAGGCAATGGAAACTTCTCAATAGTGAGAAAAACAAGTGTAATGCAATTTCAAAATGGCAAATTATATAAATAGGTATTTCTCAAAAGACATACAAAGGACCATTAGGTAAAAATTATTCAACATCACTACAGGAGCTACAAATCAACATCACAAGGATATATTATCACACACTATGACATGACTATTAGCATAAACACAAACATAACAAATGCTGCTGATTGTGGAGAGAAAGGGTTCTCACATACTACCAGTGGGAATCTTAATTAGTACATCCATTATGTAAAACAGCACAGAAGTTCCTCAGAAGAACAAAGATAGAAACAGCAACCCCATGACTGGGCATCTACCCAATAGATGTTGTTTACCGTAACACCATTCCCAGTAGCCAAAGCACAGATTTGATGTATAAGACTGTGCCATTTGCTTATCTTGGCATGCATACCTGGAGGAAATAATGTTAAGCAAAATAACCCCCCACACAAGAATATATATATTCCCATTGCATGTGTGGAAGCTTATAAAAAGCTGATTTCTTAGAAATAAAGAATAGTATACAGTAACTATAGGCTAGGAAATGTAGGAAATAAAGGGAAAAATAAACTTAGCTAGAGGGACTATGACCCACAAGCATGGTAGGGTGGCTACAATTTACAATACTCTATTAATGCATCTGCTAAGGGACTAAAAGAGAGGAATTCAAAGTTTCTCAAAGAAGTGACAAATTTTTAAGCAAATGCAAATAGTAATTAACCTGTTTTAATCAACTACTCATCATATGTGTATATAAAAATTGTATACCAGTTTCCATAAATATGCAGTCATTATATCATTAAAATTAAAAATAGTCATGGACATAATTTATCCTCTCCCACCCAGGATCTACAGACATTACCATGTATTCATTCAGATGGGATTTCTTTGCGGAAAATTATTTCATTCCATCGGTAAATATAGCAAACAATGATATTATAATGCAATAAGAATGAGGAATTGTGGTGGCTAATCTTCATTTTCCATTTAATTGCCTTGAGATTTGCCTAGGTACTCAGTAAAACACATTTCTGAGTGTGTCCCTGAGGGTTTTTCCAGAGAGGAATTACTAAGGAAAGGGAACAACATTGACTGTGGGTAGCAACGCCCAGTAACCCAGGCACGGAGGGAATAAAGGTGAAGAGGGTAGATCCCACCAGCAAAGACATCCAGGCTCTGTTTCCTGATATCTCGGAGATAGGAGGCTTTGTTCTGTCATACCTTCACACAAACACTTTCTGACTCACCTCAACTCAAAGTGACATGGCTATGGAATTGTGGACTGAAGTTTAAATGAACCTTTGTTCCTTTAACTTGTCCCTCTCAGTTATTTGTCACTGGAACAGGAAGACTTAATCCTTTGCAAACTAGGGGTTCTAAACAACTTGTGCAGCTGTACTCACCTGCAGGAAAAAGTTCCAGGGCTTGGGCACACCATACTTTCCTGGAAAGACAGCATCTATATACCAGGCCACAAGGCCATAGAGAAAAGCACTAAATAAAAACATTCCTATTATATGAGCCAAAGTTAAGTCATCATCGACACTTATTTTTGTAGCAAAGTTGTACCACTGAGCACCATGCCCTGAAAAAAAAAATGGAAGACAGTTACTTCAGATGTCTAACAATGGCTGAAGCAAACATGTATGAGGCACATAGGCACACAAGGAAAACCAGAAATGTTAAACATTCTGTCTTGACTCTTCAAAGGAACAGACATATAACCTGTTTTACTCCCAGAATGCTGGGAATGGATATGGTTAATAGTATGGTCCTTTGTATGCTATCTCTATGGCCAGGCCAGTGTCACCCTCAGACCATTATTTTGAGCCTGTTTATATCAATCAACCTATGGCACTACCCTCCCAGAGACCCTTATGAGCAATGTTTATCTTGAGCCTGCATTCTCAGTTAATCTACAGGACCTATCTTGGGATATGAAAGATGTCACTTGTACTTTTGATGTAGTCATATCTTACCCATTTTTTGTGAACATGGAATTGAGTTAACTATCATCAGGAAATTTTATTCCAAATTTACTATGCTTAAATATGCCTAAAATAAACTAGCCAGGGTCAGACTTTTCAAATTTGAACCAACACTCGCTACTGAGTCATATTGAACCAGACTCCCAACTTGCCTCTGACATATATCAATACTCTGCTAGCCATGGTATTTGTAGAGACCCCCACTATATACAGTTACTTTGAAATTAAATAAGGAAGAAATGTCATTTATATTCTGGAGATACATGCTGTCTATTTGTTATTTGGTGGTGCCCTTACTTTTAGGTAGCTCAGGATGAATAGGAAATGAAAAATCATAGAATCATTAAAGCAAATACCTGTGTTGTAAGGGAGCAGTACCCCAATTCTCTAAGACAAATCTTCATGACAACAAACAAGAATACATATACACTTATATTCATCAATAAGAAGAAATAAGGTTCAACTTCTGTTTTCCAGGCTAGCATGTTGGGGATTGGAAGTTACTACTGGGTAAAAGTAAAAGCTGTATTGATGAACACAAGAAAAATGAAAATAGGAAACAGTAGACCCCTTAAAATGAACAACTAGTAACAGGTTCCAAAGATATCAAAGTGTGATATGCCAGATAAAGAATTCAACAGAATGATTTTAAAAGAGGCTAATAAATACAGATAAACAGTTAAATGAATAAAGGAAGATAAGTGTACAAATGAGAAATTTAGTAAATACTCAGATTTTGAAAAAGAATCAAAGAGAAATCTCTAAAATTAGAAGCTCTGTAAACCAAATGTAAAAGCCTCAACAGAGAAATAAATTAAAGGAAAGAGTACCAGACCTTGAAATATTATGTTCTAGAAAAATAAAAGAAGAAACAATGAAAACAAAACACAAGATCTCTGAGTCATCATCAAATGATCAAATATCTGTTTAATCAGCATTTACAAGGGAGAGGATACACAAAACCTAGTCAATGAAATAATACCCCCAAAGCATCCAAATGTTGGTTAAAACATGGACACTGAGGTACAGAAAGCACTTGGAACATCAAAAATAAATTACCTTACCCCAGAATAACCTCTCTGAAATGTTTTATATTTAAATCTTTAAAAATCCAGAAGAAAGAAAGAATACAGGAGAGAAGCACCAAGTAACACACAGAGATAAACTGACTAGAGTAGAAGTGATTTCTTGTAGGAAACACTGGAAGATGGGAGGGAATGAGGAATGAAGGAAATACATAAGAACTAGCAGCAATCTCACTCAGAGGTATGCATACACAATGAAATCAATGTAATGGCTGCACACCCATGTTTGTAGATGAGCTATCCACAATATATAAAATATGAAATAAGTTTAGATATCTGTCACAAGACAAAGGAATAAAGAACACATGGTATACATAAACAGATTATTATTTATAAATAATAAATGAAATTTTCATTTGCACTAAATTGGGAAGAGCGAGAAGTTGTCTTGTTAAGTAAAATAAGCTAGACACAAATGTGAAAGTATTATATTTTGTGATATGATGGAATAATTTTTAAAAAGATAACCAGTAAAAAGAGTTACTAGGTAGCAAGAACTATGCAATAAGAAGAATTGAGATAGGATAGGAAATCAATGCCCATCAAATCATGATACATGAAAGTATAGAAATACCACAATCCTATTGATTTATATAATTAATATATATTAGAAATTAAAACAAAAACAGAAAAGTTGAACAGATCTGCAAATAGATGGTATGGTAGTCTGAATGAGAATGGCCCCAGGGACTCATATGTCTGAATGCTTGGTTCCCATTTGGTGAAATTGATTGGGGAGGGTTAGGGGATGTGGCCTTGCTGGAGGAAGTGTGTCACAGGGCTGGGCCTTGAGGCTTACAAGGCCTCTCATCATCCTCAGTGTGCTCTCTGCCCTCTGCTTGCAGTTTTATGGTGTGAGCTTTCAGATGATACTACCATCATGCTTTTGCTAGGCCAACAAGGGCCCTAAATTAAATGATATCTTTTGTAAGTAATCTTGGCCGTGATGATTTATCACAGCAATGGAAGCATAACTAAGAGAGTTTGTATCTGTAAAGAGCAAGAACAACAAAAAGTTTAACAAAGAAACATCTAAGACTGCATGTATATGTAAATATACATTACCATATATGTATACCATATACATATACCAAATATGTAAATATTTGATATATCTTACCAAATATTTAAAGGCTAATTAACACCAGTCTTTCCTAGACTCAAAAAAAAAAAAAAAAGAAAACAGATAAAGAATGAAATAATTCCTGTGTCAATATTATATGGTCAGTATTATGCTAATATACAAAAGTAAACAAAGATACCACAACAAGAATCACAGAAACTTCTCCAGTTATAAGATGCAAGATTAGAACACACAGCCAATCGTACTGACAATAACAAGGAATGAAAACACAATGCTGCTTACCATCATTCTACATAAAGCTAAACTCTTATGCATATTATTTTATACACTACGATCCTACTTGAATTTTTCTCAGCTGTAAAAATTCATCTATAGAAAAGCTAAAATCATGTCAGTGGAGAAAAACTGTGTGACAGGCTTCAGTTGCCTGGGGTGACAAAAATTATCCCTTAGAAGAGACATAGGTAAGAAGACATGGGCATACATATGCATGCAAATATAAATACCTAATATATTCCTTGTAATACTGCTTATATAATTTTTAATTCTCATGTACATGTAAATATGTGTCCCCAGTATCTTCATATATAACACACACAATGTTTTATGATAAAGCCCATTTGTGGGAACACTTGAACACCCCCAATCCTGTATGTTCTGTCCTTTCCTTCTGGGTTACAAATTAATGAAGTTGCTGTCACAAAGGGAAGATTCACCTTTCATTTCCATCTTGCATATCAAGTCAGCCCCAAAAGCTAGTGCTGTGTTTGTGATGAGACTGAGAGCCAGCTTCCCACCGAGACTTATCTGACTGTACATCGAAAATATGATTAGGTAAGGAAAAAACGTGAGAACGTGGAGGAAACCTGCAATAGAAGTGGCCAGAGAAGCTGGAAAGGAAGAAGGAAAAGACAGTCAGTTGACATAAGCTGCAGCAGCTGGGATCAAAGCTTTCCAAAGAGGAGGACTCTTTTGCCTACCCCTCAAATTACTGGCATCTTGCATTGTGCCTAGTGCACAGAAGGTGCCCCATAGAGATTTTTACTTAAATGAATAGTATGAGAAGACCTTTTCCTGAAACTGATCCAGTGGCATCTAAAATTAAGGGAGCTTCCATACAAGATTCCCTCTCAGTCAACTCACCGGATGCTTCACAGAAACTGCCTTCGACTCACCTTTATCAAAGAGTGTGCTGATCATGAAGCCAAGTAACACCGAGGAGATGGCAAAACACAGGAAATAGAAGGCAATGAATAGTGGGTCACTGTGTTGAAAGACTCTCTCATGTGTAATCTGATAAAATAATTAGGGAGCTAGTTTAATCACATGTGAAGTATGAGGGAAAGGGGCATGGAAGTAAAGGAAAATACTGAACACTGGCCCCAGTGAAGTGAGTCATTGATGTGATTGCCTGCCTACAGAAGGGCAATTCACCTAGGTCTCTTTTTCACCTTATAATCAACTATACCTTTTCAATTTCCACAGTGAAGTCAGTGCAAGACACACTTCCTCTTCTTCTGAAAGCTAACACACTTTGCCCATATCTCAACTTCTCATCCCTCTTTAAGCTGTGGTATGCTGCATGTAAATGGATACTTGCCTTGAGAAACAAAATCCCACACAGCAAACAGATGATAATGAAATACATCAATAAGAAGGTGACGAAATATGAAATCCAGAGCATAGCATTACTGAGTCCCACCAGGAGCTGGTATTCCTGAAGGAAAATCAACATAAGCCAAGTGTCATGAGAAACACATTTCAAAATGCCTTTACACATCTTACCCTACAAGGCTTGAATATTACATCCTTATTTACAGACAAATAAACCATGCCTCACAATAGTCAAATGACCTAATGAGTAGTGTAATTTCTACTCAGAATTCTGGGTGCAGAATTTATTTTTTTTCTTCTAAGACTTAGCAAGTTATAGTCCTATGAAACACCTTTAAAAATAAATATTAAAAAGATAAGATTAAGCTGGGCATAGTGGCACACACCTTTGTTCTCAGCACTTGAAAGGCAGATGCAAGTTTGAGCCAGCCTTGTCTACACAGGGAGTTCCAGGACAGCCAGGGCTACACTAACTCAACTTAGCACAGTCTTCCCTGCCTTTTCCATGGGCTTTCAGAATTACCTTAAAATTACCTTCTTATCTTTAACATTACCTTAATGGCCAAGATTTATCAACAGATAATGAGCCATGGACCAATCCATCTCATATGTCTCTTCTGTGTATCCTGAGACCTAAGAATGTTTTTTGCATTTTAAGTGATTAAAAAGAAACAGAAAAGAACGTGTAATGGTGATATGTACAAACCCTACAGTACTTATTCTCTTATGCTTTCCCTTCAAGTCAGCCAGTCCTCCACACCTCTCTCCACAATAATGATAGGTATACTACTTGGCTGGTTTCAAACCCCTTCCTCTGGTAGTGTCTACCTATTGAACCATATTATTTTCCACTGCTCAGAACAAACAAAACCATCTCTCTGAACTTCAAAAATGATTTTCCCCCTGGATATTGTGAATAAAGCAGCAATGAAAATGGATAAGCTAGTATCTCTGTAGTTGGATATAGAGTTCTTTGAGTGGTATAGTGAGCTCTTGTGATAGATCTGAATTTTGAGGAACCTCACACTGACTTCCATAAGGGTAATACCAGTTTGCATTCCCACCAGTAATGAGTAAGTGTTCTCCTAACTAGGGTAAGATGAATTCTCAAAGTAGTCAATTCTCAAAGTAGTCCCAACTAAATTTCCCTGGTATTTCAGGATATTAAACATTTTTTTAAATGTCAATCATTTGCATTTCATCTTTTGGGAATTCTATTTAGTTTCCTGCTCTGTTTTTTTTTTTTTAAGTCAGGCTGTTTCCTTGATTTTAATTTTTTGAGTTCTTTATACATTCTAGATACTAACCCTCCCTCTCTAATGCCCAGCTGGTAACGAGACTTTGAACAATGTGTAAGCAAAGATTTTGTCTCCTCTTTTTTAAACTACCAGTTGTAGGATGATTATAGACATTCTAGATACTTTAAAAATAATATATCATTCAAGTACTCCAATAACTACAAAAGCAACTGTTATAGTCTTCAATTTATATGTAGTGGAACAGAGGATGATCACAGAGTTTGTCAATGATAAAGCCAGACTTTAAACATGAAAGCCATCAGAGTCCTTGGATCAAAGGAGATAATTAGTAAACAAGCATTAGACAAATTAATGAACAGGTAAATGCTTTAACAGCTTTCGACCTTGTAGCCACAACTGTTGATAACACAGTCTAGATTTATTTCATACTGAAAATCATCTCAAAGAAGATCACAGGCTATATCAATTAAAGTATATTTTAAGTTATCTAATTCAAGGTTATTTCTTTGTTGCTTATTTAATTCCATGAACAATTTTGTGACATTAATATTGACTTCTTTCCTTAATATTATCTTTCATTTAGTCAAATCAATATTTTATTTTTAAAAAACAAAAACTCTGAAAATTGATCAACGGCATCATGAACACTCCAGCCAGTTCATGTTTCCATGTTATTTCCATAGGGTATTCATTAGCACTGACAGTGTGCATAAAACACCCAGCCCTCTGCACATACTGGGCCACAGTATTACAAAGAAAATGAAAGTACCTTTAATCTCTTTTCCTTTTCCAACATAATGGTCCCAATAATGACAAGTGTCATTTGAGTAAATGTAAATAAAATTGTCCAAGGAAACATAGGCATGAAAGTCCACAAGAAAGTGTCAAGAGCGAAAGCAGGGTATGGGAATCTCTTCGCATAAATGGTGGCATTAGCAAACATGTCTTCAGCTGCTCTGCCACTATGATACACCATGATGGCTTTATCTAAAGAATGCTGCACAATAAGAAATCCTTCTCTGATATATCCTAAACAAACAAACAAACAAAAAACAAAGACTGTCAAGTTCAGCATATTAACATATGGCCAGGGAGTTGACAGTAGCAATTCAGATAATGAAAAACTTTTAACAAAGCAATTTCACAAATACCCATTGTGATTTTTAGACACATATAATGACTACCATGAAATATTACTGCTGTTCTCAAAAGTAAAACACTGCCTGGAAATCATGCCATAACCTTATGTAGTATTTTCATCAGCCAAACTAAATAATTTTAAAATATTAAACAAAACTCTTGTTTTTATGTCTGCATCTGTAGTGATGCATTAATTATGATTTATTTAAGCTTGCCTGAGGATTCAGAAAGCAAAGCCAGCCACAAGCCATAGAGGTCAGACAAAGGTGATCCATACCTTTAATCCCAGCAGCCATACTAGCAAGCCATATAGCCAGGCAGAGGTGGTACGCACCTTCAATCCAAGAACTCATGAGAGGTATTTAAGACGGGAACAGGGTCTCAGAGCTGGCATTCATTTTTAAGCCATACTGAGGATAGGAAGGCATTCTGAGATTGATTCTCCAGCCATATTGAGGAGAGGAGCAGTCTGGGATTGCAGTTTGAGGTTTGGTGGCACTAGAATTGCCATTTTAGTTTGAGGTAGAGGTAAAAACTAGTGGCAGGCTGCTTTGCCACTCTGATCTTCAGCTTGAAGCTTGAACCCCAATATCAGTCTCTGAGTCTTTTATTTTTCATCGTTACCTGTGTCCTTCCAAAAATTCCTATGCAGATATCTAACACTTGGTATATTTTTAAGAAGTACAGCCCATCAGAAGTGACTGAATCATAAGCATTCCACCCTTGTGTGCATGGAATGCTCTTAAATGGGAAGGTAGTAACCTAATCCTTTTTGCCTTCTTTCTCTACTATGTGATGAAATAACCAGCCTCCTCTCCAAGGGATGGAGCAAAAAGCTACCACTTGGGAAGCACACAGCGATCCCTCACCAGAGATCTAGTCTGTTGGTGCTAAAAGCTTAAACTTCCTAGCTTCCAAAATTGTGAGAAACAACTTTCTATTAGAAGAATCACAGCATTTTGCTGTCCTACCTTGGAATTGACTAAGATAGTTCTACACACTGAGATATGACATAGGAAGGAAGCACTAAGCAAGAAAAGTAAAGTCAACACAAATCAACATCCAATGAGATGAAGAACTTACATATCTAGCACTAACGAACACTGGGAAGATAAAGGCAACACATGTAAGTAGAAGGTTATCTCCTATGTTGGGGTTTTGGAGAATGAATACCATTTAAAAGTCTTGCCTAAAGAGACCTAATAACTCAATGACACAATAAATAACCAAAACAACCTACAGAAAGAAGACCAAAGCTGGAGTCTTTACATGCATTGATTTTAAAACTTATAAAGATATTGTAACCAAAAAGTGTGTATCACAGACTACATGAAGAGACGGATAGACAATAATGTACCATAGTTAACAACACTGTAGTGAACTCTTTAAAACATCGTTAATAGTAAACATCATGCTTGACATTCACCTGTAAAATTCATAGAGCAAGACTGGATATGGTGATACACTGGATATGGTAATTCCAGCACTTGGGAAGCTGAGGCAAGTGGATCTCTGTGAGTTCAAGGCTAGTTTGGTCTACATAGCAAGTTCTAGGCTTGTCAGAAACTTAAAACAACAACAACAACAAAAAAAAACTAACAAAACTTCATGTAGACAATTCTGCTCTGCTTCTCTGATACACTACCATTCTCAGCATCTCTAAATGGCAGCTGCTGTTTGGATATGGTCTGCTGCCTCACGATCTTCATCTGCTGAAAACTGGGGCCCCAGTGTGGTTTTGTAGGTGGGAGCCATGTAGCAGATGATTGGATCATGACTGACATTGGGACAGATATTGTTCGTTTCATGGAGTGGGCAGGTCTAGTGGGTGCGAATCAGTTCCTGTAAGCCTCAATTATAAAATGAGTAAGCCTGGCTCCTCACTGCTCTTTGGCCCCTTGTTCATATGCATGCCTCTTCAGCATTCAAACAGTCCCTTTCTGCTTCTCCACTATATTTCTGTGCAGCTGGGAGAAGAGGAAACAGGAAGGAATGTTGTGGCCATGCTGCTTAAATAACCAGCAGTCTTGCAAGCCAGGTAAACATTGCTCAGGCTCAGGTAGTCACAGGCACAAAACAGGTTAACATCAAAGTCCTAATAACTGGTGTAATAGAACTTTGGTGCTGTCATGAAGCTTATGATGCTTCTCCTAATCTTTGTCAGATTAAAAATATGGCCCAAAGTGTTTAACACATATAAAAGAATCTAAGCAAAAACAAACAAACAGGCCAGATGACTCCTACTTGGCCACTTAAAAAAAAGCAATTTCAAATTTCATACCAATTTAAAAATATTAACTTACTACACATGTCCATTTGCATTTACAATTTGTTGGTGTTTCTTTTTTTCTTTTTTTTCTTGCCTTAAAAGCTTTTAATTTTTTTAAGGGGATAAAATAAACTCTTTTTAAAAAGTACCTTTTCAAACTGCGGTGGTGGCACATACCTGTAACCCTAACACTTGAGAGGGTCAGGAAGGAAGATCATCCCAAATTTGAGGACATCTGTGCTTAAGGCTAGCCTGGGCTACATAGTCAAATACTACCTAAACAATGATAAATAGTCCATCTAACTATTTTTATTATACCATGTCTACATTTTTGGTGAAAATGCTTTTAATCCACGAATATCATGCCATTTTCTATTATGTTCTTCTTCCCAAATAATATCTTTAGGATGCAGTATATTAATTTTAAAAGAGATTAGACTCATTTTAAACTTATACCTAGAAAAATATTTTGTTTTTGATAAAATAAGATACCATACATTCTTTCAACTCTAAAGTGACAACTGTTTAAATTTTTGTAGACATGTAAATATAGTTTTAATTCTATATACACAGATCATTATTTGCCAGTTTGTGATTGTTTTAATAGCCACATCAACTTGTCAAGCTGATACATTATTTTCAGGGATGGGGTGGGGTGGCCAGGACGATGTGCATGTGCACGAGTGCATCCGTGCATGAGTTTTGCAGAAGTCAGAGGCTGACTTGAACAGGAATCCTCCTCCTTCTCCACCTCACTTATTTTGATAAAGGGTCTCTCAATCAATTTGCAGCTCCTGCCTTTGGTTAGAACTGCTGACCAGCAAGCCTCAGTGGCATCCCTATCTCCACATATCCAGTACTGGGGTCATGGGTACACCGTACCAGCTTTTCCACAGGCGATGGGATCAGACTTGGAGACTCATACTTGTGCACCAAAACCACAACTTTACCTACTAAGAAAATCTCCCCAGCTCAGGCTGATACATTCTGAACAATGTTCTTGTTGAGATGAATTTCACTCTAACCTTTTACTTATAATAGTAAAATCACATAGTTTTTGTCTCCTGCTGAATAATTTCCATCATTCTCAGGACCTGATATTTAATACACAGCTCCTAATGGTATTACTTTTTTCTTCCTTCAAGGTAATTTATATTACTAAAAAATAAATTTATCATCATGACAAGATTTTTAAAAAAGCTATTCATAAACTTAAACATACAACACATGCACATTTATGAAATATACATATATATTCCATACACATATACACATGTGTGTATACAGACATGTATATAGACAATGTGTCTATATATACATATACAGAAATGTCTATATATACATCTATACATATATATTGAGTCAAGAGAAGCAAAAGTTATCAACTAAAACTATATAAATGCACAGATACAAGAAAATTAATTCAAGAAATAAAGAAAATAGTAACAGATTTCTGATGTATCAAATTTTATGTTTGTTAAGAAAAATTAAATTTAAACCATAATGAATGAATAAATCAACTTGCTCATGCCGTGGGGGGAAAAAGGAAGCCATGCCTAACGACTGCCATACACAGTAAAAATAATAATGTAAGTTAAGGATCTGCTAACCAGGGTGTCCCCCATTGCTTTCCATAGTGTTCCGGGGTCCTAGAGAAGGCACAGGTGGGAAGAGAACCGATGTGTTCCAGTCCTTTCTGTCCTGGCCCCTGGATGGCTCTAAGGGATTATTAGCATTATAGAGACGACCGAAGCGCAAATTATATTTTACCTAGAATGAGAGCCAAAGACAAACATGTTAAACCAGTGAAGCCTTCAAAAACAAAGATTAACCCTGATACAAAAGATTTGTTTTCTATTTAAATATTTTTGTTTTGGGAACAAAAGAATGACAGAATCATTATGACACGAATAACTAATATGCCACATAAGCTATAACCACAGTTGAAATGTGAAGTTATCTGAATTCCATAAATCCTCTCTCTTTCATCTTCATGACATTTTGCTTTTGAGTTGCAAAGATGCAAAAAGGTATATAATAGTCATCAATATAACTGTACTTTACTAATCGCACCACTGTTCTGCCTATGAATGAGCATAAAACATATCTACTAGAGAGCCTGGGAAGATGGCTCAGAGGTTAAGAAAATTTGTTGCTCTTGTAGAGGACCTGGGTTCAGTTCTCAGTACCCACAGGGAGGCTCACAACCATCCATAACTCTAATTCCAGGGGTCTGATGTTACAGATGTGTTTGCATTACGTATCTACATTGGATTCAGTCTGAGACCCGTCTGTTCACCAAATGCTATCTTGAAGAATAGTGGTTTTTAAATGTCATTAAGCCAGATTTCTTTATTTTTTTTATTTTTGTTGTTCTGTCAATGCAATCTCAAGTTAATGCCCCCCCCTGTGTGTGTGTGTGTGTGTGTGAGAGAGAGAGAGAGAGAGAGAGAGAGGGAGAGAGAGAGAGAGAGAGAGAGAGAGAGAGATCTGTAACTCTTCTGACCTTTTGGGGTAATAGGTTCACATGCTGTGCATATATATACATGCAGGCAAAACATTCATATACATAAAAGGAATTAAATAAATATAAAATACATTTTAAAATCTACTAGAGATGCTGGGGAGATATTTTAGTCTGTAAAGTATTTGTTCACAAGCATGAGGACATGAATTCATATCTCTAGAATCTATAAAAAGCTAGGCATGGTGGCATGTGCCTGTGATCACAGTACTGGGACTATTGAGACAAGAAGATCCCTATGGCTTGCAACCCAGTACACCTGAATTAGCAAGTTTCTGGGTTCAGTGAGAGACCCTGCCTCAAAATTTGAGGTACAGAAGCAATTGAGGAAGACACTTAACGTCAGCCCTTCACCTCTGTAAGCATGCACACATGTATGCATGAGCACACATGAGCATGTACATATAAACAGCTCCATACTACACCCCCCCACACACACACACACATTTAAAAAACTCTCAAAGCTAAAAACATAATGATCAGGTGTTTAGATTTCTCACCTGAAGTGGCAAGCGTTCGTTGTTGGTTTTGAACATGTGATCAAACACAATAGCAGCCAGAACATATGAAGACTTGTTTTCATACTTAATGTATTTCTCAAAAGATTCTTCAGAAGAAAAGCCTCGAACTGTAGAGAGAAAAGTCCAAGTTGCCCACATAAACATGAAAGGTCTAATGCTCATTCCTCTTGGCTCCATGAAACAACCCTGTCACAACAGTGAAAATTCCAAACAGTGCCATTTAATCAATGACACTCAGACTATCTAATATATACCTGGAGTGTGAAAAACAAATGAAAAATAAATATATAGACTAAAATTAAATTACCAATATATCATACATAAGTGTATAAAGCAACACACACAAAGACCTTCTTTCATAAGATAATGTATTCATGATTTTGGAGGAAACGTAAGTTTTAAGTAATAGTTTATTAGTAAAAAAAAGGGTAGTGATTATAATTAAGTGATAGAACACTTGCCTAGTATACAATGCAAGGTCCTAGGTTCAATCTCCAGTTCACACACACACACACACACACACACACACACACACACACACACACACATGGGGGGGGGAGCATTGACTGGAGATTGCATTGACAGAACAACAAAAATAAAAAAAAAAAGAAATCGAGCTTAATGACATTTAAAAATCACTATTCTTCAAGATAGCATTTGGTGAACAGACGGGTCACAGACTGAATCCAGTGTAGATACATAATGCATATAACCAACAAACATCTGTAACGGCTGTAAGTGAAAGAGAGAACAAGTCAACCCAACAGAAAATGGACAAAATATGTCAACAGGCTTGCTGTAGCAAACAAGTACCCTCACAGCCAATAATCATAAGGAAAGTGAGTTCAGTAAGAGTAGATTGGGGTTCTGCTCAGCTGTGGGGTGCTCACCTCACACGAGAAAGCCCTGAATATGACTTCCAGAGATAACAACAACAAAACATTAACCAGAGGAAAGCAAATCAAGGCCAAGAGGATCCCACCACATACTCCTCAAAACAGCTAGAGTTCTGTAAAATTATATCAATATTTTACTCATCATCTTAAATATTCATTACAATTTTGTTTTTTATATAAGGAAAAACTTGCACCCTTTGTTTAAACTTTTAAGTGACTGCTGTTTTCCTCTGTGACTGCCTTTTATTAGAGTCCAGTGACTTGCCCCTCAGGTATACCCTGCTGACACACATGGTAATTTGTTTACTGAGAAACTACCACTATTTTCCAAAGTAGAGCTACATTTTCCTTCCCACTGGTGTGGCAAGGTCCCAGTTGCTCCATACACTAATCAACCTCACTATTATCTTTTTGTTCTAGTTATGAACGGCATCTCATTGTATCTTCCATTACATTTTCCTGGTGATGAACAATGTCGAACATCCTCCCCTGTGCTCCTTTGTCATTCAGATCTCATCTTCAGTCTTCAGCAAAATTTCTACTCAGACCCTCTGTTGTTTTATAAATCGGATATTTGTCTTTGCATGATTAAGTCATTAAAAATGCTTTATAATTCTGTTACAAGCCCACTTCATATTGATAGCCTGCAAATATTTTGTCTCAACCTTTAGGCTGTCTTTCAATTTCTTGATAGCTTCTTTTGAAAAATATTTCCAATTTTGTTGAAAGCAAAGTATTTTTATTAGGTTTTCATTTTTCCTTTGTTTTATTTGGGGGCGGTCATACCTAAAAATCCTTTTCCATATCCAAACTCATGAAGACAATTCTTTTTTTCTTCTAAAGTATTTATAGTTTGGCTCTCATATTTAGTTTATTGGCCCAATTTGAATTATTTTTACATAAGATTCAAGCAAACAAGTAATGAGTCAACAACATTCCATTGTATGTGGAACATTCTGTTTCCAAATAGCTCAAGATTATTTTTCTCCATGGTTCCATTTCAAAATAATATCAAAACATTAATTTACTATGCTAGTATCTATTTGTAGAATCTCAATTCTATAACATTGATATATACATCTACATTTGTACCGAGAAAGAGAGAGTGTGTGTGTGTATGTGTGTGTTCAACTTCAATATTTCTCGATATTATTTTAGCTTACAGTGAGTCACATTTTTGCACGAATTTCAGAATTCATTAATCAATTTCCACAAAGAAGCTCAAAAATCTGTGTGGGAAATGTTCCTGTTACTAGGCATTCAGACAGATCCAGGCTTCATTCATCCACTGCTCTGGGAAGGCTCTGGACTTCCCTGGCCCATGGGTGTGGGGCCCTGAAGCCAAGTTGCAGGGCTGCTTCAGATTCCATAGCAAAGACTGAGGTCTGCAGACTCCCACTGGCATCTTTTCCCTGTGTGTTCCTTTGTGCCAACGGGGCTGATCTCAGTCTACTGCAAAGGCAAACCTTACATCGGTTTCAGAGTCTGGTGTAACTATAGAGCAAGTGTACCTCAGGGACGCAGACAGTACCTTCCTGGGTCCACATATGAGACTGCTCTCAGTTGACAGCTGTGATGAGTCAAACAGAGTCCTTTTTAGTCTACAGCCAAACCATCCGCCCAACACAGTGGTTAGAGGTGACTCCCACAGAAATCCCTCTATCTAGGTCCCTGAGCTGGGTCCTTACCCTGTCTACAAAGGTGGCCTCTAATCACCACTGTGATTGCCTAGAACTGTGTCTCAGGGACATTTTTGGCCTGTGGTCAGGAGCTCCATCACTGGAGACACAGTGTGTACTCCTTATCCCAAATCCCCAGTGGACAGTTCTGATAGTAAGATTATCAGATGAGGACATAACCAAGTCCATGAGGATATGAGAAATTTCTAGATCTGAAGGCAGAAACACAGTAGGTAAGTCTGCCCTGGGCATTGTCCCCTCAAGGTGGCTCTCCCAGGTCTTGGACTTACAAGATCCTAATTGGATGGCACTTTTATCCACAGGTGGCTGCAAAATTATTACTGTACTTAATATAAATAGAGGATTTCTAGTCCACTGCCTTGCTGTCACTACTCTGTATAGATCACAGCTCTAAAAGTATATATGAAAATAAATCCACATAGTGACATAAGCCACATGACAAGATAGAGGCACAGATGTCAAGTTCTTAGTGTCAAAGAAGAAAAAATTAATAAGCAGAAATATGTTTGGCAAAGAGTTGTCTTTTCTGCTATGATTCTACAGTATTTTTCTTTTCAGATGCACTCATATATCATTCTTAAATATTTTCATAAAATTAATGATGTGAACAAAATCTATGCACCAAAAATAGTATCTGCTTTATCCTAATACTTGACACAAAATCATGTACTTTTAGCTCAGAATACATAATCACAGGGCTAGTGAGATGAATCATTGGGTAAAGCACTTGGTGTGAAGCCTGGTGATGGCATCTGTGAAAGGGGAGAACTAGTGTCTGCAAAATGTGCTCTGACCTCCACACCTGTCACATGCACACATGCACAGGTGTGCACACACACACACACACACTCTTCAAAGCACAATCATAAACAAAAAATAGTCATAATTTTAGAACTATAAATTAATTCAGTCATCTGATTTCAAATATTACATTTCAATAGTAATTATGTCATGAAGACATATGAACAAACTATTTGGAGACTAATGAATGAATTATGAAGGTTACTGAATCATACTAAAACATTTCCATAGAGGTACTTCAAGTATTTTAATTTCTAACCTTTAAAGTTGAAATTTAAATCCTTTTTCACCATCTCAGTAATATTTCTTGCCGCATCACTCTCAGAAGGCACATAAGCCAATTCATAGTCAAAGTTTTTATTAAGGAACTCAGGTAAAGTCAGGGGAACAGGATTATAAATTGCAGCATGAGAAAATGTCTTGTTTGAAATTTTGCGTATAGTCAAAGTCCATGCAAACAACAGAAATATCAAGAGAATCTCTACCACTAAGCCAACTACGTTCCGCCTCTGCAAAAAATAAAACAGGATGACTTTGTTAGTGAATACATGTGTGTGCTCCTGTGTATGGGCATGTACACACAACACAGACATACATTATTCAGCTTTGTTCTACCAATGACAATGGCTACCCCAAATGTCTTCCTCAGTCTTTTCTATAAAGTTCATTTTATTCTACTGATTCTGTTGATTCTTAGGGTGTTCTTCAGACTAAGCAGTGCTATCTAGCTCCAGCCTTGGAACAAAAGCAAGAAAATAAACTATCATCAAATGTGGTAAGGAAGATGTCAGTCCCTCCTCTGGCTTCACAGGCTGCCCATCTAGCTCCCATGGATACCTCCACTTACCTTCAAAAGGAAATTTTTCCACAGGAGGATTGAAAATTGCTTCATGCGCAATGAATCCATTTTATGAAAAGGGTGAGATTTCAATGCTTAAGAAACAAAGATGTAACACAATTAAGATCACCTGGTAAAATACAAAATGGCATCAAGAAAAAGGTTTATTGCTTTATTGTTCCACACTTCCATTTATCAATAGAAAAATAACTATAAAAACAAACAAGAAAAAACAAAACCAAACCAAACCTTGAAATGGGTGCTTGTCTGCTCTTCTATACCTTTATGTCAACTCATTAAAACATTGAAGAATAGCAATATAAATGTGAGCAAACTATGGATCCATTTTCACAAAGAAGATATAAAATATAAGTGTAGAAAATCACTATTTGGGAAGCTTCTACATACCTCACAAACTATACTGTTAAACACCTGCTTGCTTAGTGCCTTCTCACACAATAATCTGTACCAAACATATGGTCAGTTCATAGCATACCCCTTTCCTCATAGCCATAAATAGTATAGCATAGTAACTATTAACCTAGATCTGAGTTCAGACCACAAATCTTCAACACACTGCATGCATATAATTGTGAGCAAAATAATTAACCCATGACTACTTATTGTCTGTAAGTCAGAAAATGGTAGTACTTACCTTACAAGGACTTTTCCCCTGCCCTTGAGGTCAACTGCTACTATGGGGACACTGAGGACTATATTCATCATATTTTAAATTATGATAAAACATACATTACCAGTATGATTGTTTTGTTTAGTACTTGGTTTAGGGGTATCAATCACATAGTCCTACAGCCAGCACCACCATTCATAACATTTTCATCCTCAAGAATCTAAGCTCTGACTTTTTAAACTACAACTCACCATCTCCCCTATGCCCTGGCAGTATAAATCAGGGTAATAAGTGTAATTGTGCAGCACCACGAGGCTGGTAAGAATAGTTGCTCAGGAAGTTCAAATACTTGTCAATGGATGGATCTTGAAGACTATTTTATACTAAATGAAATAATCCAATTACGAAGTGCCAAATGGCAGAGAAGATACAAATACAAGAATCTGAGGAAAACTAAACAAAGATAAATGTAAAGAAATATACATATAGACACAGATAGAACACTAGACCTGAACAAGGATGACACTAACAGACATGATGACACAGAGAGGGACATCTCATTGTGCCTCAACCTTAGACAAAGAAAGCTCACAAGGTCTTAACTCTAGACCACAAGTAACTAAAAGAATACTAAGATCAGGAGAAATAGTCTTCCCCAGGGAAAGTCCTCAATTGGTTATTCAATACCAAGTTGTCAGTCTTGAAATCATATACATACAAGAAACATTATTATACAAACTGAATATGTTTTCTCTCTCTCTCTCTCTCTCTCTCTCTCTCTCTCTCTCTCTCTCTCTCTCTCTCTCTGTGTGTGTGTGTGTGTGTGTGTGTGTAATTTAATAGAGAACAAAAATTTCAGGGAGAGTAGAGCGGGGCATGGGAAGGATTGGAGGAAAGAAAGGAAAGGGGGAATGATACAACTATATTTTGACTTCAAAAATAGTAATAAAGAGAAACTCTTTGAAAAAAACAGAAGAAAATAAAACAGCTTTAAGGAAACAAAGATTCAGAAAGTAGCAACGCAGAAATCAGAAAGACCAGAGGACATAATAAATGTGCACCAATTTGTTTTCTGCTTGTTTTGCTATGCAGCCCAGGCTAACCCAGAACTGCCTGCCTCTGATTCCCAAGTGCTACATGTGTGTACCACATCTAGCTAACATTTCTAATTGCTGGGGGATGAAACTTTTAGTCATGAAATGGATATTCTCCAAAGAAATCCTTCAGATGTTAAGGTCTGAAATAAAGACATTCACAGATAAAAGAAAAACTAAGCTAGTAGATTTGATCTGAAAGAATTAGTAAAAGAAACCCTTTGGAGAAAAAAAGAAATGGCATCAGAATGTAGGAACCATGGGAGATGGAAAAATACCTGGGAAGGGCAAGGATTCCTAGAGTATCCTGGTTAATGAGACCCGTCATGTCTGTGAGCTCTGAGTTTGATTGGGAGACCCTGCCTCAAAGAATAAGGTGAAAGACCAACTGAGGAAGACCCACATCAACTTTAATCCTTAACACACATGCAAATATAAACATGTGCCCACAAGCAATCAAACACACTTACATAAATACATACTACACATGTACACACACCACACAAATATACATGCAAGAAGAAAAAAAAAAGGAAACTCAGCAAAAGTGATAAAATTTTTCTTGAGTGATCAAGATAAGGAGATGCCTCAAATTATTAAAATCTGGACGCAATGAGTGTCAGGTCCAAAGGAAACTCCATTTCCCCAAGTTTTTGGTAGTCAGACAAAAGCCAGTGCTCCTCAGGAACTGTGAAGCAGGTTCCCCTCTACCAATATGAGTCATTTCTCTTAACACTGACTCAAAGGACAAATGGTGAACTGTGGTGGTTATTAGCATAAGAAATGCATGCTGGCCTCTAGACTCCCTCAGTATCACAAGGACCTAGCTCTTCTTATCTCCTCCCCTACCCTTAACTTCTCCATCTTATGGGCTTCCCTCCCAAAAACTACCCACTCCCCTTATAACCTGCTATTTTTGCTATCCTTGTTCTCTTTGTCTTCATCTCTCTGCTTCCCTCTCTGTTCTGTGCTCTCCCTCACCCTAGCTCTCTGCTCTGTTACTGCTTTTCTTATGCTCAGTTCCAGTCTGCTATCCATGTTCAGTCGACTTCTTTCTCTCTGCTTTGGACTCTACCAGATGCCTCTGGCTGTTCTCCCCCTCCTATCTACAATAACATAAAACCTTTCACTTAACCATACTGGAGTAGTCATATCATCAGTTATACAACAAGAAGACATTACCAACCTTTTAGAAATAAAAGTGATTGTAAGAAAATACTACGAACAATTACAACCCAATAGATTTGACAACCTAGATAAAATTAAATCCTAGAAATACAATAACCTACAAATTTCAAGAACAAGTGGAAGATGTGAACAGACCTTTTATAATAGAACAAATGAACAATATAAACAACGTCCTAGCACAGGAAAAACAGGATCAGATAGTATCTGGAGTGGGAAAGAATTTATGCTGATTCTTGTTTGATTTCTCCAAGCAAGGAAAAAATTCCAACTGAGTATCCTACAATGAAGTCCAACTCTGGCACTAAGTATGCAGTGCTAGCATAAGCTAGCTCCCTAGGTTAAGACTCAGGCCCTACTCCAGATGCAGGTGCACAATAGGACCTCTGCCTTGGAACCTTCAAGTGGTAAGGCATCTACAGTCCTTCTTCTGGCTTCATCTTTCACTAGAACAGCTTACAGACTGAGGAACTTGTACAGGTGAACAGCATGTGAAAGGGCATGCAGAGCAAGATGATGGGAATACAGTGCTTCCATCTCCTGCCCAGGGTGACTCCCTGCACAGCAACCTATTCACCCAGAGGCTCTCTTAGATCTTGAGGCCTTGATCCAGGTTCATTAGGCAATCATGATAGATGAAGTCAACAGTCCCTGGTGATTCAATCAAGCTCCAGCCTCCTCCTCTCTTAGAGATAACATCCCCAAAACTCTGATCCTCACAGTTTTTTGGGTTTTTTTCCCCCCTCTGGCAACCAGCTCCCATCCTAAGGTGACCTAGGCCTGATGTCTGGAGTCTCCATGTTAGGACAAATTCATGGAAAATCCAAAAGCAACTTGTAGCACAAATAATAAAAACCCAGAGACAGATATTGGGGTTAAAGCTGAAGATCAGAAAAGCAAAGTGGTCAGCCACTAGAATTCTCACCTCTACCAATACTCAGACCAAAAGAGTGATCCTGTCCTCTGCATCTCCAGACTGCACCTGTCTCCACTAAACTGAGCTCTTGTCTCCTCCCATCTATATTCCTCTCTAGTTCTGGAATTAAAGGCATGGGACCTCAGGTGCTGAGATCACCTTTGTATGAGTTCTGTTTCCCTTTTAGACTGGATCAATTTTGTGCAGCTCTGGGTGGTCTTGAACTAACCAGAGATCTGTCTGCCTCTGTTTCTTAGTTCTGGGATTAAAGGTGGGTACCATCACTGCCTGGCCTCTATGGCTAACTAGTGTGGCTATCTTTGCACTCTGATTTTCATGCAAACTTATTTGTTAGATCATAAACAAAATATCACTACAGCAGCTAGTTATGAATGACAAAAGATACTCCTGTCATCAGGGGTTTCAAAGCATTTGGAGATCTCTGAGCCAGGAGCCAAAAGCAATGTGTATAAACACAGATATAAGCACACATGCCATCTCTCCACCAAACAATGGGAGATGGCACACTTTCTAACTCTTCCATTACTTGTACTCAAAACCAGAGCAAAACATCACAAGCCAACTACAGACCAATATCACTTAAGAGTATAAGTGCAAAATCCTTAACAATACTAGCTAGCTGAATCCAGAAAAAAATATTTAAGGATTTTTTTTCTTTTATCAAGTGGCAGTTGGATTTATCTCAGTAATGCAGGGTAATGCTATATAAGAAGGTCCATCACTATATGGCCAATAATATATGGTCACGTTGAAGTAGAATAAGGTAGAAAATACCAATTATTAGATTTACTTAGTGAAAGCACTGCTTATTACCTAGACAGAACAACCTGGACAGAAACCAAAGCAACTGAAAAGTTCCAGCCCTAGAGAAGGGGAAAGGGACAAGATCACCTGAGCATATGGGCAGCATGGGGGTGGGGTGAGAGGGAGTTAGGAGAAAGAGGAGGGGAGAGGTGGGCATGAGGGAACAGGAAGACTGAGACAGGGAAAGTATAGAGGAGAACAAGAAAAGAGATACCATAATAGAGGGAGCCATTATAGGTTTAAAGAGAAATCTGGCACTAAGGAAATGTCAAGAGATCTACAAGGATGAGCCCAACTTACAATCTAAGCAATAGTAGAAAAGCTAACTTAAATGCCCTTCCCCGATAGTGAAATTGTTGACTACCTTATATGCCATCCTAGAGACTTCATTCAGTAGCTGATGGAAACAGAAGCACACACCCACAGCTAAACCCTGAGCCAAACTCCTGAAATCCAGTTGCAGAGAGGGAGGAGTCAAGACCAAGCTGGAGAAACCAACAGAAACAGCTGACCTGAACAAGGGGAGCTCACAGACCCCAGACTGATAGCTGGGAAACCAGCATAGGACCAACCCAGACCCCCTGAATGTGGGTGTTAGTTAGGAGGACAGGGCAGTCTATGGGGCCTCTGGTAGTGGATCAGTATTTATCTCTAGTGTACAAATGGACGAGAGCCCACATAGAGGGATAGTCTCTCAGCCTAGAAACATGGGGGGGAGGGCCTAGGCCCTGCTCTAAACCAAATGATAGACTTTGAAGATTTCCCCCCATGGAAGGCCTCAACCTCCCTGGGGAGCAGAAAGGGAATTGGATGTGGTTGGGAGTGGGGCAGGGGAGAAGGGGGAGGGAACTGGGATTGATATGTAAAACAAGCTTGTTTCAAATTTAAATAAAAATTTTATCATATTAAAAAAAAAAAAAAAGGTACAGCCCCAAAGTGAATGTTGTACTTAGCAACTTGACCACAGATACTTGTGATTTTAGAGTATAAAATAAATGCAAACTGGACTCAGAGCTGAAGGCTTTCAGGAGCCTGGCTTCAGTCCATGTCTGAATGTCTCTCTTCCTCTCTCATTGCTGATCACCTCAACTGAAGCAGAAAAGGCAACAGATATGAACACCTGACCAATAAGGAACAGTAGTGTAGTTCCTCAACATGACAGACACACCATAATCAATAGTGAAAGGCCAAACAATAACCTCCTCAGACTAGAAATAAGACAAGACTGTCTGCAGTACCCCTCCTACTCAACATAAGCACACAAGTGCTAAGTAGAATGACTGGGCAGAGAAAAAAATAAGTTAAAGAAGACTAGGAAGACAGGAGACAAAAAAAAGGAGGGGAAAACAAAATCAAAGTCATTGAAATTGTACAGGAAAACAATAAACCTTCCTTCAGAAATGTTACCAACAGTATTCCATATAGAAAGTCCCCAATGAACCCACAAAAGAAAGTCTTAGATTAAGCTAATAAGCTCAGCCAAGTTGAAGGAAGAAAGACCAACATACAAAAGTCTTTGTTTCTATACACCAGTAATGAACAATCTTTAAAAATCAGTTCCATTCACAAGAACATCAGGAAGTAAAATCTTAAGAATAAATTAAGCTAAGGAAATATAAAAGTTGTACATAAAAAATTATAAAATGTGGCTTTTAAAAAAAAAAGGAAAGAAGGGAAGGAAAGAGAAGAAAGCTAAGGCCTAAGTGCCCTGTATTTGAAGACTGAAAGACCAACAGAAATGCCCCTCCACCCCACACCCTGAAGTTGATCTTCCACTCAAAACTCAACTGCTTTGAACAGGTTGGCCCTAAAGTTCATATGGAATTCTAAGGACTACTGAATACACAAACCATTTTGGGAAGGAATCAAGTTAGAAGTCCCACACCTGATAATATCAACATTCATTTCTTTGGGATGTCAATCATCAGAACAGAACAGAACAGAACAGAACTGAGAAAAGCATGGGCACATGTAGTGGGATACAGTCCCACAGGGCTGTGGCTGACGGACATCATGCTTGCTTACTCCCTGACAAAAGAGCACGATTTTCAACAAATGTGCTTAACTAATGATCCCAGTGCAAAGGAGTGAAACTGGGTTTGAATCTCGTGCCGTACACCAAATGGTCAGTGACATGATGTGGTAGAAAAAGCAAATGCTTAGGATAAGCAGAAGTCTCAAATCATCATTTCACAATGATACACTCTGGGACAAAGAGAAGGAAGCATTGCCAAATCATACCCTGAACACACAGAGTAACCCAACAACAAAACACAACCCGACTAAATAATGGGCAACAAGTTCTAGACATTTCTACAAAGAAACTCTACAGATAGCCAATATCTACATTAAAAGATCCTCACATTATTACTCACAGAAAAATGAAAATCACAAGCTCAATAGGCTGTTGCTTCCCATGCCATACACTATACATTCTATATCAAAAACAAAATAGAAAATGTGTGCCAAGAAGGTAGGAAACTGAAACCTTTACCCACTGGTGGTGAACAGGACAGCCCATACTGGAAAACAGATTGGCAGCTTGATTCTCAAAAATTCAAAAGTTCAATTTCAACAGAAGTCCCCAATTTTATCCCTAGAATCTCATTTGCCTATATAAGGCCCCTGTTAAAAGAGGCAGGAACCTTAAAAACAGTATGCTAAGCAAAACATACATGATTCCATTCATATGAAATGTCTAGACTCCATTAATTCAAACAGTAAAAAAGAACAGCAGTTGCCAGGGGCAGCAGGGAATAGGCAATGGAGAATGACTGCTTAATAAGTGCAGGATTTATTTTGGGAGTGATAAAATATCCTGGAATTAGTGAAGACATGAGTGTGGTAAAGGGCACTCAAAAGTATGGTTAAGCTTATGTTGTGTTACTGTTATATCTTAAATAAACAAAACCATGTAGTGATAAAAAAATTTTTCAATTATAGGTGAGATACAGAAATCAAGTGACTTGCCTCAAATCAAGTTAAGACAAAGCTGACCCTGGGTCCCAGATCCTTCCCTCTAGCCCCTCAACTGTGAAAAGTGTCCTTGTCAAAATGGAGTCATGCTAGGTGGATGGTGCATGCTGTTAATCACAACTAGGTAGGCTGAGGCAAGAGGATGGCCATGAACTTGAGGACAGCTTTAGGTACATATTGAGTACAAGGCCAGGCAGCAGGACCCTGACTAAAATAATAGTAATGATGATGATGATGATGATGAAGTAGGAGGGGAGGGGAGAGGAGGGAGAGTCATAAACCAGCCAAACTAAGAGCCAAGAGGTTCAAAGGGGAAAGGGTACACGTGCCTATGGCAAAAACTTCTCCCAAGAATGCCGAAGGCCCTTTTCTTCTGTTTGTTTTTTGAGACAGGGCCTCACTATGTAGCCCTGTTTGTCCTCAAAATTGCTATTCTCCTGCCTCAGCCTCCAGAATGGGTGGATTACTTACGCACAGTTGCTCCACTCACTGCTCCTTGCTAAGGAAATCACCAGAACATCTTGCCTGACAGTCTCCTCTGTGTGCTGCAGTCAACACCTGCAACTAAAAACCCCGTCAGCCCCCAGCTGTTTCAAAACCCTGCACAAGGGACTTCTGCCTTTAGAAGTGTCCCATCTCACTCTCCTTGGAGATGGATGTGCCTTGTGTCCAGAGCATGCACAGCCCAGACTCTCTTTAAACAGTCACTCCTCTCTTTTAGGCTGGCAACACACATACACAGTGAAATTTGTTCCTAAGCCCCTAAGGGTGTGTGTGGAGGGGCCCAGGTTGGATTCCTGGGGCGTCTAAGGGCAGCGGCAGAACAGGTCCACGACACACACCTCTCAGACCCCACAACAGCCACCGCCACCGCCACGAGGGGACGCGCGTCGCCCGGGCACCTCGCCTCTCAACGCTCTAACCAACCGCCTGGCGGCGCGGACCGGTAAGAACGACGGGGGCGCGCAGTGGGCACGGGGGCGCGCGCCGGAAGGAGCCGCCTGGGTGTCGCCCACGCATGCGTCCTGGAGTCTTTTCTTCTTGGCTGAGTTCCGCTCGCGCGCTAGCTCCTCCACAACCAGACTCCCAGTAAAGCTGACAAGACATTTGAGGGGACGGCAGAACTCAGAAGCCCAGATAAATAACTTTCATACAAGATAAACAACTTTCATACAATATTTTCAATCTTTTTGAAGTAAAAGTAAAAATTTAAGAAGCTGTCCTCGAGTCTAAAGCAAAAGAGAAACTCCATTATTTTGACTTCTATTTAACTTTGATATTTTGCCTATTGTTGTCCTTTGGTTAATTTTTATTTTTTGTTTTATTTTAATATTTCTGTTAAGAATTAACTTATTTACTGAGTGTGCCCAATAAGTTTTGTTGAGTCAACATTGCTGCATCCTGGGGACCACTCTGCCCTGCTGTCACTTTTAGCATGTTGGCAGTAGTCTAGGGAGGATCAAGCGACCCACTTTTTCCTGGGCCTGTAGGTGGTCAGCAGGTCAGGAGAGGGCAGGGGAGAGACATAGCAGCTTCCCCTACATTACTAGCGAGTTTATTAATAGCCTTTCTCTCAAGTCATTATTACACTCAATAATAGTTGCATTATTTTAATAATAATGAAGACGAAAGCTGGCTGTGGTGCTGCACACTTGCTGTCCTAGCGCCTGGGAAATCGAGATACGAGCATCAGGAGGTCAAAGCCAGCCTTGGCTACATAGGGATTTTGAAACCAGTCTGACCTAGATGCTGTTTCAGAGCAGGAGAGATGACTGCTGTTAAGAGCTCTTGCTGCTCTTTCAGAGGATCTGGGTTCAGTTCGTTGCACCCATGTATGGTGGCGGCTTTCGGAGGCTTATAACCTCCACCTCCAGATCAGTTGCTCTCTTTTGTCCTAGGAAACCTACACACACACACACACACCGTAAAATATTAGGGCTAACAACAGCACCTCCATACCTCAGTCACTGTTTGTATAGTCAAATGAGATAAGCTGTTGTTGCTATTATTCTTTCAAACCCTAATTTTCTTTACTCCTTCCTGACACCTTACCACCCTGAGTTAGAATAGTCCCTTTTCTTTGAATTCCCGGAAGCACTTTCTCCACCACTGGTCGAGGGTTAGGCATCACTACCCCATCAGTGGTGGAGGGTTAGCTGTCACTTCGTGGCTGATTTCCTTCCATTTCATCTATATTGTCTGTTCCTCAAATACAACATGAACTTGAAAAAGCAAACTACATTTGGCTCTTTATGCGACTGAATTCATTACCCTTGTCTGAGACTTCAAGATGAAGGTTGTTTTGTTTAACCTGTGCGCTTAAAACAATGGCTGGTGCTTAGGAGTGGTTTTGGGAGAGACATTGGGAATAGAAGAAACTCCAGAAGGAGACGGAATTAAAAGTATGACATAACCCTCCAAGCCCCTTTTCACCTGAGCAAGCACTAAGTGTCCTGTCATCTCTCCTGTCTTTCTCACGATACCAGCCCCAGTAGAGCTGGTGTGCAGGGACGAAGGAGGAACCCAAAGTCCTCTCCACAACCACAGCGTGCCCAGGGATGTGGCGATGGCTAATTACAGGAATGAGACCAGTAGACTCAAGAATTATCACTCCAGACTGCCACCTTGATTCCAATCTCGGGAGAAGCCTCTGGGAACCCTAGAAGTTGGGGTGGGCGGCGGGGGCGGGGAAGGGGAAGGGGCGGGGCCGGGCCCTAGAGGGGAGGGGCGAAGATGCTCCGCCCCGGGAAGCCCGCCCAGCGCTGCTGCGCAGCGGTGCGCTCATTTAGGACTGGGATCGGAGAAGGTGGAGTGAGTGGCAGCCCGAGTTCGAAAGCAGGCAGTGACATGAGGCGGGCGCCAGCGTTCCTGAATGCGGCTGAGGTGCAGGACCACCTCCGCAGCTCCAGCCTCCTGATACCGCCTTTGGAGACCGCTCTGGCCAACTTCTCCAGTGGTCCGGATGGAGGGGTCATGCAACCAGTGCGCACCGTGGTGCCGGTGGCCAAGCACCGAGGGTGAGTGAAGAAGGGGATGGGAGAAAGGGTCTCGAAAGAAAGGAGGAACACTGAGGGAAGCGGTGGGAGAAGTGAGGAAAGGTCTTGCTTGATCTCTGCTAATGACAGCCTCAGCTTAAGGGGCACTACCCACCGGCCCTGTGCCAAGAGGTTGGTTTACAGGTGTCACCTGCTGTAATTCAGCTCACTGTTCTTACTCAGTAAGTAGTCACTCTGCTAGTTGAAAACTGAGACTCAGATAGGTAAAGTGATTTACTGAAGCTTACACAGCTGACAAGTCGCGGGCAGGGCTGTGATGGCTTTCTGGTCCAGAGCCATGCTGTGAGTCCTGCTCCAGAGAAGGGTAGAAGGGCAGAGGAAGGAGGATCCAGGTCCAGCAGAGCAGTAATGGAGAAAGAAGATGATTGCCTGCAAGGAGTTGACTGACTCTCTCTCTCTCTCTCTCTCTCTCTCTCTCTCTCTCTCTCTCTCTCTCTCTCTCTCTCTCTCTCTCTCAGCTTCTTGGGAGTCATGCCAGCCTACAGTGCAGCTGAGGATGCACTCACCACCAAGTTAGTCACCTTCTATGAGGGCCACAGCAACACATCTACCATCCCCTCCCACCAGGCTTCAGTGCTTCTCTTCGAACCCAGCAATGGCTCCCTGCTGGCGGTGAGCAACTTCTTTTTCCTTGGGGCAGATTGGGTAGAGCAAGTCCGTGCCCCCCCCCCTCCACCTGCCCAGTAGAGACTGTCCTTTCGGCTCAGAATTAAGCCTAGAAGCTAGTTCTCCATGAGAAGTAACATATCGCAAGTGACCAGACATGAGACTGCAAAGGTGACCTGTGACAGCATGTTTCTAGGACCGATTTGAGCCCACAGTGGCCGCAAGCATGTGACAGTGGAATAACAATCCTATTATTCATGCTTATGTTCTTGTCAGATACACCAAATGCATGGCTCAAACTAAAGCTGAGCAAACATTTATTCACTGACACCCCTCACCACCACCATGGAGTAGAAGACTATGCCCTAACCTGTGGGTGTCCTACTGGCATCAGTTTTTAGATCAGTTTTTAGTGTCTAGCAAGGTGTGAAAAGAGCAGTAGCTCACATTTACTGAGAGTTGTGTGTGTGTGTGTGTATGCTTGTGTGCACGCGTGTGCACGCGCACATGTATACATGTAAGGAGAGGGTGGGATAATGGGAGAGAGAGATATGCAGGATTCTAAGCACATTACCTGTATAATTAAAACCACCCTGGAAGTACATAATATTGTTCCCTCATTTCCGAGACTAGGAGCTGGTTATACAGCAGTTGTGCTCAGAGTACCCCCCTACTAAGCAAGGCTGGAATTCAAACCTCTTCTGTCTAAGTCAATGGTGTATCCAGTTCCAGACTATGCTATACTGCCTTGTCTGTCTGTCTATCTGTCTGCTATGTGTCCCAGGCCAGCCTCACACACATGATCTTCCTGCCTCAGGCTGCTGAGTGTGAACAGGGTGCTTCCCCTTTCATTTCTATGGAGTTCCATGAGGCTCCGGTTAGTGGAGAGCCTTGGCTTAGGGTCACACAGCTGGTAAGTGAAGATCACTCCTAGATCATTTGACTAACCTTGGTGCCGATACTCTTAGCTCCAGCAGGCTGCAAGCAGAGTCTCAGACCGCCCCATTTTCTTTTCTGACCATCTGAGAGACTGACTAGACTCCCACTAGGGATGAATGAGAATCTGGCTGTTCCTAGCCTATGCTCACTCAGTGGCAGATGCATCTATGCTGACTATGGCAATTGAGTTCCACTTCTGGAGCCTCCATCTCAGCACTAGTAGCCGGACTTTGGGGCTTTACTGAATGACTGAATGTTCTTCAGCTACAGGATTCAGCTTCTTGCCTCTAAAATGAGAATAACAAATAATAACGCTTGCCTTTTGAGAGTCAGCTGAGACAAGGGAAAGGGAGGCAGTTATTGTCAGCCAGGTAAAATGCTCGGTCCTCCTTGGGCATCAGAACCTGCTGCGGAGCCCTGGAAACCACGGATAGCTTGATCCCACCCCTTATGCCAGGAATGTGTCCCAAGACCTTGACCACTGAGCTTCATATTCCAAGCTAGACAGTCAGCCTGAGTCATTCTGAAGGTGGCCTCTGGGAATAGTCTTTCCTAAGCTCCTGAGATGTGACAATCGTATCCCCAAAGTTTCATCTCAAGTTGGAGAATCTCAGGGCAAGAAAACAAAATGGGTGATCTGGAATGCTTAGTGTGCCCAGCGGCTTCCCTGCATGCGGTTGTACTCGGGGCTCTCAGGGCCCTCTGCACTGTTGGCATCATCTTTGCTTTTACAGGTGAAGAGTCCAGTGCATAGCCATTGGTCCTCGAAGCCGCAAAGCTCCTGAGGGGAGTATCAGATCCAAGGGCAACCCTAAGCCCCGCATTCACTGTAGTTCCACAGAGCTCCCTGAAGCAGCTTTCAAAGCTCCCCTGGGTTTCAGTCCTACGAGGGCACCTTCCTCACTGTCTTTCCTTCCTCCAAGGTCATGGATGGGAATGTCATAACTGCAAAGCGAACAGCAGCCGTGTCTGCCATTGCCACCAAGGTAAGTCCAGGGGCTGCACTGTGCTAGCCAGATTAGATCTGGTGAGGGAGGAAATGCGGAACATACTATCTGCCTTTGTTCATAGCTGGAACTCCATGTACCAAACATGAGTTATTAAGTGAACACAGTAATCCACACAGTTATTGAATGTATGCCACATGATTCCAAATAGCTCGTAGGCATAATCCCCTGTCTTCCTGTCTCAAAAACTAAAGTGGGAAGTGATTCAACTTTTTTAAAAAGAATCAAATGGCTTTTTAATGTATTATATACTAATTATTAATAAATGTTACTACATGCTTAACTACTTTATAATTTTTTATTAATTGGTAAATGATTTGTAGTATGTTTAAAGTCTGCTGGAAAAAAATATAATACCCTCCAAAACCCACATTGTATGATAGAAAGATGAAACAAAATTAAAAATATTGGTATCGAAGTGACTTTTTAATTTTTGAAATGAGGCCTCACTGTGTTGCTGCTGGACTTGAATATTTATGCACCGATGGTTCACTTGCCTCAGCTCCTATATAACTAGGTCTACAGGTACACACCGCTATTTCCCGCTAAAGAGACGACATTTCAAATGATTCAGAAATGACCTCCCTGACAGGGTGACATTTGACAGAGGACTGAAATCAGTGAGTGGAGCATTGAAGGAACATGCCAAGCAGAAGGCCAAGCAAGTGCTACTGGTAATGTCCTCAGCAGTATGGCGACACCCTGTGAGAAGACGGGATGTTTGCAGAGGAAAAGAAATTTAGACTAGGGTATTAATCTGGAATGGATATAATCCCAGCAGTTTGGAGTGAGGCAGGAGGATCACCATGAGTTACAGGATAGCCTTGCTACATAATGAAATCATATCTCAAAAGACAAAGTAGAGGAAAATGGGGTTCTGTGGGAATAATTGGAATCTGGATTTTTTTTTCCAGTAGTTTAAGAAGGACAAGAGCTTGAGATTCTTGTTTTCCTATGTATAGCAGAAGTGCCATGGCCCAGGGGAGGGTTAGCATGGCAGATCAGGTGTTTAGATTATTTAGATAGTGGATGGCTCCTGAGAAACAACACCTAAGGTTGACCTCTGCCTACTATAGTCATGCACACATGCATACACGTGTACACACACACACACACACAAAGGGTCCTTGTCCAGACCAAATGAGATCATGAGAGTTGAGTACTGGCATACAGTAGGTAGTCAGTGAAGGCTCCATCCTTCTTACCCCTTTCTACAGAGTGTAAATGGAAACAAAGTGACATCTCCATGGTGTCCACTAGTTCTTGAGGGTAGCTCACATGATATTCCCCTGTTTTTGTTTCCCCCCACTGACCTTTGCCACCTGTTTCCTCTCAGTTTTTGAAACCCCCAGATAGTGATGTGCTGTGTATCCTTGGGGCTGGGGTCCAGGCGTATAGTCATTATGAGATCTTCATGGAACAGTTCTCCTTCAAGGAGGTGAGTGAGGGTGGAGACTGGGGAGAGGGGATGGAACAGGGGCCTCTAGGTACCACCCAACACAGACAAACAGTGGGTGAGCCCAGTAGATCACCCTTACCTTTATGTCTTGCCCATGGAGACAAGAACTGTTTGCCTGACCACCTCTTTTTGGACTCATGGTACACACTTGGGGATGAGCCTGTGACAATCCTTGAGTATCAGCTTTATGTCCACCCCTCCCCATGTTTCTCTTAAAAGACTCTGGGAAGCTTTAAGAATTTAGAGCTTTGGATCCAGAATCAGGGTGGGACCTGGTGAGCAGAGGACACAGCCCCCTGCCACTTCTGTCAGCAGATCCCCCTGAAGTGGCCCTCACTTCACTGGAAATGTTTAATGACATTCTTTTCATGTTAATGTGTGCCTATGAGAATGGTGGAAACCGTGTAAAGTATGCATTTTTATGATTAAAAAAAATACTGTTGTCTTGAGGAATATAGACTGTGAAGAGGAAGAAAAAAGAAAAATAACCATTTACCTGTTTTTGAAGACAAATAGTTTCTGGGTTTCTCTCATCTGTATCTTCCAGCAGCTTTAACCCTGTTGACTGCACACAGTTGTGTGTCCTGTGTTTTCATCAATGATTTCAACATCACTGTTCCAGTTTATATAATTTTGTGTAATATTTGCACAATTTTCTATCAGAAAAGATGACATAGCTGAACAGTAACTTATTGCTGAGTATGCTGAATCATTTGTCCCGACTGATCAGCTAGGATGTAAAGCTTATTTTTCTATCTGCCATATTTCCTGATGAGAGTGGATTTGTGCCTTATTTCTAATTGAAGGCTGGCAGCCTCTGACCCATTGAATCTTGTTAGTAAACTCACAAGAGCTCAGCCCTCCATGCTGCCTGCACCTTCCGGGGTTCTGTGACTTTCACATTGGTCTTTTTATAAGCTACACCATTCACCTAAAAAATATTTGCTTTTTAAACCTTCCTTACACTTCATTGATTAAGTTCTTCCACAACAAAGTATTCTTTTCATGAATCTTGTATCTGCTGAAACTCTAATATAGAACTTCAAATGTAGACTAAGTTCCACACTGTCTTTGCCCAGTTATATTTACATTTCGTTGATGTGGAAACTGAGGCTGAATGAGGGAAATCACTGCAGAAATAATATAAAGGAAGAGTTTGTGCCAAGCCTGCATGCCACCAAACCCTCTCTGTAATCATTAAACCCTTGGCTGTGTCCTGGCCTAAGATTGGAAAGTGTCCACTTTCTTTAACAGAGAGGTCATTTGTATCTATCTGTCTGAGCAAATATCCCTTTGGATTAATGCTATCTTGACCAAATGTTCATTCTTTAAAGACACTGTTGTCACCATCTCAGAGCAGTGTGGGTTGATGTGGCATATGCAGTGAAGAAATACACCAGTGTCCCTTTTGTTACCCACTATAAGGTGAGAATATGGAACCGCACTAGGGAAAATGCAGAGAAGTTTGCAAGTACAGTGCAAGGAGAGGTTCGGGTCTGTTCATCCGTGCAAGAGGCTGTGACAGGTGCTGATGTCATCATCACTGTCACCATGGCAACAGAGCCCATTTTATTTGGTGACTGGGTGAAGCCAGGGGCTCACATCAATGGTAAGTAGAGAGTCTTCATGCTCGCACACTGGATCCAGACTCTGTTTGTAAAAGTGCTTTCTCCACCATACAAAATGCCCAAATATTTGGGTTTTCTTTGAATCAGGGTCTCGTTATAGATCTTGACTAGCTTTACACTTGCTATCCTCCTGCCTCAGCCTCCTGAGTGCTTAGATTATAGGTGTCTTTTCTCACTCCGGTTTGTGCCTGTTTTCTGAAGGGTATCAGAAATGTACGGGCCTTAAGTGAAAGACAGGAAGATGGGGAATTGAAGGCTAGCCTGGGCTATGTACAGAGAACTTGTTTCAAAAAACTAAAGGCAAGGGAAAGATGGTGTGAGCCCCAAAAAATTGTGTCTCAAAATGTGAAAAGAAAATTAAATGTAAAACTGGTGAATATTTTATTAATCAATGCCCTGTGGAATGGACCACTACCACAAATGGGTCAGCTATAACTTCATTATTAAATATGGTAACATTTAAATCCTAATGGGCAAGTATATAGTGTTTCATTTGGTTTGTTTGGATTGATTTTTTTTTTTTTTTTTTTTTTTTTTTTTTAGACAAAGTCACTCTGTGTAGCCATTAAACTCATAACCTTCCCTCCCGTGCTTCCCAAGATTTACATGACAGGCCTGATCCACTGCTCTGGCCTAAATAGTTTGTTCTTAAAATATAAAACTATAAACAATTTCCAAAACTAATTACAGCACAAAAAGGATTTAACATGACATGTGGGTGCTTTTAGTGTGTGGGATAGGAGATGGGGTGGGGAGGATATTCTAAACAGAAGGACGCTTGGGACCTCTGAAGATTTTCAAATAACCTTAGAGAGTATTGCAAGAAACAAGCTATATAAAATATGTAACTATTATAGATACTGTCCTGAATTCTGTGTATGTGTGTGCACATGTGAATATGTACCCTTAAGTGTTTGTAGTGCATGCATGTGTGTGTGTTAATGTCAGATGTCTTCCACAGATACTCTCCATCTTACTTTTGATACATCTCTCATAGCATCCAACATTCACTAATTAGCTAGAGAACTCCAGGGATCACCTATTTCTGTCTACTGTTCACTCACCCCACAATGTCACATATATGAATATCCACGACCACAGTCTTACATGGGTTCTGGGCACATAATTTCACAGCAAGTACTTTACTGTTTGATCTATGTACCCAACCCTTTTCATTGTGATATATAAAATTTATATATGTACATCTAATGCATATATGCTATATTATATATGTATAATGTATATGTGTTACATATAGTCACTTAATCCTTATAACATCCTTTTAAGATAAGAAACAATAATTATTATAACCTTTAGTTTATAGGTGAGTAACCAAGGCCTGGAGACACTAAGTAACTTTTAAGAGTCAGAGACTCTTAGGGGCAAAGTTGGGTTTGAACTGAAGAAGTTTGTCCTCAGAGCCCAGGCTCTGTGCTCTTGAACACAGTACATAATAAGAAGTCTGGCTTTGATTGCCAGGTAGCCAGCCAGCCAAGGATTGAGGATAATATCAGTGCCCCATCGTGTAATGACAAGAACACAGTGTCATCTCAGAAGCTGAGAGCTCTGTCCACAAAGGCAGATGAGCAGGCAGGAGTCTAGTCAAGAGATGTTGTGTTCATTCATAAAAGTTTACAGACCCCACTCCATGTGACAGCCATTGTCCTAGCTGCTGGGTGATGGATGCCACAGTAAACAGAGCATCCAAGGTCATGGTTTTCCTCTTGGCTTTATTCTGCTTGTGAGGAGCCTGCACAGCAAACAAGACATTGTAAGAGCCTGGCAGTGGAAGCAGAAGGTAGATCCTTTTGGTCCATTTACTGGAAAAGCTGCCTGGGAGGTGACTTGGGGCTGTGACCCAAATAATGAGGAAGAGCCGGTCATGTTCAGGACTGAAGAGAGACTGCTCCAGGCAGACAGAAGATTACAAGCAGGGGCAGTGAACACAGCGATTTGAGGACTAAGCCAACGTGAAGTCAAGGTCTCAGTCTGCAGGGAACTGATGACATGATACAGGCCAGGAAGAAGCCAAGAAGTGGTTTAGTGGGCAGGTAAAAGGTAGATCGAGGTATGCATCTTGAAATCAAAACTATCTGGAAGGACTTGAGAAATCCAGAGGGACAGTTCTTGGTGAAATGTGCTCCCTGGGGCAGAGCTGAAACTGCAGCTGATTCGCTTGGTTTTTGTTTTGTTCTTCAAACTTAATACAATACAGTAAGGTTCCATTCAAGGTTAAGCTGGTCCTCTGCTTAGTCTTGCAAGGATGAAATCTCTGTTCGCTAGGCTATAACCTCATCAAAGGTCCCCTTCCAGGCTCATGGGGTGGCAGGATTCAGCCCCATATGCTATAGACAGAGGACCTGTTTCTGGGGGTTACTCTCAGTTCCCACGGATCTCCCACCACACCCAAAGTCAGCTACAGTGAATCCTTTGTATTCATTCTTTATCTATATCTGTCTATTTATCTACCTATCCATCCATCCATCTACCTACCTACTTACTTTCCTATCTACATATCTGTTTCTATATCTATATATTTCTAGAAGGGGATGGCTTGATATGGAGTCAAAATACCTCTTTTTGTGTTCCCTTGACCTAAGGAACAAAGTCTCTTTATGTGATCACAGAGCCTCAAATATGCTTTATTAAAGTGTGTTGCAGTGATAACAGTAAAACACTAAGGACAGATTTTAGTTGTTTATTAGCCCTGCTAAAGGGCAGGCAAGTTCTGTGTCAGACCACTGACTTGCTATTTGGTCCACTTGCATCTGCCTGAGTAGCTTCACATGGCCCTTTGAGAATCCATTCTGCTGGAAGCAGTGCCTGGGAAGGGAGGTAGGCCCTGGAAACTGGAAGCTTTTCCCACCACCTTCTGATTTATTTACAAGCTTCATTAGTGAGTACTTTTGTTCTATAGAATTTCCCACCACCAGCATTCAAGCTGAGCATTGTTGTGCAGCTGTCTGGAAATCAGAGCTCAGACAGGGAAGAGGACACACAAGGAAATGGACAGCACTGCAAGAAAGCATGTAAATGCTCCTTGGATTTGGATAAAACTTTATAATACTTTCAAAGACTAGCCAGCTAACCTGGCACTGGCTCCAGTCAGCAGACTGCTTTGTTTGGACCACATAGGAATCAAGAACTAACTTATGCAAATAGATTTCCTGCTCCTCTTCATAAACAGTGGGGATGGAGGGCAGACTGGTAACAGTGAATAAGTACTCATGCATAGTAACCATTAGCTGGGGCTGGATAATGGCTGAACTCTGGAGAAGTATACACTCACTTCTGTGTGACCAGGACTGCAACATTTTCAGTCCCTTTACTGGCTTTGAGTTTCTTCCTGGCTCTGTAGGCATTTGGTTGCATCCTGTGCATTGTCCTGTGTCCTTCTAAAAGGGGGTGTGATACATTGGATTCATTGCTTCTGTCTCTGCAGAGGGACAAGGCCAATGATCAAGGCCTAACAGCTCATTTATATTTTGTGAGATGTTTAGTTTGTATGTTTTCTTTTTCTTCCTCCTCTCCACTCATCCTTTTCATCCTCCCTATCCTCTTCTGTTCTATTTTTTTTTTTTAATGTGTGTGTACGCATGCATGCCACCACACACATATGGAAGTCAGAGGACAAACTCAGCTATCAGTTCTGGCTCCCAATTGGTTTGAGACAGCATCTCTTGTTGTTCACCTATGTATTTTCCAAGCTAACCAGCCCAAGAAGTTCCAGGCATTCTCCTGTTTCTGCCTCCCGTCTTATACAGGCTGACTGGGATTATAAACGTGCACTGTGACATTCAGCTTTCTGCAGATTCTGGAGATTTCAATTCAGATTGTCACATTTGCAATTGTGTTTTACCCACTAGGTCTTTCCCCCATCATCAGGTTTCTTTTGTCAGGGAAATATCAAGTACAGGCTTCCTTTTTGCCTCCTGCTCTGGCAGTCAGTACTGGACAATGAGCTTAGGGGCTCACACATTCTGGGCAGGTGCTGTGCCACTGCTACAGTTACAGTCTCCCAATTGTCTTTTTATTTTGGCTTCTTTGTGGCCTTAACACCTGCTTTTTGTCACAACTACAGAAAGAAAACAAAACAAAACAAAGAAACAGTTTCAGGTGAGGAACAGGAAAAATAGAGTAAACCAACTGAAGATAAGGAGCAATGGTTCTCTGTTGTGTGGTTTCTGCAATTAGCTGTCACTCCAGGCAAGAGGAGACTCTTGAGTGAAAGCCTGGGTCTCTCTCTGACCCAGATTCACTGATGACTTGGGTAGCAGGCCCCTTCACTCTTCATAGCATCAGTGTGTGCATCTATGGATAGAAGCAGACCCTGAAGAGTATGTGAGGTCCATAAACAGCATAGGCGGAAAATATAATATGGTCGGTATTTGCCTTATTAAGTGAACGCTAAGCTAGAGAGATGGCTCAGCAGTTAGGAGTGCCTTCTGCTCTTAGAGAGGACCTGAGTTCATCTTCTTCCATCCATGTTGGGAGGCTCACAACTGCCTATAAATCCAGCTCTCAAAGAGCATCTGACCTCTGGTCACCTCAAGCACCTGCACTTGCATGCACACACCCAAACACACACACACACACACACACACACACACACACACACACACACACACACACACACTTAAAATAATAAAGGTAAATCTTTAAAAAAAAAAAAAGAAAAGAAAAGAAAACCAAGTGCTGCTAATCTTACAGAAATGGGGTAGGGCATGACTTAGAAGAGTTTTAGAGATGGCTCAGTCCATAAAGTGCTCACCATGAGCATCAAGGTCTGAATTTAATCCCCAGGCATGGAGGTGTGCACTTGTAATCCCAGTGCTGGAAAGGTGCAGAGAGGGGAAACCCTTGGGGCTCACTAGCCAGCCAGCTTGGCCTGAGCAGTAAGCTTTGTGTCCTAGTGACAGACTGTCTCACAAAACAAAATGGACAGTCATCTTGAGGAACAATACCCTTAACCTCTTACCTTTAGATGCACCCACAGATATATGAGCATGCAGTTGCATGCACATGAGGACACACATACACAAACAAACAAATGATTTTAAAAGAAAAAGGAAAAATGTAGGCATTCTTTTTTAACAAGTATTCTATCTTACTGATTGGGAAGAGAGTAGTCTAGGAGATGATAAGGCATTATTGTCTAAATATCCTGACTGGTCCTGCTCAACTCTTTCTAGTAATGTACCCTAGAATTTTCCTGGGCTCACAGTCTGTCTTGCTATGTCATAGCTGTTGGAGCCAGCAGACCTGACTGGCGAGAACTGGATGACGAGCTCATGAAGCAAGCGGTGCTGTATGTGGACTCCCGGGAGGCTGCCCTGAAGGAGTCAGGAGACGTTCTGTTGTCAGGGGTGAGCCTCCCATGGGCAGAATCATTGGCTATCCCTGGCCTGTCCCCCAAGGCTTTACTGTCACCCTCCTAATTCCCCCCTACCTTGGTCACCTCACCTTCTGGAAAGGAAGACATTCCTAAACATCTTGCAATCTTTTTAATCCCATTCTAGAAAAGCATAGCCATATGGCTATGACATGTGTCTTCTTGTCCTTCTGCTTAGAGGGAGAGTTGATTTTTTTCTTTTCCAGTTTGCTGTGCAATAAGGCAGTAGGATGGGAAGTCTGTTGCAGCCTGGAAACCTATCTGAAATGACAGCACAATTAGTCTATGTGTCCCCTGGCTGCCTATCCTCACTTATAATCTGGACATGGAATCAAGAAGAGCTGCCAAAGTGCATGGTCAGATAATACACACCAGTTTCTTCACAGACAGGGACCTGGCAGGCAGCTACCAGACACAGTGATCTCCGTGTCCAAGGAGTCAAAAACACAGATGCTGCCCCAAAAAGATATCAGAGGGTAGATGTTTCTTACCACCATCCAGTTCACAGATGGTCTTTTTAAAGATCATTTTTATCCTCTCCTGTTCAAGAATGTCCCAACTGGCTTCAGAAGCCAGGCCTGCATGGGATATTAGCTTCAACTCTAGTTAGCATGATTTTGTTTCACAGGCTGACATCTTTGCTGAGCTTGGAGAAGTGGTGTCAGGAGTGAAGCCTGCACACTGTGAGAAGACCACAGTGTTCAAGTCTTTGGGTAAGATTGCTCCCTGGGCATAAATCCAACCATAGTACAGGGCAGGTAAGGAGAAATGAATGGGTTACCAGACACTGTGGGTGAATTTTTTTGGGAAATCATTGACAAGTCCATCATTTGGATCAATCATTTACATGTTTGGGTGGAGTAGTTATGCTTATGGACTCTGAGGTTGAGCAATCCTGGATTAGATTCCTTCTATATCAAGTACTAGATATGTGACCTTAGGCAAGTGACCCGATGTTTCAGAGCCATAGTTTATTCACCATCTGTTACCTTGAGTTCTTGTGTCATCAGTGAGATATACAAGAAAAAATTTGCACACAGCCAGAGTTGTACTAAATCGCTTAGATTAGACAGACATAAATGAATTCAGAAGTCTATATCCATCAGAGGAGGAGAGTGGGGAAAAAAGCTGTTAATGGCTAAAGGGAAGTAACATACACATAACTGACCTAAAGGAGATTGAGACAAGAAGTGTACAGCCTGAGACCCTTCATTTCCTCTTCTCCACCCTCCCACTTGATGCTAATGATGGGCGATCATGAGGAGTTGCAAACTACATAGACCAGTATAGGTGAAAACCCAACAAAATATGAGCTCACAGTGGAAAGTCTGCCCCTTGGATTAACTCTCTCATTCTGCCATGTTTAAAGAAACAGGTGTTTATGGGAACTAGAGTAATAATCAGCTATTACACTTAAATTTTTTTTAATTATAAATGGTTAGTAAATGGATACTACCAGGGCTCCACAAAAGTGCTTTCTGCCCCAACACCTTCCATATTTCTTCACACTGAGCAGCATAAACTTTAATGTTCACCACAATTTTAAGAGTACTCTGGATAGCTGGGCATGGTGGCACACATCTTTAATCCCAGCACTAGGGAAACAAAGGCAGGCAGATCTCTGTGAGTTCAAGACTAGTCTAATCTGCATAGCAATTTCTATTATAGCTAGGACTATATAGACTCTGTCTCAACACACAGAGAGTCAGAGACAGAGAGACAGAGAAATAGAGGAGAGAATGCTGGCTAGTAGAGGAGCCACTACAATGAAACAGATTTGCTGGACATGACAGGACTATTACACACATGACCTCACAGTGCTGTGACCCCATGCATGAGACCTGCACAAGATCAAATCAACAAAAAGCATGGATGTGGAATAGAGCTCATTAAGTCTTACCCCTAACTTAGAAGCTATTGGCAACTGATGGCAATCTGGGGGTTGAAGAGTCAGTTTTCTTCAAGGTTGTGGCCCTTGAGAGGCTTGCCATGGACATGCTAGTAGTTCTAAGGGTATTTAGTTTTCAAAAAAAAAAAAATTCAGGAAATTTGAAGGGGAAAGTGTTGGGGAGATGGGAAGGAATTGGAGACAAGGAAAAGGAGAGAAGATTTGATCAAAACACTTTAGTGTGCAGGTATGATATTATCATATGATAAAAAGTGTAGTCTGGCCATCCAGAATCTATACCATCAGGTAGTATCCAGGCCTTGACAAGGAGTTAAGCTTTTTTAAAAAAAATTCCTTTATTATTAGAAAACAAATGAAGGCAGTAAACTTCATCCAGTACCTGTTCCAATGGCATCCTACTGATCCAGTTGTGTCTGGAAGTTTAGCTAGCCTCCTTAAAGAGACAAATACTGCAGGAACTTACACTGGGTTATTGGTTTATTGACACACCCTTTCTTCTAACTAATATATGCTGAGCCTCTCTACACATACTGGGTACAAAAATTAAGGTGCATATCTTAAAAGTATAGGTTGAATATGCCTTATCTGAAATTCTTGTGCCCGTGAGTGTTTCATTCTGTGGAGTATGTTTGTAGATTCGACAGTGGTATGGCTGAGCCCTACCCTGACCCACACCCTCCACCCAATATGAAAAATTGATCCAAAACTGAAAAACTTTTTAATTTCAACATTATCTTAAAAAGTTTTAGACTGTAGAATATTTCAGATCACAGATTTTTGAATTAGGTATATTCAGCCTTTCCAAAACAAATGGGAGATGCTATAGATACAGGATTTGTATGGTTAAGGGTCATCAAAATGTAGCCTGTGGGACCAAACTTACCACCTATCTGTAGTTGTATGAGTTACAAATAGTGTCTACATTTTTAAATGATTAGGATGGGATATAGAAAGAATAGCTTTCAAGACACATAAGAATGATTGAGAGATTGGGGATATGAGGTGGCTTAGCTTAGGAGAATGTTCATCACACAAGCAGGATGGGCTGAGTTGGCACCCACAGGACCCCATGTAAAGTGCCAGGTGTGGCAGCACATGGCTGGGCTTATAACTCTGGTGTTGTGGAGGCAGAAACAGAAAGATCCCCCTGGGGTTCACTGGCCAGCTAATCTAGGTAAATCAGTGAGCTCGGTGAAAGACACTGTCGCAGAACAAAACAAAAGACAAATAAGATGAAGAACAATTGAGTTGAGGAAAATAGTTAACATCAACCTATGCCTATCAACTGTGGTGATACCTTGTTTATACTCTAACAAACAAAGCTTGTCTGAAGATCAGAGGGCAGGGCTAGCCACTAGCTAACCATAGAGGTCTGGAGGTCTATACAGACAGGCAGGAAGTGAGATGGCTAGGCAGAGAGAGGAATATTGGCACTAGGAGACGGAAATTCCATCTCTTTTCAGTCTGAGGATTTCATAGAGGTAAGAACTCTAGCGGCTGGCTGCTTCTCTGATCTTTCAGCTTTCACTCCATAATATCTGACTCTGGGTTTTTATTATTAAGACAATTAGAGACAGTTGACACAATTTGCTATAGTCAAACACACAGACAGGGGAAGGGGATGGAAGTGGAATTCAAGTTATAATGTCCACAAATAAAATCATGCCAAAACACAGACAGACTCATTTGCTTACCTGTGTCCTGTGGGTACTTTCCCACTATAAGGGCAGAATTTAATCATTGTAACAGAGAGCATATGACTTACAGAGATTAAACTATTCACTGAGCCTCTACTGAAATGTTGCTGACCTCTGAACTAGACCTTGGAAGTTATAAACTGTGGGTATTTCTTGCTTAGTATCATATTTCTTTTCTTGGCCCGCCCTTAGTATACTGAGCTTGATTGCACCTCTGAGTAGCGGTTACTTTTATCCTTACAGGCTTCATTAGTATCCTCACACAGGGTATCAGAAGACAGCCAGGGCAAAGTTGTTCTAGGAAAAATGTGAATCAAACTTCTGTCCATTACAGGGATGGCAGTAGAAGACCTGGTGGCAGCCAAACTAGTGTATGAATCTTGGTCATCTGGGAAGTGAGATGAAGGAGCGAGCTGTGCACTGAACTGGACGTTGCAGCTCAAAGCTGTCCCATAAAGTCCAGATCAAATGAGGGAGCCTGGCCCCTGAGAACTGTCTTGATTTTCATGTTTAAGTGCTGACATTCCTACTCATATTTGTAGTTGGATAACTAAACCAGGTAACTATTCTCTTCCATGGGTGATGTCATAGTTACCCACCTTTGATCTCATTAGCTTTGTATGTCCTGAAATAAAGCATTTTCAACTCTTCACTGTGTCCTTTGATAACTTCCTGTGGAGAGGAAATAGAGGGGTCAGATTCTCACTCAATACTTAGAGGAGGTGGAATGATGCTTTCTCCATTTTAATTGAGAGGAACTCATCATAAAACTAGTCTCTCTCTCTCTCTCTCTCTCTCTGTGTGTGTGTGTGTGTGTGTGTGTGTGTGTGTGTGTGTGTGTGTGTGTGTGTGTGTTACCATGCTGGGGATCAGACTCAGATACTCACACATGCTATTCAAACACACTTCCTCTAAACTACATCTCTAACACTAATGATTTTAAGATGTACAGTTCAATGGGTTTTGCTGAGGTTTGTACAGCCAAGTCCAGAATGATCCCATCCCCTGAAGAAACTGGTTCATCACAATAGCATTACCTGCCTCTTCCCAACTTCTGGTTTCACTGCCACAGATTTGCCTCTTCAAGAAATGTCACATACATCCAATCACATGTTATGTAGCTTTGTGTGTCTATTTTAAATGTTTAAATAAACACAGATAAGGAGGCTCCCTTGGTCATGGGTAGTAGAAATCACAAGTTGTGATTCACTTGAATATAAGTGTTCATTGTTAAATGCAATCCATTGGCTCTTAAGAGGACAAGAGGCCGCACATAGTGAGCATGTCTCATGACGAATAGATCAAAAAGAAAATAATATCAGGAGTCCTATGTTTAGTTTCATTCCCCCAAATCTGACTGAAGACCTCTCCTTACTGTGTAAGTTGGGATAGGATATGGAGACAGTGTCTCTGGAGTTTCTAGGGAACTAGAAGGGATCCAGTCATCTACAATGATCATGTGTGACAGAGGCAGGCTCAGATCACAAAGCCTCTGAATTCCTTCCAACTGCTTTTGTGCATGTTATTGAAAACAAGTACAGCTTTAGTTTATTCCACAATGAAGCACAGTATATGTAAACAACTATCCCCTAATATAACATATCCAATAACCTTTATGATTCCTGAACCCACTCACTGGGGAGGAATGAGTGAGTTCATCACATTTGAGCATCTGTATTCTGCATGGAGCCTCCTGAAGTAACTCAAATGTGAATGGGAAATCAGCTAGGCACAAATCACTTTCCTAATGTTATGCACACAGTCGATGGTAAATTCTACCAGGTGGTAGTCTGGCTACAAAATTCTAGTAAAACTTAGCTATTGGTTAGGGATGGTTTCAATTTGAGATGGCCTTTTAGAAACCGTCAGCATTTTAAAAATGCAAGATTTTGGAGACAGGAACTTTGTTTGGGAAAGTAAACTATGGAAACCAGTGTGGCACCACACCAAAAACTGAAAATAGAACTATCATGTGACCTAGCTATCCCATTCAACATATCACACAGACCTACACATCCGTATTTATTGCTGCTATGTTCACAGTAGCCAGAAAGTGGGACCAGCCAAGATGTCCGTCAACAGATGAATGGAAAAAGAAAATGTAGTACATTACACAATGGACTTTTATTCAACTGTAAAGAATGAAATTAATATATATTCAGGAAACAAAGATTGTTAAGCAAAATAAGTCTTATTCAGAAAGACTAATATCCTATATTTTCTTCTCATATGCACAATCTAGATTGTGTGTGTATGTGTGTGTGTGTGTGATGAAGGCAGAAAGGGGTCTGTGAGAAGTTTAAGGAGATGGAGAATGGAGAGTGAGAAACAGTATTTTTATGTGTGTGTAACTATCACACACATATATTTACACATTACATGATACATATATTTACACATTACATAATACATATAGCTTATATAATGTAACTATTGTGTAGCTGCTTCCTCTGAATTGAAACATTACCTATTAGAGAGAGGAAAGAGGCTCAGCAGACTCCAGAAGCTGTAGAGAATTTCCCAGGCTCAGGAAGCTTATGAAAATCAGAAGATTCACAAGACCCCTCCCAAGGTTATGGAAGCAGCAAGCATCTAGGGGGAGGAAAAGTTCTCTTTGGTGGAGCCACCTGTAGCTTAAGGCAAGAAGCTCCCAGGGTGCACCTTTGTGAATCATCGCTCATGCTTTGGGTGGGCTTTTTGCTGACACAGATGCCTTTGAGTTGCCCTGCTCCTGCTAAGTCACTCCAACAGCTTCATGTGTAAAATTGTTTCTTTGGTGCCCTATTGGGGGGGGGGTGATAGACATTTGTTTGTAATTAAGAAAGAATGGTTTGTTTTAATTGATCACTTCAGACACTTTGTTCCACTGTTACTTAGTCTCCGTGGTTTTGGCTCTGTGACAAGGTGATCCATTAGAAGCATGTGGCAGAGGAAACCTGTTCACTTCAAGGTGGCTGGAAAGCAAAGGGAGTGTTTGAAATCCCAATACCCACTTGAAGGGCATGCCTCCATGACCTAACTTCCTTCTTTTTACTAAGCCCCGGCTGGAGGATGGATGTCTACCTCCTTCCAATAGTTCCTTAGGTAGATGACCAAGCCATTAGCATAAGGGTCTTTGGGCTATGTCTAAGATCTAGACTATAACATGCATTTATCCAGACAGCAGCATCCCTGATACACACTAACAAAGTGAAGGCATGAATGTGTAAAATTTACTTTTGCCATCAACTTTCCTAAATACTATATCTTTTCTCCCCCTTTTTAAAATCTCAGAAGGCACTTAACCCTTAGAAAGATTGTGAGATGGGACAGGCATAGTTTTCCTGAATCCTTCTTGTTCTCCCTTTGCTATCCTCTTGTTTACATACCACAATTGTCAACCTAGGCTTCCATAACAAAACACTGCAGACAGAGTGCTCAAACAACAGAAATTTATTTTTCACATCTCAGGAGGCTGAAAGTCCAAAGTTTGATTTTCCCCAGAGGTTGGGGGGGGGGGGGTTATGGGGGATAGGGTTGCTCTCATGGGTTGATTGGCATCTGCCTTCCTGCTCTTCCTGTGTGAGCACACCCTTGATGTTTCTTCACATGGAATTAAGAGCCCACCCTTATAAACTCACACAGCCTTAATCACCTCTTTAAAGCACTTCAAAAACACTTAGGGGTTAGGCCTATATATATGAACTTTAGAAATTCATCCCACAACAGGCACCCCACATTTTCCTCCTGACATCCCCCTACCTGCTACACTGCCCTGATTCTTAGACAGGAACACTATAAACCCAAGCCTGTTGCTTGTAAATATCTGTTAAAAGATTAGATCCATGTAAGCTGGGCTTTGCACTTTAGACCAGTGAAAGCCATTGATCTCCACAGAGTGCAGTAATGAAGAGAGACACTGTTTTCTTGTTCTAAGGTCTCCTAGCATTTTTTTTTAACTGATGGTTTACTTGAATACAGAGTACTCCCCAGAGTCTTGGCCTCTGTTTTGGGAGTCCTTTCTAAAACCCTAACACCTACACCCAGAGTTCTGTCATTAGACAGAGATCAGGTAGAGGGTGCTTCCTGTGATGTTCCCAAGGGAACTCAGCATGACCCCCACGCTCAGATCACTCTGTTAACCAATGACCTCCATCAGAGGCTGGTGTCCACCAGCTGCCCAGGCTGTTGGAGCACCTGTTTCCTTTGGTCTATGGCATTAAGGACTTTCTTTCTGGGGCCCAGCGGCATGTGGATATTCTGAAGGTCCTCATCAGAGCAAAGCAGCAGAGCTTCTAGATCGATCTGCTCTCTCATGAAAATGGGAAGGAATTCCTCTAGGTGCTGAGACCGCAAGAACACTTCCAGGGGGGTGGCATCAGCCACATCCTCCTCCCATTCTACTTCATCTTCGTCCCAAGGAAGATCGTTTGCAGTACTGTTTGCCTCTCCTTCCTCATCCTCCTCATCGTCGGCTGCTCCTTGTCTTTGGAACAACTCACTGGGCATTTTAAAGCCCAACTCCCTTTTGCTGTCTGAGATGTCCTGAAGGTCCAGTACTCGGTTCCTTCTAAAAACAATACTCCCTAGCCCTGGACGGTTGAGAATAGACTCGTGCTGTTCACCACTGGCTTTCTCTGTCGAGAAACGGAGCTTCTCTCTGAAGTCCTCTGGGAATGAGTCCTCCTCCTCCTCTCTGAACACTTCCATTACATGTCTCTGCCCATTTCTGTCTTCCTTCCCTACTTGCTCTGCTGTGTCTTTGTTCTTCTTAAATTTCATCTTAAAAGTATCTTTAAAGCCTTTAGATAGTGACCCAAATCCACCAGCAGAAGCACTGGAAAGGGACAACCTGGAGAAGGTACCATGGGAAGAAGAAAGAGTCCCAGAGTCTTCCTTGCTATAGGTGCGGGCCATCCTGTTTTGGTGCTTCTCCTGAAGTCGTTCACACTCTTTCAACTGCCTTCTGGCATTCCTCAGAGCCTGCTCCTTCAGTCGGGCAACCTTCTTGGGGTTCATGGTGTTCTGTACAGTGGCAGCCTTATCCAGGAGAGCAACACATTCTTTCTGCTCCCTGCTGGCAGCAGCATCCAGTGGGGACTTTAAGTCATTATCTAGGGCAAAGATGTTGGCACCAAAGTTGACCAGGAATGAGATGCAGTGGGTGTGGCCATTGGAGGCTGCATAATGTAGAGGAGTATTTCCCCAGATGTCACACTTATCAGGGTCCCCACTACAGAAGAAAACATGAGAGATGCATGTTAAATTATGTTTTTCACTGAACATGAGGTCTATAAAGAAAAACAAAAACAACCAACAAAATGCATGTTTATCCTGCCTTGATGTTGACATAAGATGGCTGCTAAGTTTAGCTATGTCAGAGCCAGATACCAGATGGCCAGAAATAGAGAGAGCCATCTCTATGCTATGCCTCCCTTTTAGGAAAACAAAAAACAAAAACAAAAACAAACAAACAAAAACCCTTCCTAGCAGAGTCACTTTCATATCACATTGGCCAGAGTTGGGTCACATGACT